AATAGTTGTCAGTTGTTGATGTATTATAATCTTGATCAAAGTGCAGCGCTATATGACATTACAAGCCCCTGAACCACACCATCAGTACAGCTAGAGAAGATATTAAATTACAAATCAGACTGAATAGAACAAGAAAATGAAGTCCCAGCTCAGAAAATCAGGTGAAAATTACTTGAACACATAAGAAAAATTGCAGTTCAACTTCCACAGATGGAGGAATAATCAACGTTATATTATTGACTTTTATCATGAAAATTGCATGAACCCTTCATACTTGCCCAGACAGGCTTCTATTCATCCACAGTGAGGAAAGCTTTAGTGAATTCAGAATGCACTTTGAAAAGAGCATTACTCTTTTATGACAATCTAATGAGTTTCTGTCTACTTTTTCTTCTTTTTAATGTATTTCCTTATATGGCAGTCAAGAGAGGGTAAACAGTCATTTACGACTGTAACGGTTCCCAGAGTGAAAGGACTATATAACAGGACTATATAACTGCATATAATATTCCATTTGTATGAGGACTGACCCCACAGAGCAGATGTGGATGCTTCATTCAGACAAACCTTCTATGTTGCCCATGTGTGGGTATAACAAGTGTGGTCACTCTGTTAACATTTGAAGAAATGGGTGTCCAAGGAGCCTTGACGCAGAGAGATGGACTGTTCACTCTCAGAACCAAGGTTATGATCGCAAATGACCGTTTGCTTTCTTATTTAGACTTTCTCTTGTGTCAACTTAAGGCTTCTCAGATACCTAGAAAGACAGTCCTGATACGATAAACAATTGTATCAGGACCAAGTTTGAATGACACTTATTCAATATAACACTCTTTAAAGGCTGTAAACTATATAGACAGTGGTTCTGAGTAGATCAATAAGGTAAAGCTGTTTTACTTGAGTCATGTGCGTGCAAAATCACACAAAATCACTCTTTAGCCATTTGTAGATCTAGTTTTTATTCATCCCACATAATCTCTTTGTAAGACTCAAAACAACCAGACAGGTGCTCCAAGTGTGACTGCAGGCTCTAACTAACATTTTTCTATCCTTTATACATCCATCTATCACTCACCTCCTTTTCTTCTTTCTCTCCCTCTGTGTGACTCGCTGATCCTCACAAGCACAGCCTCCCTACGAAAAGTCATCTTTAAAAAGTTGTTTTAAAGATCAACTTCAGGAAAAAGCCCTGAATTGCTGTCTGGACCTGGCTCAATAAATCACACGAACACAAAGACCCCAGGGGAAAGATAACTCCCTGAACTCTTCCTCGAGCAGGGAGAGAATGAGACTCTGTAGGCTATGGTATAGTTAAAGGGACACAAATCCTCTTATTGAGCAACAACAAGAGGACGGCTGCTCCGGCCACTAAAAAGGAAAACTGGGTTTGTCATTGTTTGAGCCACTGGTTAAAATGTAGAGATGCTTTTTCACCATGATAGTCACAAATGACTGTTGTTCTTTCCTTATGAAAAAGCAAATAAAAAAAAAACAACTAAGAAAATCCTATCATGATGAAAAACATGGCAGTTTATTTGCAAAAGAAAAAAAACTTGATTTACATTTTTTTTAACCTCTTGATATGATATTATTAGTTAAAATGTGTGGGGAACCCATCTCTTGCATTGATCGCTGAATGCCTCTCAAGCAGCATTCAAAGCAACCAGCAGAATCATCTGATCCTGCGAATAATGGATGTTTACTTTCTCCGCCCTTTGACTAAACAGTACGAGCTATCAATGATGCTGTCAGACTTGATTATGATTGGTTGATTGTGATTTCTAGTCGATCACACACACCCGCCTGGCACGTCCTATTGCGTCAGTCGTCTCAAACACTCCCTGTCATAGATATTTATATCATACAGATTTATGCCTGACAGATTTTGATACTTTATTGGATCTTTCACGGTGTGATACTAAAAAAAACGACAGATTTGTCCAAGACCCAAAGAGTTTGATAATGTCACAGCATGACAACCAATCAGTTTTGAACGCATTTAAGGGATTTCTGAGCGGATTTAGAAGGAATTGCTTTAACCCCCACATGTACCGAAACATTGCAACATTGCTTTTTGCTTGAATCAATAAAAAGTTCTAATAAGTTTTTAACGATTAACCAATTGTTCAGAGATTTGAGCTTACTGTTTTGAAAAGTTCTCATTTTAAAATCAAGCCAACGCAAATGAGAAAAACGGTAACATGCTTAACCAAAATGGGCGAACAGGGAATTTTGAGTTTCATGTTATTGCAGTAATGTTATTTTGAGGATATAAGAGTGCTGGTATTAGCTTTTTCTTAGAGCACCTTGGTGCCCCAGCTTTCCCTTAAAGCCCTGACTGCTTTGTTTAATTCTGTAGATAAAAGAAACACTGACCAGCAGGTTGTCCTCTGGATCACCCTCTCTCTTCTTCTATTCTTTTCATGCTGTTACTGCTATGCTATTATTCTAAACCTGTTGATTTTAATTTGCCATAAATCAAAGTCATTATCATGCTATTCCTGTATATGATACACTCACTTTTTCTATTATCTTTGGCATTGTAACCACACGTCTGTATGTGCTACTGCTGTTGTTGGTGTTGTTTGTCTCTGTCCATCTCTTGAAAGTGTCTTAGCCTTGTAAAACAGCCTGTCCCTCAAGGTTTCCAAAGGTGCCTGTTGACACATGTTCTATACAGTTTTTCTGTCTAAAGGGAGGGCAGAACATGATGTTTCATGGACGCTGTTGGAACTTATGTCACCATGCCGTATTGTACAAGGTGTCCAAGATTACAAGCAAAGCAAGGTCAGACACCCAGATGACAGTTTTTCTTTGCCTTTAATTCCTTAACAGGCGCCCATCAATTCCAACCAATCCCATCCACACAATAATACATTCACACACACTGCTGGTTCAAAGATGGAACTTAAGGTTCCGTCTCTTGCCCAAATTGGACCACCAGCTTTCTCGCTGAGAGGCAACCAACTCAATCACTGAGCCACAGCAGCCTCCATGAACTGAGAGTACCGGTATTAATTTACATACTCTCAGTTCATTTCAGATGCCCTGGAACAGAAAAAATGCATAAAGCTCCTGAATTTTAATGTTGAGGTGGCAGGGGGTTTCCGAAGCTATCCAGCCATCCAAAAAACACTTGTCTTCAAGCCCAAAATCTTTTCCCACAACTTCTGTCTGTTCAGTAAACCAACACATGCACACCAGTCCGTACTGACCCCTTATCTTTCACAACTCGTTGCACATACAGAGTTGGTTACACCTTTGTTCGTCACTGACACTCACTTCTCATCTTTCATTTATATGCTTCCATCTCTCATCTCCACCAAGAGAACTCACTACTGCATGTTTGAGAGGCACAATGAAGCACAGTCGTGCTCTGGCTGCACTTGACCTTTTCACATGCAAATCAGAGCAACACTCCTCAGCTTACAGAGAAAACAGGAGTTGATCCAGGCCACTTCAGATCCGTATTAATGAGCCGTGTTACAGAACATGGATCGGTTCAGTTGCAGCTACAACCTCATGAACCTCTTCCAGTTCATCTTAATCGAAAGCAAAGATGCATGAAGGCGGAGGCAAATCAGCAAGATTAAAAACACTTATTGCAGTTGGATATTCAAGCAGTGCCCACTCATGTTTGTTTGTCTCTGTTTTGATCAACAGCTCAGTCTGGTTAATAACTCAGAAAGCCGGATATGACTGTTTGCAGCTGTTTTTTTCTGGACAAAATGTGTTTTATGCCAACTAAAAGCGTCTCTTTAATGAGAATAATGTTCTTTCCATTTTCTTTCATGTGTTGGTTAAAAGGTAGAGTTACACACACTCAGGTTTGCCTGTGCTGCAGCAAAACAGGCGTGAGTGTTTTGTGTGAGTGGGAGAGAAGGAGAGCAGAGTTTTGGTGCCCCCCTGTGTTGATGGCAGGAAAAAAAAAGTAGTTGAATTAGCCACTGAAACTCCCCGAGGAGATGATCTGACTCCTGTTCAGGGTGCAAAAAGACAAGAGAGAGGAAAATGTAAAAAAGTATCACTTATGAGCATTTATTCTTGAAAACAATATAAAAAAGGAGCTGCTAAAAAAGTACAGCAAAAGTCAGGGAAGGATGGCCTGTTATGCATTGTTGATGCAAAGATGAAAGAAAAACTAGTAAATGGATTGAAACTGTTTAATATATCTAAAAGCTGCCATTACCTGTCTTCTTAGATGCCCTTGTTTCATTAGATCTCATGTGTTTAAAGCTTTTAAGTGTACTGCTGAATTCTACGGGACTTGTCCCTCAGCAGTCAAAGAGAATAACCCATGAAACATAATGCTAACTAAAAGCTGTTACTGTGTTTTGTAACCTGTCTCTGTGGGGTTTTTATTCAACATTTTTAACCTTTTACTGAATGAAGCTCAAGCACAGACAAGACGCTTGCATATCGCAACACCTTAATGGACCAAAGGGCCAATGGTGGTGGACGGCAGACGATCTTTTTTGCCCACAGCCATCAGACTGTACAACTCTTCTGTAAATAGTAGATGACTTTTAGAGACATGACAAATGAGATGACAGACAATTGAATTCCCCTTCAAGGACAAATAAAGTTCTTCTTATTCTTATATAACAAGACTGTTTTGCTGATAAAATGGTATGGAGATGCAGAATGTATATTGCATAAGGTGTGAAGTAGTTATAATCAGCTTGCTAGATAGGCACTGTGTAAAAATAAAGCCAAACAGGGTCGAATATGTTTAGTTTATTTAAATTTAGTTTGAGAAATGACATAATTAGCAACATTTAGCCAACAAAAATCATATGTGTAAATAACATATGATTAAAGCAGTGAGTTAAGGTGAATGCAGATGAGTTTCCATATTCATTATTTGTGTTTTTGGCACTGATACCGTGCAGCACAGGTGAAATGTGACCCTCTGTGCCTCTGAGAGTGTGTATGAGGATCCTCAGCAGTGCATCTTCTCACCGACTGCAGCCACAGAGCACCGGCGGTAGCGCGCCTGCGCAGTGCATCTAGGGGCTCGGCGGCGTTCGGTGCTGAAGTGGGGCGGATGGCAGAAAGACAGCGGCGATGGACATTACACCGCAGGATTCCCGTAAATGATGTCGTTAAATAAACATCGGAACACTGCGTTTTCACACGTATCGCCCTAGGACGCTGACAGCCCAACAGAAAGGGGTAAGATGCTGTTTTTATCTGTGCTAGTGCTCCACACGGACAGGCTAGCTGGCGTTAGCACGGCGCTAGCTGCTCAGCTGCCACCTCCTCCTCCTCCTCCTCCTCCTTTCTCGCTGAGAGAGATAGCGGACCTCGGGCTGTCGGCTAAAGCTAGCATTAGAAAGTGGGTGGTGTTTGGTTTTCTGAGAGATTTCGGTTGTGACAGGCAGTACCGTGTCGCCTCCCTTTAGTGAATGTGGTATCAGCCCGTGGTGACAGCAGGGAGGGGATCCCCTCTCTCCCTCAATCTCGCTCTCCCCGGCATGCTGTGACCTGCAGCGGCTGGGCTCAGATGTTTCGGACAGCTGCAGAAGAAACCGTGCAAAGAAAAAAAAGCAGCTAGCCAGTAAAGCTAGTGCACAGGGTCCGATGAGACTGCCCACTTTTTATCTGGAGATATACACAGGCCTTTCGGGCAGATGCAACAAAACCAGGAGGTGCAACAGCAAACTGCATCCATGCACCAAAAAAAAAAAAAACAATCCAACTTTCCTCCTCCTGGTATCACTGTGAGACCATTTTCTCCTGCATGCTTTGTGCACAGCTGAGGGAGCACCCACACTGCAGCTCCCCACGGGTGTGAGTCAGAGCAGCCCAGGTTATGTTGCCACTACATCCTGACACACTTCCTGATTCATCTCATTCAGCTTTTCAGCTCCATTCAGACAGCTTTTCTATCAAACAGCAGCTGTCTGATCTGCATGTCTGCCTTTGAGGATATTTGCTTGTAGGGTGGAGATGTGTTACTCAGGTGAGATGTAACCTTAAACACTGAGACTGTACAGCACACGAGACTGAAGAGGAAGAGTTCACGACACTCGCTTCATTTTCATTTTCATACTTTATTTCATTAAGTTGATATTTAAAACATTCGATACAAACATGGAAGAATCTCAAACGTGAATGAAAAGGAGCAGAGAGAAGAAAACTCTTTTAGAGTCTGGGTCCATGTATTATCTGTCCATTCAGTTATTCCATTCAATCTAGTAAAATGACAAATGAAAAAAAACAGTCAATAGTTTGTTTATTTATTTTTCTGTTTAGCCAAAAAATAAAAAACTTTTTTTTTTTTTTTTTTTTGTCACATTTTCAGCTCAAAACAGAATATATAATAGAGAAGGCGAAAATGAAATAAATAAGGTCCTTACCATAGACTGTGTATACTATGGACAATTTGGTTCCGCCTCCCGCCATTATACGGATTTGAAGCCAAAAAGCTCTCATTATTTCCGGGATTTTTCTGTATTTCCTGAAACCAGCGCTGCCAAGTAGCATAGTGCGCATTCGGCGGGAGAGTCGCTGAGCGCCACTGTGATGACAATTGGTTCAAATAGCGTATCCCAAGGGTGAGCTATGCAATCCCTGAACGCCAACATGACCCCCCTAATAACTTTTAAAAACGGAGCTTCACAGAAAAAAGAGGACCTGAGCACAAACCAGTCTTACAATAACTAAATGTCAACACCGCAAGCAGGGAGGAGAAAAATTTGTGTTCTGTGTAATCAATTTCTAAAGTTTGTCCACAGCTCCATAAGCTTTGCTGGAGGAGGCAAGATTTATGACCTATACTGTAGCCCATCAACAGAGGGTGCTGTTCTCGGAGTGGCTACACCCAGCAAGGAGGCAGACGCTGTCCATTCTATATACAGTCTATGGTCCTTACACACCGGGAACGACGCAAATATCCGACGCAATGAGCTTTATACATTATCTGCAAAATACTGACCTCACTCAAATAATCTTTCATGTAGTCGAGTGATAGGAGGTTGTTTTATTGAGACTGTGGATGGCATTGTGGGTACAGGGCTCATTACCTGCTAGTTTTTTAAGTGTTATTTTTGCCAACGCGCGTTTGGTCATTTTACCAAAAACACAGTTGATTGATTCTATTAATGGAAAAGTGTACCATGGTGAAATCTGGCTAACAGTGAAATGTGGCAAACTCATTTACAAGTCATCATCCACTTCTAATGATTCTCAAAGCTATGTCTGAAAAACATGGTTACTGAGTCCTCTGCTTCCTCTGCTTCTGTTTCTCTTTGGACGCCTCTCCATTGTATTGTGGGTAGCAGCCAGTGTAAAAAATCACTGCTGCCTCCATACTGTGAGAAATTAAGTTCCTTTAACATTCCATATGCAGGTTTATTTTTTAGCACAATACCTGACACGAGAACTGACTAACATTTTGTTGAGGTTTAATTGGACTGGGTTTGTTGAGAACTGAACAGTTTGTTTCAATGATTTGTGTCATGATTAGATTTGATATTTATTTGGTTTTGTATTGATCAATGTGCTAAATGTGATACCTCTTACATTTTTGCTGCATTTGGTCTCGTACATGCTTGGGCAGTGTACTTTGTAAAAACATGTTTGTCTAGGGCCGGGCGATAAAACAATAAAAATTAAAAATTAATTTCCCTCAATATCAATATGAAATGGTCATTATGCTTTTTGATAGCCTGCATTCTGCCATGTTTTGGTAGACTTAACGAATAGCCAATGAGAAGGGGAGTTGCTCTGGGTCCGCACTGTGTTGAACTGACTATTCAGTCCGCTTTCTCACACAAAGACCTCACAGATGCAGTAGCTTACTGTATTGTAAAATACGTGCTACCAATAAGCACTGTTGAATGTCATTTAAGATTGACAAGTAATTTTTTTATATCGTGATATATATTGATATCTACTGATTTGAAAAACTTTTAGTAGTCGCACTAACATGCAGCTGGGGGTCAATTCTCTGTCATGTATGTGAACTGAAACTGGTCTGTGCATGCCCCAGTACTTTGAGCTGGAAGTTGAATAGCATGGATGTGACGCTTGGAATATGGGTAGTAAACAAAGTAAGGATGTTCAAAATACAAAACTTTCTTACCGTACAAACATATGATACAGAGCTGTAAAAGTGATGCTAATTCTATCGTACGCCGATCTATTTTGCCAACTGCTTTGATTCCTAAAGAGTCAGCCAGGAGACGTAAGCTGAAAGAGGACATGTTGCTTCCTCCTGTAGCAGAGTTAGACTTGCCTCTGTCAAGAACTCAGTTTTTCCAATGTCTGTAAGCCGGGCAAGTTAAATCACCGTAGCTTGACTCAAATAAATACACTTGGTTGTTTCAGCTGTGAAACAGCACTGTACGGAAATGTTCAGTCTTGTGGTTGTTGGTCTTGTTTGCTATTTTCAGTCTATTTTACAGCCTCCTAAAACTCCTCACTTGAGCTTGAAGTGATAATTAAAATACCTCAAGGCTGCAAGCCAATGCGTCCAAAACTTTGCTCTTCCTTTTCACTGTGAGAGTGGATAAAGTTACTCCTTCCAGGAAAGGCAGTTCAACTCTTACCAGTACAAGAGAAATACCTTATCTTTTCACACAACTTGGCAAAGTCACTCTTCATAGATTTTTAATAGACAAGAGTCGCTTTATTTTCTAATCGAGCATGTTTCAAGTTTCCACCAGTTTGAGGGAACAGTTTGATGGAATAAAGCATACATTATGAAACCTCTGGTGGGTAATGTAGTTTTTGTGTTGAGCGAAGGGTTTAGCGCGGAGTCGCTGCATTGAGACAGTGAACTAGAAAGAAAGAAGCCAAATGTGAAATCGTAATATTGATTCAAATTTCGGTTTCTTTTAAGTCTTTTGGCCAAAGAGGAGGAAAAGAGAAATTCAGTTGTAATTTCAAACTCAGGAAGCATATTACAAAACGAAAAACAAAAAAAAAACAACTAACCAAATTCTTATTTTCAGTGTTGATTAAATTTACTATATACTACTAAATATACTACTATACTGAATTTTAAATGGATTGTTAAAGAAGCCATATAGAAACAATCTGCTGTCTCTTCAGTTCCTCTTTGATGTCTTTTTCTTGCTAATTTGAGCCCCAACAGACTAGCAATAGTACACCAAATAAAGAGTCTCCAGTGTTGAGGTTAGCATGTGAACACTTCTAAGCTGCTGTTATGAGTAAGCAAGCTTGTTGGAACAGACGCTTCTATATGAAAACATGAAGCATGAGGAGGAGGAGGAGGAGGAGGAGGAAGCTCTGTGGCCTGAAGGCTCAGAGTTTTTCGAGTGGCCTCAGACTGATTGTATGTTGTGATCAGAATGAATGTTTTGATCACTTCCAATGACGGTTGCAGCTCTATCAGTCATTCAGCGTTTTTGGTTTATTTCACGATCTGGTTACCTTTTTTTTTTAAACACATTTCCAAGCTGAACTTCAATTTTTTTTAGTTAGTATGTTTGTTGTCAAATAACAAATAACAATTAAATGATGCAAAAACTGGCTTTGAAGTTACTTTAATTTCTGAAGTAGTTTGTTATTTAAATGTTATTTCTAAATGTTTCCAACAATGTACAAACTAGGTATTCTCTGAAGGGACTAATTTACTTGTCATTTAAATGCAAATTTAAAGTAGCCAAAGGTAAGACAGCAAGCACTTAGAAAACAATCAAACTTGAGCACATTTTTTTTCCATACAGCTAAATACACAATCACAGAGTTCACATATAAATTGTGTCAAATTTGTTTGCCAAGTGTGGCTTAATTTACCAGCAGTAAACTTTATGATATTATAAGGTACTCATGGCGAGGGTTAAAACTGTTCCTGTAATGATAATTCAGGTTACCTGTGTAACTTTATTTAACTAAAAAGCCTTAAAGTATTTTATGTGGAAACTGTTTGAGGAGACAAAACTGAACAAACTAGTTTAGTTATGTTTCTTGTCACTTTTTGACAAGAAGAATCTTGTTTGTTGATCAAACTTTACAGTCTGACATCATGTTTTCTCTGTACTGCTGCATCCAAAAGTAACAATAATAATAATTGCAATAATAATAGTAACTTAATTTTTATAGCACTTTTAAAAACAGAAGTTTATAAAGTGCTTTAACAAAGTCAACAGGCACATGGAAATAAAGACAAATAAAAACAAAAAGCTCAATTAAAATGGAATTAAGGGCCATTTTCATATGTCATATTTAACCCAGACAATACAAGAACCATGTAAATGTCCATGTGACAATTGGATGGGAAAAAAAATCCACTGCTTCACTGTGCTGTCGTAAAAATAAGTAAAAGTGAAGACCCAAACTCAAGACCATCCTACTTTATAATATGTACGTCAGGGAGGAAAAATGAAACCTCATATTGGGACCAGCATGGTTATTTTTGTCTTGCTTTTCTTCCATCACGCATTTCTTCTGTGTCACTGTCACACAGTTATCTGTAAGAACCTGTCTGATGTAAACTCTGCCCCTTCACTCAAACAGACACACTCACCAGCAGCTGGAGTCTGAAATGATCCTTCACAGCAGGTTTAGTTCAGTTTGATTGCAGTGAGTAAGGTCAGCAGGTGTAGGGAATCCCTTCAACAGGATAAATAAATGTGCATCAGCCAGTCTAATGAGTTTAAAGTGTAGGAATTGTGGCATAGGCAAAAGATGTGATGAAAATAATTGCTTAGCACACAACATTTCTTATTCAGTTGCTTGATTTATCTCAAGATTTGTGCCGACATTAGAAACGGCCTTAATAAGAAGCCTTTTCAGACCCTTCATTTACTAAACAACAGCGCTGTTAAGATAAACAAAGAGGGGTCTTTTACTTTGAAAAGCAAATCAAGAAGGTTAACAGACTTGTCTATTTTTGTGCCTGAAAAATATTTCTTTAATATGCTGTAGATTTGACTCTCTTCTTATCATTTTAATAGTCTATTCTGTCTGGAAACTTCTCACAGCTGAGGATTAAAATGAAGAAATAGAATTTAGCACATGTCCATTTACAGTTTTCTTCCATTCTCGCCAAGACAAGTTACTTCTCCTTTATTTTTCTCTCTGTGTGAGTCAGTGGCAACTTGAACTGTAAAGTATGTCTTTGATTGCGTTTCAGATGCTGTTCCCTCACTGCTCCACGTGCTCTGCAGCCCATCAATGACAAAGATCAGAGGAGGCCTCGGAGGCGACGGCCAGTGAGACGAAAAAAAAAAAAAAAGAACGGTTGAAATAAGGAAACAAGGACAGGAGGAAGTCCCATTTTCACCTCAGCTGTCCAGTTTTCCTTTCTGTGCCAGTCGGTCAGGGATGGTGAGACCAGTAATCTCTGTTCCCTTCAGTAAAAAGAAGCTCCCAGCATCCTCAGCAAGCCAAACAGCCAGTCCATCAGCCAAACAGACATCCAGACGATCCACCAGTCAGTCACCACATCAACCAGCCTGCTATCATCCAGCAACCTATTACCTCATGCCATGACTGCTCTGTCTGATCTGTTTTTAGGATCTCGCTAATTCATGGTAAGTTTGACCTCTGCCTGACTGTGTTAGTAAAAAATGATGTTATGTAAGGTGCACAATGCTTTAAAACACACATGGAGATAAACTTTTATAGACAGTCTGTGATTGCAGTTTTTAAGCTTCATAGTTTCTGCGAACAAACACGACCTAAGCTTGGTTATCCCAGTCCTGATTTTCTCCTTTCTGATCCGATTCTGTTTACAGTAAGAGTCAGGCGCCCAAAACACCTCTGCAACAAGTGTCGCACATATTGAAATTTGACACCCTGAGATGAAAAATGAGCGGAAATGTGTACAAAATTATAAAGAGGAGTTCTTAATTATTTGACATCATCACTTTACTGTTGGGAGAATCAACACTCAATACATTTCCTTCTAGTATTTTAACCAGAAAGAGGTTTTCCTCATCATCTCCAGTTTATTAGACTCAGACATATTCAGACTTTTTAAATACTTTTCCTCTTCTTAACTCTTAAATTTGATAAATATTTCACTCCTATTAGTCTTTAAATAATCTATACTCTAAAAAAAAGTTTGAAAATACATTTCTAAAAAGAGACTACTTTGTTTAAAAACAAAGCAGAATTTTTGTTTTTACATTCATGCAAATTCAGCTCACCATCTTGTCCTGAGGCCATGAAGGTTTTAATGCTCTATTGTAGAGGAACTGGAAGTCCATCCAACAAAACAGATCTTAAGACAGATGATTAATCCAGCATGGAACACGATACAAGACGATATCAGAGCAAACTTTTGATACAAGTGGTGTTTTTTCAGGTTACTTTTTGCCTCACCTGATCTTAAAGTTAAGGGAATATAAACTGATTCAAAGACTAGTAACCCAACGGCTGAATCAAACTTGAAACATTAAATGAAAATGGATTGTTTTTAGATGATCTGACTCTCTTTATTTTGTTGATTCAAATATAATAATAATTCAAAAGTATCTCTGAATTCTTTAATCTATCATAGAACCGATTGCAAATCAATCACGTCTTTGCAGATCTTGTTACCCCCTCTATTTTTTTGGTCATTTTTCTCGTTCATCTTTCTTCCACTTGTCTGGATATATTTGTATTTCCACTCTAAATTTGCATGTCCTGCTGATGCAATCTCCCTCTCCTGTTGTAGAACAAAGCCGTGGCCTTACTGTCATTTGCATCTCGCATGCTGTCTGATTTTCCACTGCCTGGTTCGCCGAATAACTGAGCCACCACACTGGCCAGAGGGCGACATTTGCATAAATGGCAAGCAGGTTGTCTTTGCCTTACCTGCCATGTATAAGTAGTGTAGCAAATAATGTGAATGTGCAGTGAAGAGAAATATCCTCTGTTTGTCTCGGTGTGCAGTGATTGTTTCTTTGTTAATCTTAATTATTTTGGAGAGTATATTTTGAACCATGACGTTGCAGGTAAGGATCCTGCTTTGATTTTTAAATTCACTAAAGACTGCCATTAATGAGTGCATTTGCACAGTTGAATGAGGGTTTTCCAGGCCTACTTAGCTCATAAGAAGCCCTTATATCTTATACTTGGACAAAGATAAGAAATAGCACACTGAGGTTTCACTATATGTTGCTGTTCAGGTGTTTTGGTTCTGAGAGAGTTATTACTCACTTTAGAGCTGCCATAAAAGTTGAGGATTGCTGTCAGAGAACTTGTGATGTTAAAATGGCTCTTGACACTCACGCTACCTGCAAGGCCAAAGCTTTGAGCCTTGTCCCCTTCAAGCATCTCTAAAGGCCAGGAAAAACCCCAGACAGTGACGGACACTGGAGAGTGTGCATCAATAGAGCGTGACATAAAGTATTTTGTTTGCAAACTTCTGTGACTCGCAAAAGATGTGAAAAGATGCTCTACATGGGAGGATACAGGTACAGGGAGGATAACTGATGAAAAGGAAATGTAGAGGGTTTCATACCTCAGATTTTTTTTCATTTCAAGGAGCAGCTAAGAGTGATTTTATCTTCATCAAACTCTAACAAATACTGCAAATTTTATACCGGGCCTTTTTATTTAGGGTGACAGGGTTGTAAAATGACTAAAACTCTCCTCTAAAGAATACAAATAAACCACCTTCACTGATATATGGGTCTTTTAAATGCTAATGAAGGCAACTTCAAAATATAAAGCAGAGATTCATAAGATAATCACTTTGCTTATATCTTAACTTTGAAGACAATTTCAGTACGAAACAATAATGAAAACATAACTGTACTGACCCTTAAGGTTTAAGTTTTTACAGTTTCTTTTCAATGGTATTTCTAGATTTGTTAGATTAGTCTCAAGCTATATTTAATTGAACCAATCAACTGTAAAGTGAGTAAATAAACAATGATATGGAGGTTGGTTTGAGTTTTATTCCACCACTTCCCTCCAGGCCACACAGATGACTTTGAAATGTAAAAACAAGTTCAGAAGAGGATTTATCTGAATGAGCTTGGTAATTCTTTAGTTACCCAATCTGACTGCTCTTACAGTAGATGGATGTTACTGTCGTCATGTGAATCCAGTGAGTAAAAACCACAGTCTGTGGAACATGGACCAGAAAAAGTACAGTACATTCTGACCATGTTGCTTCATGCAACCAAAGAAACTTACTGATAAATAAGACACCATTCAGGTTTATCAGGTCAGGGGTTAGATCGGCTCCTCAGCATGAAAACCTCAATCTGCAGTCACAGTCTGAAGACATGAGAACACTTTCTTGAAATAGCTAGATCATTGATTTTTAATCTCTTATTTACTCTATTTATACTGATACACAAATAAAAACACTAAAGACTTAAAAAAAAGGTTATTTATTAATATATGATTTATTAAATTACATCTAAATTTTGTCTCTCTCCTCTTCTCCTCTCCTTTCCTCTCACTGTCTGAGGCTGTGTGATGATGTTATCTGTCATTTGCATTAAGAAAAGCAGGTTTTGGAGAGGTGGTAGAGGACTACCAATTTGTTATAGAAGTTAGAGGGAGGATTTGAAGTTCACCTACATGATAAAAAGAGAGATAAAAATAATCAACATTATTTTTTAAACTTTCATATCTGTAAAAAAACACTGCATGTTTCTGGTGAATTTTCCTTTTTTTTCCACATCATAAATAGAAACACAATGTGTCTCCTTCCATACCCTTCAGCCTTGGTCCACACTTCATGCTATCCACCGCTATGTCTGAGTATAGCCTCAAACGCTGCTATCTGCTGACTGAGGTGAAACCACATGCTCATTTTCAGACAGACACATCAGAGCATCAGCTGAAACCACAACACTGTGTCTCTGCAATGGAAAGATGTGCTGGTCTCAGCTCCAACAAATCAAAGTAGTTTATTCAGGCCCAGTGGCAAACAGGGTGTGTGTGTGTGTGTGTGTGTGTGTTTGTGATGTATCCTTGTTTGAATCCTTCATTGTTTCTGTAATAACACGCTCTTCAGGCCGGTCAGGAGATGAATATAGAAAAAGCTCAAAGTGTTAACTTGAACGTCTGAATGTGCATGAAGTTGTGTAAAATCTAAACAGATGTGTGTGTGTGTGTGTGTGTGTGTGTGTGTGTGTGTGTGTGTGTGTGTGTGTGTGTGTGTGTGTGTGTGTGTGTGTGTGTGTGTGTAGTGTCTGTCTGAGCCAAGTGAGAGACTTGGCTGGATGCCAGAAATCCTTGTACCGTACAAGGAAGGGAATCTTCTCTGTCCTGCTTGAGAGAACGCTCTCTCTCTCTCTCTTTCTCTCTCTCTTTCTCTTTCTCTCTCTCTCTCTTTCATCTTTTTTTTTGTTTTATTTTTATTTTCCACACACACACCCTTACCAAGCAACAGAGTTTATCATGAATTCATCCCTCCATTAAGATGTATCACTGGGGGTCAAAACGCAAATGTGCGGTCAGAATTTGTAACTGAACTTTGAGTCGTGTTGTTTTTCTTCTTGAGTATTCATTGTGTTTATATGTTGTGTGTCCTTTATGAAGCCCCGCAGTGTGAGTGGAGTGGAGATGAGAAAAAGGCAGGCGGCACACATCGAGGCCCCACCTCAGGCCCCTGGACAGCCCCGGCCCAACACCTGCTGCCTCTGCTGGTGTGGCTGCTGCAAGTGTCTGTGGTAAGAAAACACTGAACTGTACCCTTCAATAGTGCACGATGATACGATTATCAAGTTTGATGAACTATCTATAAAGAGTGAAAACCTCGAGTATATGTGAGGGATAATTTATTGTAAGGAGATTGTTGTGGCGAATCCGAACCAGAAGGGGTTCAGTCTCACTCTGGAGGGGTTCCTGATCTATAATGTGAGCTGAACATTTCCACTGAGAATGAAGTGAAACAAGTTCAACAAGAACACTTAAACCACCTATTTACGTTTTCCCGCCTTGTTATCATTAATCTCTGACATTTTTTCAATGATTATTCCAGTGACACAATGTAAGCACTTCTGTTACATACACTTTTTTTAGACGCTCCTATTCTTTCCTGCCTTTGCTCAACTGATTTTTGTCTAAGTAATTTTTTCTCAACAAAAAATCAGAGATCAGTTTTCAGTTTCATAATCATGTAAAAGTGATTGTTTGTAGCTGTAGCCATCCAGTATCTGTAAGGATTTCAGCCTCTCCTGGGAATAGAGAATTGGTGTCCCGCAAGATGCGAATGAATTGCTGTCCACTTAAGTCTGGGACGCTCTTTCTCATCATTTATCCACTCACCTGCATCTAACGCGTATGGGTCATTAAGACGTATCCCATTCACTAATATTAATTTAGCAGCGTAACTTATTTTATCGCCAGGGGATAAACTAATGTAGTACACTGACAACATCACTAGCTCACATCGCAACTGCAAGATAACTGAGGATAACCGTGACAACTGCAGTTTCGTTGTGCGCATCTGCTGTGTTGATCAATGATTAATCCCTGGATTGTTTTTCTCCAGTCTCGTCTGACTTGCTAGAAGTGATGGAACAGTGAAGGAGTTATGGGAATTGGTGTGCGGTGTGTAGTCTTTAACCAGGCAAATAACAAAATCATCAACTACAACTACCATATCACATTTGAATAAGTAAGGCAGACGCATAGACACACACAAACATATACAGCGGCTTCCTGGCTCCTATGACACTATACTGTCATGTACTGTACCATCCTGCACTATACTGTCCCATAATATACTATACCATACTAAACTGGACTATACTTTACCATAATGTACTAAACTGTATTGTGCTTAATGGTATGCTGCAGTACCATGGGATACAGTTTGTACGGTATGAAGTAGTACAATATACTATCGTGCGGTGTGATTCAATAAATACAGAGAAAGAAAAAAATATATATAAATTTTAAAAAATTGTAATCTTGCCAAGTATATCATGTGACTTGTGATATCTGACATGGATAAAAACAATTAACACTGGCTTCAAGTTGGCAAATACAGTGGTAAATAAGCCCTCTTAAGACAGCATAGCATGTATTTACCCATCCTATCTGCACTGTCCTATCTTCGTCTCTAAAGTTGTTTCCTTCAGTCATCATTGTCAGGTACTTGTGGTATCTGCAAACTTGCTTTAGTCTCTACAATGACTCCTTCACATATCTGAACATAAACTAAACTGGCATGAAAGCATGTTTGCTTTTACATTCAATAGGAATATTATAAGAGCCTAGTTCCTTTAGCGGACTGTGTTCTTGACTTGTTGAGCTGGACTTGGACAAGAAAAGTCTGAACCAGTGCAAAGCCAGTGAACAAGGAAACATCGAGTTACAGTAATTATCAGTTGAATTAGAAGTAGTTGATATGTTTTTCATCCATTCATTAAGTTTAGGTATGCAGTTTATACATAATAGTTCTGAGTTCTTGTGTGGCCATTTGTGACATTGTATAACTCACAAGATCATTTGATAACTAAGGACAATATTGGAGCCTTTATTCATTGATTCAAAAAGGACTAGCTTGAATTTCAGGCTTAGTAAATGGCTGTTTACTTAGCTATTACAGCTTGAAGCTTTCACAGCCAACAGTACAATGATCCAGTGTCCCACTACTTTCAGATTTACTGTAGGTGGCAATCATGCGCAGAAACTTCATGCACTCTGTTGCCCCTGAGCAAGGCACCAACCCAGTAACTGCTGTGTGTCTTCAGGAACTGCCTCTCTGTGGCTGCGCTCTCCCTGCAGGGGGAGAGGGGTGAATGAAACATTGTTTTCAGGCAGTGAATGGTGAATGTGCGGCTTCTTTCACACCACTTCATCTGAAGTGGTGGCAGCTTGAGGACCGGGCCTGCAGTGAGTGAGCTCTGTGACTCCACTGTGTGTTTTCCGGCCAAATGCCGGTGTCAGATAGCTAGAGTGAGCTTGTGTAATCGTCTTGGCTGCCCTTTATTTAATCGTTAGGGTTTGGGTTAGTAGTTTGTCTTTTTAGTTCAGGTTTATAACAGAAAATTAGGGTTAGGGTTACACAGGTAAAAGTTTTTGAATTAAGGTTGAGTGTAAAAACTATCCAGTATCTCTTGTCAAACTGTTAATGTTAGTTTTTTTTTTATCCATGCTGTCTTCTCCTTTTTTTCTCAACTTTTCAAACCCCTCCCCTCCCCCCGAGCCCTCCTCACTCACCCTCAAACAGGGCCTTTATCTAGTCGGGTCCCATCTATTTCCATCCACACATCACATGCAAAACAGCTGTGAAGTTTAGCTTGTATATTTAGCTGTATTGTGAGGATTCCAGCCGGCTGCAGCTAGCTTAGCCCATTACTGCCGCACAATGGGGACTTTGACAAGAGACAGCAAGAGGAAGAAGAGATCCTCCATGCTAAGACAAAAATAGATCAGTGTGTGTTTGCATTATGGCCTCAGCAAGTGTGACTGTGCTAGGATAGACAAGAGAGTTTTCATGTGCCTTTCAAGTGTTGGAATAAAGATTTGAACTGAAGCTCTGTTGTTTCATTGACTTCAATCATGCGTATTCTGATGAGGATTTTAATGGGTCAAAGTTCACTGGTACAGAGATGCTGTGGCATATGAGACTGATTATAAAACTCTTTATTTTCGGTTGTTACTCCTCATTACTAGACCACACGGAGGGCCTGAAATGAACTTTTTGACTCACCAGCTGAAGTGGGGTATAGATAGAAAATCCACCAGCAAAGAGTGTTCTTTTTTTTGTACTTTTTTTGTGTTGTATACACAACCATCTCAGCACATTTAATCAAGATCAACTGGGGCTTTGCGATATGGCCTCAAATCAATATCACGATATATGGAGCAGTTCACCTCGATAACGATAAATTGACGATAACTACTCCACAAGCTGCTCACCCCCTCCCACGTTAACTTCATCTACTTCAATCGCTGCTACAACTTTTGAACCGTCCTCCATCTCCTCGCCTGTCTGTCCATCTTTGTTACAGACTGGATGGGGTGGAGTCACATCTCAGATGTAGGAAAGCGATATGAGACTATAGCTTACCTACACACATCCAAAACCAACTTTTATTTATTTCTTTTTTTGACACCAGATATTGTCAGTGATTGTCGTAAATTTCGGTATCTGTGAATTTTCGCTTTATCGCCCAGCCCTAAGATCAGTTCCTGCAAAACCCTGGTATGCAGACAGCAGAGGAGCAGGAGAAAGAAACTGGTGCTCAATCAAAACATGGCAAAAATAAAAAACCTCCAAATAGTTTTTTTTTTTATTTTCAGAACAGCCTTTTACCTTCCACGTGGCAGATATACACTGTGAATGGAAAATGTAGCAGCATTTGGCACTTTGCATGGGTTAACCGCACCCTGACTGAACCTGGCAGGCTGCGTGTGGTTATAACACTTAACCACATAGGTACGCTTTGTCTTTTAAAAAGCTGGGAGATGTACATGTTTCAAAAGAATGAACAGGCAGTAGTACAGTCGATATTTAGCATATAATGTGTAGAATTAAATTATGCGGGTTTTGTTTAAATATTTAAAATATTTAAGAAATTCAATCCAAATTAGTTGTCGTACCTATAATAATCCTTAATTAACACCAAGATGCTTGGATCACATTATTACAAGCATGCAAATGTGAATGAACAGTTAACCATCTACACTCCTGGTACAGATACTTTCTTTCCTGGCCGGTATTTAACAGTACTGTTTGACCCAGTTTAAATAGTGACAACAAATAGCACCAAGAATTTCACATGATGAAGGATAAAGTCCTTTTCGAGTACAGAAGGTCCACAAAGCTGCTCTGCACAGTTTGCTCCAGTTTTACATCTAACTGTGAAGATGAGCTGTCAGCATCTTTACTCTGAAGTGCTGACCGCTCTCATCCTTATAGAGCTCCATTCACATAAAGATGACGAGATTAATGTCCAGAGGACTTTTCTCACCAGTTTATTTTGAGACAGATTCATAAAAAGATGTGACACAAATTTCACAGTTTAAATCCAGCTTACTTCCTGGAGCGTACAAGTGAAGAGCAGCTCATTTATTAATGAACCCTACTGTTGTGCCTGACTGTAGAGCCCCTTTGTGCCAGGGTTGGACCTCAGAAAGTTCCAGATGAATTGACTCTTGGTTATGATATCAAAGTAAATATTATTAACCTACTTAATGTACAAGCGTAATATTTTTAGGTCAACTGGAGGTGGAATAATTGACATGATCACTGGACAGTTTAAATGTGTCATCTCTTCAGAAAACTGCAGCATAGTCACCCAAAACTCTTAGCAGTCAAAATTTCACTGTCAGTGTGTGTAGCTGCTAGCACCTGTGTTTGGGAATCAGACTTATATTGCAATGATGCTCTTTTATGTAGAAAGAGCACATTTGCCCATCAAGTTAGTCACCCCCTTGAGAGGTGAATGCTTTCAACTGCTTGCTTCTCTAGTTATACCAACTTGAGTAACGACCCCACGATAGCAATACACAGCGGTTTATGGATCCACATGCACACCTCATCAAAAAAGCCCCTCTATAGCCACAAATAATGCTCAGAACAGCACCTAACTTCATCAACAGTACATATAGGGTCCTAGCCATAGCACCAGCCACCAAACATCTTTTTAATTTAGCTTTGAGTTGCATCACCCCGCTGCAGTCTGTAATGGACTAGCCCGAGGTCTCGCTACACACAAGCGGCTGCTGGAAGAGAGTAGGTGAGTTGTGTTTAGTCTCTTTGCTAAAGAAATTAGTCAAAGTTTAAAAGATGTTTGGTGGCCTATGCTGTGGCTGGGACCCTATATGTACTGTTGATGAAGTTAGGTGCTGTTCTAAGCATTATTTGTGGCTATAGAGTGGCGTTTTGGTTGAGGTTTGTGTGTGGCTCATCAGACCGCTGTGTATTGCTATTGTGCGGCCATCACTTAAGTTGGTATAACTAGAGAAGAAAGCAGTCGGCAACATTCATCTCTCGAGGGTTGTCTAACTCGGTGTTATGGTGTGTTTGGCCCTTAATTAATTTTACGCCGGAATATCCCTTTAATCTCAGCTTTTTTCCCTAAAACTTAAAGTCTGAATGATTCTGAGTTCCATTAAATTATATTGTTATAAATTACTGTGGAGTCAATTAAATAGTAAAAAGAAAATGGCTTCAGCCAACAACTGACATTTAGTGAAAATTAATGAACATGTCTTACAGCTACAGCATGAGACCCTTTTAGGTTAATGGAAGAGTTGAGCGTCTCTGAACTGGAAACAAAAGGAACAAGCAGTGAAGTCTTTGTTGTATGAAAGCTAACCTGATTCAAATGACGAAGTCTCCGACACGGTCAGACCTAATACTGATGTGTTTATGAGTTCAGGACTTGCTTAAAGAGACAGAACTAATCTGTTTGAATATAATAACAGTGCTTCATCTTGTAGTTTAAAAGGTTTCCATGTAAAATTTTAACTTCCAATTTTAAATGAATTTGAAATTTTTTAGTTGAAAATGTAAGAATTGAGTCCAGTTTTTGTTTTTTGGCAAGCTTTGTAGTGATAATATGTTACTCTATCCAGGAATGAAGACAGGCTTGAGAGAAGTGAAAGACAGACCTGTACCAAGATGGACAGCATTGAAGCTACAGAAGAGCAGTAAGTTCAGCCATCATCCTTTCACTCTTCCATGTTTGTTTTGGCATCATTGAGTGTTGGGAGTTTCAGTCAATCATACCTCCATTTATTTCATGCTCTATTGCAGACGCCCCAGTCTTGAGGAGGTGCTGTCATGGGCACGGAGTTTCGAGATGATGCTGCGCTCGTTGGAGGGCCGGGAGGTTTTCCAGGAGTTCCTGCGCTCAGAGTACAGCGAGGACAACCTGCTTTTCTGGTTGGCCTGTGAGGAGCTGAAAAAGGAGACGGATCCCACAGTGGTGGAGGAGAAGGCGAGGATCATTTATGAAGACTACGTGTCCATATTATCACCAAAAGAGGTACCAGATGTTCATTCCACCAGAAACAACAAATACAGTTATGCTTTTGTTTTCCATTTTTATGGATCGATCGACTTTTTTCCTTCATTTAGGTGAGCCTCGACTCGAGGGTCAGAGAAGGAATAAACCGGACCTTGACCGAGCCCAGCAACCTGATGTACGAAGAGGCCCAGTTTCAAATTTACACCCTGATGCACCGTGACTCCTTCCCCCGTTTCCTCAACTCCTCTGTTTACAGAGACCTCCTGGCCAACAGGAGGCGCACCTGCCTCGACACCTAAACCCATCAAACCTTCATCATCGCCATTGTACGCCAACGAGACTACTACTTAAACTTCAAATACTACTATGGTGCCAGAAGTCGGGTTTGGAAATCTCTCCCTGTTTCTTGATTGAAAAGACTGAATGACATCCACGATAGCTGGTTGGTTTTTTGTTTTTTATTTATATATATTTTTAAGCAATTTATATCCAGTGCTCCACTGGAGCCAGGTCGGCCTTTGCTGGTCGATTATTGGTCAGTTTGAGACCATTAATGCTGGCCAGTGATTGTTTTGCTAGCATTTTGTGCTGTCTGTTATGGTTGACCGGCCGACTCACTTGTGGGCTGTTAAAGTGGCCAACCTGATGGCCAGCTGTTAGTTAACTGTGGACACGGACTCCTCAGACGCTGGGGACAAAAGAGAAAGAGAGAGAGAGAGAGAGAGAGGGAGATGAAAAGGACAGCCAACTGTTCCTGTACTGTAACATTTAAACCTCATGTTTTCTACCTTCTCTTCATCATTCTCTCTCTCTTTGCTCTTTCTTTCACATAGTTTTTTCCAATTTGGTCTCATTTCTCAGATGTGTCTATCTTTTCGTTGTTTGATTTCTTTCCTGTCCAAACACGACACCTAGTTGTTGGTGGGAGTTGGGGCATCTTCGCCCTGTTAAACCAGTAGAAGCACTGGCTCTGCATGAAACTCTCTCTCTCTAAAGTAGCTTGACAATGTAAGCCGCGGACTGCAAACGATTTTTGATTTTTGAGATGTATTATGACAGGTGACCTGTCTGTCTGGCTGTGTTCAGTGAAGGGAAAAAGTACACTTCTGCCAATTTAAAGCTTACTGCAGTTTTTTCTTTAATTGAAGAGATCTGGAGGCTCCTGCAGCAAAGGCAGCAGCAGCACCTACACACGTCCATCCAGTTGTTCATTCATTTGTCCGTCCATCACAGCACTTTCCTTCTTTAGGATTCTTTAACTGGGAGAAGTAAGGGCTAGAATTGTGGTTGGGCAGCTACATGTAATACTCATGAACTTTAAACAAAAAAACTATCTCTCCACTGAGAAAAATCAAAATGCCTTTACATGTAAGAAAAGGCAGCACAAGGGCTGCTAAAGTTTTTTCTGGAGAGCAACCACAGTTTGTCCAATGATCCCTACCTCCCATCTTTTTTTCCCCTCCCTCCAACTCTGACCATCACAGCCTGACAAGCACAGGTGCCCAGTGTCAGGGGGAAAACACAGCTGGACAAAGTCAAAACAAACTTTGACTCCTAAAAGTCATTTACATATTGGGATTGTGAGGCAAATAAAGAGGGTTTTCCTTCTACTGAAACTGAATTGACCATCAGTGGGAGGCTGGTTCTGCTTGGGGAGAATGAGCAGATACAGCAGACACCCATGTAATGAAATGGGCCTTTGAGCCCTGGCCTTTGTCTGTAAGGCTTAAGCTTTAGATGCTGTAGGTAACTAGACAGTCACTTGACTGGGATGTCCAATATCAGGCTGCAGATGTGTGACCCGGGTGCCAAACATGATGTCAAAGATGCTGTGAAGAGATACTAGATGTGACTTGTCACCAAGCTGTAGAGTCTCAGCCATGTCAGTGTGTGTCTGTGTCTCCAGCAGGTGAAGCTGGGAGAGTATAAGGTAGTTGTACAGTTATCGACTGCCCACTTAAGACACCCTTTTTTTTTTTAATCCAGCGCTAGTGAGGAGGGTTGGTGAAGTAATGCTAACATGCTACTGCACCAAGCTAGCTAAAAAGTGTGTGTAGCCATGCTACATGCTAGGCTAACTAGGTTTAAGCATGCCGTAGGCAAGATGTTAGCATGATTGTGCTAGCCATGCTAATCCTCCATTCTCCCACTGCCAGCCCTCTCACACTCTTGTTTTTTTTTTTTCTAATCTGACTTTGACAGCATGCAATGATAAATGTGTGTGTGTATGTGTGTGTGTCTGTGTGTGTGTGTATGGTACAGTTACACACCTAACAGAAAAAATTTAGAAAACAAAAAACTTTATGGGTTTTTTGCCAAATGACCCATCTAACATTTTTAGTATTCAAACAAGACATTTTTTTATTAATGATGTGAACATGAACTTTGTTCCCGGCCTGTGGATGTGCAGTAGAAAGTGCATGAGTGCAGTATATGCTATTTTTGATTTTCTATTAACCAGGCCTCCAATTATATCAATGATATCACATGTTTGTCAGCAGACCTCTCGGTTTGGTGGTTAGTTTGTTCTTTTAGTGTCAATGAAAGAGTGCCACTCCTCACTGATAAATGTAGGCATACCTTTTGCCACAGATTTTAACTACCTGAAGTTCATGTGCCAAGTTTGGTTTAGACTAAATTGTAGAGCGCAGAATGTCTCACAGACTAGTGTAATTGGATGTAGGTCGTGATTATAGATTGGAGTCTATTTGAAGTTCTGTCCCAGCATGTTAGATTGGTTTTGAACTGGTAAACATGAGACCTGTGAGAAAACTCCTGAAGTTTGAATGCCTCTGTTTGATGAGACAAGAAAATGGCTACCTCTCATGAATAAATTTTACAAAAGAAACTTCATAAAAAAGATGATTTAGTTGCTGTTTTAAAACAACAAATAGAAACGTATATCGATATAACGACATACCTCTGCCATGGAGTCAGTGGAGACCTTTGAGTTTTCCTTCAGACTTATTATCACTCTGTTTCACGACTCGATGAAGCTGCCAGTTCAGAACCAAACTATCATATTACTTGTTCTGGTTAAATTAATGAAATATAAACTGCAAAATTCCAACAAGTACATCTAAAACAATAATCATCCAACAGCTAATGTACAATATTTAACCGTAGCATACAGTACTCTCATGCAGAATGCATTACTGTCCATATGGACTTGATTGATATTGCTAACTGTAATGATGAGCTGTGCATGCATGCGCTCAGTTTTTCAGAGGCAGACAAATAAAGAGCTGTAGAGCGCTCTTAACAACGATGGAGCTATTTTCCAGAAAATATAAGCAAACTTTGTATTTTGACAGTTCTGTAACATTTCAGACTCAGTGGGAGATTGGCTGCCATTCATGAAGCTCTCCAGCAGACAAACCTCTCCTCTGTTTCCTGGTTGCTGAGTCTACAGGATATTAAAAAAAAAAAAACACGAGAATGTTTCACCAAGAACCAGATAATGAAATCATGGTGCAATTAAACCGAGTTTACATTTATAAATTGTGATATATTTGTGTACCTTGTTAAATACTCATAACATTGGGGGAGCTGATCGTCTCCGTTGAGAACAGAGAAGCCAGCGGGTGGCTGGGCATGAGAGTCTGCCCTGTGCTAGCTCTGTTAGCATGTTACAGGGTTTACAGGGAGGACAGACACAGCAGAAACCCAGGTAACAGTGTTTTATGGGAAGGACAGACACAGCAGAGTCCACAGTTCTGTGCCGTCATCCTCTCCTGTTAATTTATTGTGACTTTTACACAGTGGGGAAGAGTACACTGTTTTTTTAATAGCTGCATTTCAAATGTGGATTTTACAAGCAATGATGATGATGATGATGTGAAGTGATGTGGTGTCATCGCTGAGTTTAGAACTTTGTCTTTGAAATTTCCAGGGGTACCAAGCGAGGGGAGGGGGTTTGAAAACACGGCTGTGGTTTTATTTTACAGAAGAAGAAAAAAAGAAGCAAACAATGAAAGCTGAAGTGTCCTGTTAGGTTTGAGGGGGTTCGAGAAGCTTTGGCCTTACTGACACATTTTATTATTTTTTTCTTTGTATAAAAAAAAAAAAAACAACAACAACAAACGTCTCTGTAGGCTTTTCACTACCTCTCATGTTGGTTAATTTATTTCACATCTAGTTGTCAATGTACAAGTTGTGTTTTTAGATCTACTTGAAGCCTAACACTGTAAACAAAAAATGTGCACAGAAAAGTGACTATGTGTATGACAAGAGGGGTTAAAGAGAGCTTGGCCTAGTCTACATTATTGTTTGTTTTTGTTTGTATGTATGTTTGTTTTTTAATTATGTTGAGCTGAACTAGATTTTGCATCTCTGTAAAGAATTCAGGAATCCACTGTCTAAGGGCTAATCCCATTTTTGCCTATGCAAATCTGTTACTGTGGGTGAGTTGGTGAGGGGCGAACTTTCGCACCTTTCACCTGTTTTAGATGGACCATGGTTTACATTGCCCTTTGCTGATATTCTTCAATCTTATTCAGCAAAAATGTACGCTTATTTTTGTTTCTATATAAATATTATATATATACATACAAATATATATATCTATATATCAAGTAATATACAGAGAAAATAGTATATGCCTTCGTGATTATAAAAAAGAAACCTTGCTGAAAACAAATAAATGTGTTGTTGTCTGACATGTGGCTGTGTGCTGGAGTCTTGGTAAGATAATATAGATGACTAATATCTCAGGCTACAACCCAAGTAGCTGACCCTGTGCAGTAGTTTGTAACAGAGGGAAAACTTGATTTATTTAAGGCTCAAACACATCATGGCTGTCTGTGACGAATATGCTTTTATCCAGCCCTGGCCCTGGATTTGTCTGTCATTTTTGTGTGAAGTTTCATCAGTTTTAAACAAGACTTTGTGACTTTAGCAAAGCAAAGGCTATCGCTGCCACCGGTGAGAGTATATGGATAAATAATATGTGTGTAAGATAGCACAAGAGTCGTCATAAACAAGGGCAAACAGACTCAGTGTAGGACAGCTTTATTTCCTAATTCAAAATCACATAGTTTGACTTTGAAGGGCTGAGTCGGAGCAAACCCAAAAATAAGCTTGGGTCATTAATGGTATCTGCCTTTGAGATGTGCACTGTCCATTCGCAAAACATATTTTGTAACCAGTGTGTCATTAATATGATATATATTAAAAAAAAAAATCCATTAGCCATGAAATAATAAATATTTTATCAGGATTATATTGTCGTTGTTTGTCAGTGAGCACTGCAAAGCTGTTGTGAGTTTATATTACAAAAGTGTAACACCATGTCATCAGCATACAACAGCAACTTATTTTTATATTCTTCTTGATCTTTTTGTAGCCACATCCAATCAGACTATCACTGTGTTCAAATGGTAGCGTTGATACAGAAATCATCAGAAAAAGTGGATTTTCTTTTTCTTATTACTCAGTTACAAGACCAGTTAAGTCGAACTGAAGTTTGACTTAGGTCTGATACTTTATTTTTTAAGTCTTTTTTTTGTACAAGAGTTTAAGCTCCTGAAGAGAAGCAGGTGTGAGAACGGGAGCATTGACAATGTTATTATGGCGAAAGACAGATAGGTTTATCGACTGACGTTGGTTTGAAACCTGCTTTGTCTGTGGATTTGGTGCCTCTTTATGCTTCAGAAGAGACCTCAAGATAACCTTCTGTCCTTTGTCTGTCTCACTTCTCTCTTGGACTCTCACTTCTCTCTGTAAATCTCACACACAACCATGCTGTCAAACCCAGTACAAGCAGAGAGCAGAAATCACACCGATGTTTGTTTCCCCCCCTGCAGACACACTGTCACACAGTTTTTCTTATGAACCTCTCTGAGAGGTGTTTGTGCGACTTTAGGAAAGAGATTAGGTTTGTGCAGAAACTGGATAAAGTCGGATTTGAACAGATTTAGGCAATCACTTTTCTCTTTATTGATTTAGATGCCTAAGCCTCATGGTTTTTGTCATGCCTTTGTAGATAGATCGCTGTCATCGAAATATGACCTGCGGGTGAAAATATAAAGAATTTTAGTCACTTTAGAGGATTAAAAAAAAGTGACATTTTTTCTATCCAGCATGCTTTTGCTAAATAAATGAAATAATTCAGTTATTTGCTATAAACGATACTGTATGAGTATGTATTCAAGTACTGCAGTATGCAGACAACTAAAAATATCAGAAACTCTTTTGAGAGATTCATATTTTTCTTCTAGTATGTTTCACTAATATCCACAGTTATGGGTTCTTAATTCTTGTTTTGAGTGTCTTATGAATTGCAAGAATGACTTAATGACCCTCTTTGTATTAACAGATATAGTCTATGGGTGGTTCTTTCAACATGCATGACTCGCTTAATTTAACCAAGACAGTAACAGTTATTTATTGAGAGTTTGGTCGGTTAGGTGGAACTTTTACTTTGTTTGACTGGTTGCTTGATAACTTTTACAAAGCACTGAGATCCTGATACCAAGGCAAGTGATGTTTTATCATTGTGGTCACTGATAGTCAACAAGGCTGTGAGAGTCAAATTTATTTCTTTGACAGACTATAATCCCTCCCTGTATAGACTGTGAGGGCTGTAGTTATCAGACTCAGAGGACCAAGAAGAAAAAATGAAGCTGAGCATCAAACAGCAGCCAAAGGTAGTGAGTTCATGAGTTTAGCAGACTTTGCAACTTCCCTGAATATGTCAGAGGACCGTGTGGCTTACTCTCAGGGTCCGGCTGAACAAGCGTCAGACTGCTCTTCATTATGACTTTTATCAAAGGAAACTGATCATCAATCTTTGGTGTCCAGCTGCAACCCAAAAGCCCTGAGATGCAGGAATCCTTTGAGTGTAGCATTGAAAAGAAAATACTTGGATGTCAGAAGACTCATCCTGTTGCAGAGAAAGAATCTGAAGCTGGTATACATTTAACAGAACTGATCATCGGGGACTTTTTACAGAGCAAGAAACGTTTAATAACGTTAGCATTTACAAATCTCTGCATGATAGTGCAATACAGATGTGACTGTAGTTTTATCCATGGACAGTAGAATAAATATTCATAATTAAACCCCAGTCTGGTTTTCAAATGAAGATTTGCTTCTCAAATATTGAACGTCATTAAGTCCGTAAAAGGCTGGTCGAAACAGTAGCTAGTGGTGGGGAGCCGTCAAAAAAAACAAAAAAAAACTGTACCACATTTTTGGTGGTATAATTACCTTTTCACCATCTTGCCTAGTTTAGTTGAATAGATTGATATCACTCTTAAAGTTGTGCATTACCTCTGAAGCTGCAGCTGGCAAACTGTGTTTTTCGCTAGGAATAGCAAGCTAAAGCTAACAGGTCAAACTTGCTAGCCCGGTAGACGACTGCCCGGATCAAGAACTTGCTTAGTTCAGTCGATTTAATTTGATAAAAAGTGAATTTATTTATAAACTTACAACTCATTTTACAATGACCAGATATTTTACGCTTTAAAAGAAAAAAGCCTGATTGAAGATGCTAAAGAACTTGTCTTGCTGAACTGAGCTAACCGAGTGCTAGCTAAAGCTTCATATTTACCGTGTAGACACGAGAATGGTATGACTCTTCTCAGCTTCTTTATGCAAGGTATCTATTGTGTCCCCCGGTTGTCAAACTATCCACTATAAAGCCTAAAAAATCATTCTGCGACGTGAACGTTTAAAAAAGTTTTTTTTTCCTAACGGCCGAGGAGAATGTCACAGTGAGGAAAATACGATAATACTTTATTTGTGGAGATTTCAAACTAACTTTTGTTCTCTGTAACAGGTTCATAGGAATCATTGTAACTGTTTTTTGCAAAAACACACTCTCTCGCTGTCACAGGTTTCTGTCATCTCTCTGACTCATCTTTGTAAAATGAACTCCATTAACATGTAAACCACACACCTGAATGACTCTTAACCTGATGTGGACTACAAGCGACCACAGCAGCTCCGACTGAAACTGTAATCATGTCATGAAAAACAAAAAGCTGTTCATGATTTTCAGATATTTTGTACTGTTTTAAATTATTTTAACATGTTTTATTTATGTTTCTTTTTTTTAAGCTCCTCAAAAAATGTTTCCCAGACTGCCTTTGGCTTCAATAGCGTCACCATCACATCGACATTGTGTTCAGCTGTGGTACTTTTTAAACCACGGCTCAGTCTCTGTCTTTGTTTACACGATGACATCTTGCAGAAAGAGAAAACTCCAATCTATGGTTACTGCCCTTGAATATCTGTAATTTAAATAGTGCTGCTAGAGAAAGAAATCTAAATGTAACAACTTACAATAAATACTTAATAGATTTTTTCCAAACGTGACTGTGTGGTTATTTTCCCAGACAAATTCACCTTTAAGAGTCTTACCAGAGCTTGTTATCATTGTGAGGCTGTTTAACTTGATTCCTTGTTGATATTCACATGACGGCAACTCCTCTAGAAAGGTTTTAACACAGCAATATAATCAAGCAGTTCAGCTGTGCATCATCCAAGGGACCTGTTTTAGTCTGTTGTTTGGTTCTTTTCCTACTTTTGTTGAAGCTAAAATATCCGAAACAACTAATTTACAGGTTTTGAGAACTGTGTGTGAAAAGTGTGACATTGCTGTGAGTGCTCTTTCACTGAGATATTTGATGGATTGCTATTAAACATGGCACAGCACAGATATTCATGTTCCCGTCTGGATGGATCAATATCACTTGAAATATAGATTATTTTCTCATGTGGTAATAACACTTTTTACTGTATGTGTAAACCATAAGTGATTGAAAGCTCCTTAAAATCCTGGATTATGTGGAGTTGACAACAAATCGTTTAACTTATCCAAGAAAAGTAACACAAAATTTCGTCACCCTATTAAAATTATGGCCTGTGTCATCCTTTGACCGTGCCATGATCCTTTCAACTAAGGATTTAGGTGATTAAACCAGAGATAACCAGCATTATCAAGAGATGATTTAAGCCAAAAACTCATTTTCGTCAAAAATTTTAATAGGGTGACGATTTGAAGGACCTGTGTTTGAGAGTTTTCCTTGTATCTGTTTGACGTGATATACCCCTCCAATAGGGACCCAGATTATGATGACCGAAATCCTAAAATTGAAGCAGCATGGGGTGTCATTCCACCAAGATGTATAAACCTTTGAGACATAACAAAAAACAGCCTCATTTAAAAACGTCTTTAATTCATCAACTGGATCCAGGATCTTGTTTTCAGACTTTTTTACATTCCGACAAACAAGGTGAGACCACATGCTGAGGGCAGGAGAGGAGGCAGGTTGGTGTGCATGGGTGCTCTCTCATACAATCCTCTGAACGTATGTGTGTGTATGTGTATGTGTGTAACTTTTCATACAGTCCTCCCTGTATGTGGGCATGTGTGTGGACACTCGTGTGTCAGGTTGTGTTTGCGTGTCCTCTGTCAGACAGTCTTTTGATCAGTGGCCTCTGGAGCTGTGGAGGCAGACGCCGAGTCCTCCAGGGTCTTGTCTACCCCCTGGCTGCCGTCTCGGTCACCTGACTGAGCGCCCTCTTTCACTGTTGTGGCGGCGTTGGAATAAGTTGCGTCTATACTCTCATAAGCCTCCGATGTCCACTGAGGAAGAAGAGAAGAAGATACAACAAGACATGATAAGAACAATATCCTTCGTTTGTTGTTGAAACTGTTTTTAGTACAGAAGGCTGATCAGTGTTTCAGGCCAGAACACAACATGCCGTGCTGTCATTTGCTCCTACCTGTGTGGCCCTGCTGCTTGACCTGTGAGAGGGTCCGATGGCGATGTTGACACTAGACGACGATTGTGTATCTGTCGTGTTTCCCCCTTCAGCAGCAGAGAGCCCCGAGATAACCAGGCCGCTGGAGAAACTCCGCTTCCCAAACAGCAGGCTGAGCGTTGACGAAGACGAGGAAACCTGAGGGAAGGCAACACAAGGAAGGGGATGCATAATAAAAATATAACTGTGCAGACGAAATGCTAAGATAGTAAATGTAAGCACAAAACACACATGAGCTCATACACTACCAATTATGAGGGACAGCAGGCCGCAGCTAAGAATAGCTTGTGGCCAATACAACATCTTCATCACATGTAAGAGTCATTAGCTGGAAAATTGAGTTTGGAATGAGTTTTTTTAAAAACGGCAAAGATAAAACTGCAAACCTCAGCTGGCATTAACTCATTTAAAATCTGCAACAAAATGCAGTAATTCAGAAACGTTCGCCCTTATTAGATAGAAGAGCTGCGGAGGGGCAGGAAACATGAAGTAAAGAGAGGAGACATGCAGCAAAGGGTCATGGCTAGGAACCAAACCAAGGAAACCATACATGAGCTCAGCGTCCTAGCATGGAACAATTTCAGCTCATATCTTTGAAATTGGGTTTTTCAGATCACTCACTCACTGTGTATGTTCCTGTTTGATATTATTCCTGTTATTAAGTGCATAAGCAAGTGTGACACTATGACAATAATCCAACTCTGGTAAATGTTGTACATTCAAACCCTTGCTTCAGTATAAGTGAGTGAGTATCACCAGCAAAACCACCTTCACCAGAAATGGTTCCAATCAGGGTTTACTGCTGCATGGATGTGTGTGTCACATATAACTGGTTCTAGAGATTTTTGGTTTTTTAAAGGTTGGAGTGAATTAATTAACTATGATATACTAATTGGGAACTTTGAGCTTAAAAAAATGATACTCTATGAGCTCTCAATGTGTAAATTTTTTATTAGCTCAGAGTTTTTAAACCAGAAAAGACTGCCTATCTTTTGTTTGTTAGAAAATGCAAATTCATGATCAACAAACTTGGAAACATCTGTATTAGTGTACAGGAAATGATATTAAATACAATTTTAAAATGACTCAATAAATCTACAAATATGGCGCTGGAAAAGTGCAGATTTTGACTTTGGTGAAGAAAAAGTACTTTAGACAACTCCTTTACAGTGAGAAAACTGATCTGATTTATTCATTGTCATGGATTTGAGCGGGTTGCAAAAGTTTTTTTTTTTTTTTTCATTTTGAGATATTCATTTCCAGCTCTGTGTTTAATGTGTTTGTAGTTTGCAGGTACAGAGGCTCTCACCTGGCTTGAGCGCTGCTGATGCTGCGCTGCCTGCAGCTGCGAGCTGATCCCACTGGCTCCTGACAGACGAGGGACCTGAGGAGATACAAAGATCTTCTTACTGATTTTTTTTTTTTTCCTCTTTGCAAAAGCCCACTACTGCAGATTCTACTTGGCTGGGTGGGCTCCTAAATACCTGTGAAAAAATGGAGGCTATGGACGTGTTGAAGGACAGCTGACTGTTGGACAGACGCTGCACGAGCCCATGGGTGGAGCCTGAATCAATGATGGGTCCTGACTGGCTGCTGACGGGGGGGCGTTGACTCTGAGGCTGCACAGACCGACTGCGATATTCTCTCCTGGCTGCAGAAACACACATGATCACACAAATACCCATTAGTCAGAGCACTTATTAACACATTATTCTGCATGTCCATATTCTAAAACTACCAAGCCTTAATTAAGGGTTATCCCATAATAACCTCTAAATTACTGCTTATTGTTAAAAGCAGCTATTGTGTGTGAGCCTATACAATGAGGAAGTGTATGGGCCCACTTCCTCAGCCCATTACAGTAACTGCAAATGGCTGTTTGCTAATGAGTCTAGCTCTGCGTAAGGGTTTGACATGTTTAAAGAAGGTTTTGAAAGTGTTGTGTACTAGGGATGGGTGACATGGGCTAAAAAATTTATCACAATAAGGTCCCGATAATAAAATATTCAAATTCCAGTCTATATTTTCGACTCATTTAGTCTTGAAAACACCAGTTGGAGTTATCAAATAAGATACTTAACCACAAGTTTGAGTGGTAGGTTATGGAGAAAACTGATGACATCAAGCAAGTCTCAAATGTGAAAACATTTTCAACATCTGTTGAAAACTCTTGTTGCACAGAGTGAACCGCAGCAGATCAACTGTCTGATGTCAGGCAGACCTGAATGGGCTCATCTAAGCCCCAGTCCTGAAGGAAATCCCTCATGAGAAGCCTCGTTCAGTAACAAGCTGCTCAGAAACACCTTCTTCATTACCTTCAGCCAACTTTGTTTGTTATTCTGCTCTGTGTAGGCTGTGGCTGTAAGTCCGTCGTTCGCGTTTATGTCATCAACTTGCATTTATCATATTTATCATAAGCTCGCAAATCATGATCATCGAGGATTTTTCTGACAATATATCGTGAACGATTAATTTATCGACCATCCCTACTGTGTACACACAGTGGCTTGGTTTCTCTTTTTTAACTTTATAGTTAACTCCCAGGAAAATTTAATTAAAAATAAAATAAAATTAATTAAAATTAATTTGAAAAAAAAAAAAAATTACTTAAAAATTTAATAAATCAAACTACTAAGTATTTTTACAAATTTTTGTAAAGTATTTGATTTTGACTTGAAAAGTGACGTTTAGTCTATCTGTGTGAACACGAAAAGGAGAAAACAAAAACAAACCAAAAAGCTTATAATGAGAAATCTGTTTGTGTATCTGAATTGTGTTTTGTGCCTCTCTTTGTGTTTTATTCTCCATTTTTGCTTTTGTTCTCATCCATTTACAGCTCAAGTTTTTTTTTTCTAACAAGAATAATCATACACATGGTTCAACAAGTTGTGTATTTCTCTCTGTGTGAGTGTGTAGTGTGTACCTGCGTTGTGTCGGTGGCTGTGTGTGGTCCTGGCTCTGTGCTGGTACAGGCTCAGGCTGTTGGATGTTACAGAGGACGGGCGGTTGTGGCTCAGTGAGGAAGAACCGCCAGCGGCGCAGTCCATATCCTCCATGTTCACGCCGCTGTTACAGCTGGTCAGGTTGTCCTTACGCACCCTGCAGAACACACACAACAAACACACAAACATATGGCTCGGGTTGATTTATTCATGCGCTTAGTGGAGCATGGGACAAAACCTGCAAAGGACCATCAAAAATTTAGTATGCGAGGTTACACACACACACACACACACACACACATAAATTCACACCCAGAGACAGGAAGATGTTATATAACTGTGCTCTCATATGTGACACACACCAGTGCAGTCCCTCTCTTAAATAAGTTAAATGTGTTCTGGCTGAAGAAGCACAGCAGCTCACCTCAGCTTCTCTGCTACTTAGTGAAATTAAGGCAACACCTTTTACTGAAACAGGATTAACAATCTAATCTAATCTGAAAGGAAAACTCAGCCCTTTAAGAAGCTTAAGTAAAAGCACCACTGAGTCAAAGACACACACACATGCACACACACACACACACACCATATTAGCTGCCCTGTAGAGGTTAACGCAAAGCCTGTGTGATGAATGATGCCTGAGGTAATGTGTTGAGGAAAGAATGAAAAGAGAGGAGAGAGGGAGCGATAGGAAAAGGGAGGAGACAAAAAAATCTGGCAGCACTTCCAGTCTGCACTCCTTTTCTCTTAACCATGCTCTCCTGCTGTCCGTGTGTGTTTAAAACTGCATTAAGCTGAGAGGAAGTCTCTCCAAAGCAAACACTGACTTCCAATATCTGTCAGTATGGTCAATATCTGTTGAGTCACACCGAAGAGCTCACTCAGCTGACAGCCAAAGCATTACACTGCAATTTTCAACTTTTTCAGACTGATTTGTGTGAAACACAACCAGCAGAATATGTGAACAAACATGTAATTTCACCTCATAATAACTTTACCTCCTTTGGTGAAAGGAGGTGTTTTCACAGCTTATAAGTAACACTGTATTATTAGCCAGAATAACCACATTAGACATGAGGGCATACCCTACATGACAGTGCATCTGTTTCTCAGCAGCGTACAGACATTTTAGCAACAGTACGGTCAAAATAGTCTCCTATGAAATTATATTCTGCAAAAGATGAGCGATATTTTTAACAGCAAGTAAAGGAACAGCTGAAACTGATCACAAACAGCCTCTGAGATATAATAACTGGGAGGATTTTACTGTAAATGTGCACTCCGCATGATACCCGGTGGAGTAAATTGACTTACTCACTTAAAGTGAGTGATTCAAGGAGCCCTTGAGACTGATGTTGGTTCCAGGAAAGAAACCCATGACCTTTCAGTTACAACATCATCTTTTGACCAACCGTACTAAAATACCTCCAAGATGAAGAGGGAGTCTTTATTTTCCCCCTTAAAGCATGTGAGGAGAGTTAAATAACGGGCAGGGTCATAGGGGCAGGTTTGTGAGAAGTAAGCACGAAAACAGAGAGAACTGATTTTTGTTTTTTAAGGTTTCAAATGTGCAGGGAAAAAATACATGTGCAAAACTGACCGTAACCATTTCGAGCAGAGCCATGAACGGATGGCGTCCAGGCTTAGAGCTCCTCCGCCAATGCTGCGAAGTGTGCGGTGTGTTCCTGCGTATGAGGTTGTGAGTGGTGACACATACCTGCAAGAATCAGTAATACAGAAAATATCAGAAACAAGGGACTCCTGCAGAAAAGCTTTAAAATATGAACCATTAAACACCCCGATCATCATCATCATAGATAATGTAAAATTCAGTGAAGGTGAAACGTACATTGGGTAGCCAAGCGGCTGATCACAGGATGAGTTGACCATATTTCTAAGAGCCTGTTTGGAGTTCTGGATGCTACCACGCTCCGGGTTTCGGTTCCGTAAAAATACCAACTCTTGCTGCTGGCCGGCCCACAGACCTCGCACACACTCCTTATTGATCTGCAAAGGGATGAAAGAAGTGATCAGATCATATTCTAGGATGAATAAACATGATTGGAAAAAGAAGAAAATGAGAAGTGCAAAGACAGTTTCTCATCTCTGAGTCTTTCAGAAAGTCACTTATAGGAGCAGAGATCTGAACTGAAGGATGCTATTAGGCTTCATTCATCAGAGCAGATGATTTGGTTTCAACATCATCAATACTGAACATTAATGTAGGAGAAAATTACTGCACTTATCAAAGTCACTGCAAAGTCAAAAGACTTTATTTCTACCCCAAACTCCCCCCAGGGAAAAATAAAGTATTCTCATTATGAAGAAGTACAAGTTTACAAAATGAGGGGATTTTTCTGTCTGAGAATCAAAGTACAATTAAAATAATTAATTATGAATCATGAATTATCAGTGTTTAACCGTTTTTTGTGTAAAAGTTAGTTTAATCTTGTGACAAAGACTGAAATCAACCAGACTCTGTTTTTCCGAATGTGACAAAATCTGCTTACCTGCACCTTTGAATCTCTTTTATCCAAATGTTACGTTTCATTTCTGAGCTAAAAGTATGTTTTTCACTCTTGGACAGAGCTATTTTCAGCCTTCATGCTAACAGGAATAAGCTTCTCATTCAGAGAGCAGCAGCATCCATTTATAGCTGTTATTCTTAGAAGAAGAAAGTATCTTTATCTCAAACTATTCCTTTCTCGTGATCCCCTCAAGTAAAAGAGTAAATGTTCTGTTAGCTGAGCTGAAACTGGAGCACTTACAGTAACTACTGAGGAAAAGTTAATGATCTGTAAATCCACTGTGGTCAATAACTCAACTTTAATCAGATGTCTTTACATGTTGGTAAAATGTATGAGTCGGCACTTTTCTGTCTGACCAGCAGTTCAAACCTGTTATTTATAGATGATACTGAGTAGTTCCTGTATGTACTGCAGTTTTTTGTCAGGGTTTTCGGTCCGGCTCTACATAAAAGTTATGTTTTTACTCATCCACAAAGACAGAAATGTATCTGTGATGGTTGTATTTTGCTTCACCAGGATGTTAGACAGACCTTCAGCACAGTTCGAGACACATTTGTCGTGTACCTGAGCTACATTACTCATTCATTTCGCACTATCATCCTCTCTTGGCCTAAGCCGCAACCTGAAAATGAAAAATTTCTCACACATGCACCACAAGCTCTCTGGCCATCTCACCTTGATGACCTTGAAGCTGAGGTGGCGTTTGTACAGCATGATGATCTTATACTCGTCTGTGCCGTCATCGATCATATGTCTGAGTGTGAGCAGCGTGTCGCGGCTGGAAAGCACCGCCTTACGCCAGGCCGGGTCGCTTTCATGGCAGATGACCAGGCTGCTGCGGTAATTTGTGATGGCTTCGTACAAGATAGATGCCTCCTCGGTCTCTTCCAGACAGGTGAAGTGATCCTGAAAAGGTAGAAATAAGGCATGATGGAGCACCGCAGAGAGTGAGCAGATTAAAGAGGGAAAAACGTCCACCACAGGAAAGACAAATGGCCGTGGTTATGAGCTATTATCAGAGGGGGAAAAAGGATGCACAAATGTCAACCAGTAAATTCAAACAAAGGCGGACAGGAGATAGATTTACAATTGACGAAATACAGGACTTGGAAACAACCGCAACAGCAGTCTGAAAGCACAAACCTGATGCAGTTTGAGGCTCATTCTGACTGCAGGAGCCACCACCTTCTGCAAGAGGTCCAAATCAGCGAAAACCCACTCATCTTTAGTGGCGATGCGGAAGTCGCCTTTAAAGAGGGTGTTGAAACCGTAGAGAAAAGACTCCAGACTTTGAGAAGAGAGGCAGCGGGGAAAAGTGATAAAAAAAAAAAAGAGAGAAAAGAAAAAAATAAGGGTTTTCACAATCTTAATCACTCACATACAAAAGAGAGCAGTGACAGAGTATGATGAAAGATTTATCTGTTAGTGCCCCCTTGTGTTGAGTACGTCACACTGCTAAAGAAAACGGACTTCAACCTCATCCTGCTACAGAGAATCATATTCCTACAGCAGCTGTGCAGAAACTAAAGCACTGCAGACACACACGGGACTCTTTTATTCATAAAAATAACTTATAAATTAAATTTAAATGCAGAAAAAAAAGTCTGGCTTTTATAATTCTAAACTAATCAAGAGTATTTCCACAAAGGTAATGTTATTTACCTGTTGGTCTTTATTCATTAGGTTTGATTCAATCATTTATTATGTTTAAATTAGTTTATAACTAAACTCAATGAAAATGTTAATGGTAAATAAAAAACTTCAGTGTGTTTAAAAAAGCACAAATGAGCATTTCCTCATTCAGGAACACTTAACAAAGTTTGTCTATCTTCACTTATGATGGCAAACGTAAGCGAATATAGGCCGGATATTTCTGTCTAACTTTGTGTCTCTTATCAGTTTATTTTACTTACTGTACAGTACATTTTGACATTTATCATCTACCTCTAATGGTCACCTGTGGCTACAGTGGTCTAACTGGATCTAATAGAAGAGGTGGTTCTTCTTCTTTCTATCTACTAATAGTTTATTCAATTATGATTTCACTCCTAATGAGACAAATCCTGTTAGTAGGATTCATGAGTCCTAGAGGCTTTACAAATAGTTGACAGTTCAAACCTATAAACCAGGTTTCCATGTGTCTTTGTGTTATTTACAGAGGGATCTCAGACATACTCATCAATCTTTATGATGTGACACTCTTTTTAGGCTTACCTGTTGGACATGTTGTGTGATGCTGTGCCGAGCGATCTCCTCCCGAGGACAGAGAGAGCGTAACACAAAGTCACCAAAGAAGAGTCTTCATCGCTGTCCACAGGCTGCACCGAATACAAACATGAGGAGACGTTAATTTTAAAGACAATTGAATATGAGAAAGACAAATAGAAGTACAGATTATCTAAAAAAACATTCATGGTGATGTGATTTACATCTTATGAGGGAAATACTGCAGATAGGAATCATATGAGAATTTAGATTAACTTAAATCTATGTAATGCCACTTAATGACTCCCTTTTACTCACTTTCCAAACATTGTCAGTAAATGATGAGGTTACGCTTCTCAAAACTACTGAGTTTTATCTCCTTAGCTTTTAACACCCAGTAGGAAGTTGACTTCATTTATTTTATTTTCTTGATTTTATTTATTGTGTTTGTTTTTATTTTGAGTTCACTGTTTTATCTCATTTTATTTTGACCTCATCTATTGTCCCGTTGTGTTATTCATTGTATTTTTATCTTGCTGTGCAGCACTTTGGAAACCTTGCGTTTGCTTATATCATGCTATATAAATAAAATGGATTGGATTGGATTGGAAAAGTTAAATGTTGGGGTTGATTTTGTGTAGTTACATAATTGACCAATTAAGAAGTCTTACAAAGTTACCCGAGGTCCACCCTCCCTAAGCAGCTCTAACCTATAATGAAGTCTGATATAAAAAGAGACGTACTGTCTCCATCTTCCCCGCACAGTACTGGATCCACTCCAGGTAGACGTTGCAGAAGCTGGCGCGTGTCACCCCCTGCAGACAGTGCACATAGTCTTCATCGATCTTCACACTGAAGACCTGAGGGTCACGTTCAATGTGGTGCCACTTGGTGTAAGACTGCAGCGCCTCCTCGATTGAGGCGTCCTTGAGCCAGGTGGAGAGTTTGGGGGAGTGGACCAGGTAGTAGATGATGCTCTGGAGGGAGGAGAAGAGAGCTATGGGCTGCCACATGTTGTGATTAATACATAAGATACTGCTTTAACTGCCTGTCACACCTTTTAACCTTTTGGCTGCAAAATGAGTCTGTTGAGACAAATAAAATATTGAATTTCCCCTCCAAAAACTGAGCAGAAGGTCAGTAATGTGCCAAAATTTGATGAATTATTGAAGCTGCAGTTGGGACCTTTCAGTGTCAGGAATTTAATAAAATTAAAGCTCCAAAAAAAGAAGGTTAACGAAGTCTTTTTAACATCTCCAAAGGAACTGAATTCTGAATATTAAAAAAAAATGAGATGAGAGTCCAGATGAGCTGTTTTTGTATAAAAGAGGGGCATGATATTGATGGATAAAACCAGCAGAGGCAGACTCTGGACACCTGAAATATACTGAAGCAATTTGTGATATGGGAAAAAGCAAAAGTAATGTGCACAAATTCAAAAAATCTCATTTTTCTTCTTTCTTCTTTCTTAACAGAAGATCAGTTCAGGTTAGAGCTACAGTTACAGACACATGATAGGTAGCACGTCTCCTCATGTAAAATATTCCCAAATAGACACACACGGATTGATTCGAACCTTCAGGTAGTAGGTGATGAGAAGCTTTCTGAGGTCGTACACTTGCAGCATAGTAGCGGCGTTGTTCTCACTGATGCTGTAACCCTCGAGCAGGTACTTAGTGGCCATCACCTCCCAGGCCAGCCAGCGCAGGTTGAAGGCCGCATTGCAAGACAGCATGTGAGGCAAGTGGCCCGGTTCACAGCAGCAGCACGCGTCGTCCTCCTCCACGCCTTCTGTGATGGCCTCCACTTCTCGCTGTTGACAGTATGTACCTGGGATGGAGAGAGATAGAGTTAGCCGGTTAGTCAGCGTTGAGTTTAAGAGTGGAAGAAAACGCCGGCAAAGATCAAAATCTACCTCTGAATTCCAGCCCTCTGAGCTGGAAAGTGACCAACCCGTTGCCAATCTCAATGAGGTGGACCAGGGCGTTGAGGTAGTCAGACGCTAGGATGAAACAGTCTCCAGCGCCGTAGTTGCCCCACCGACCCAGCATGAGGTCTCCACAGAGTGAATGCTGCAGCGAGCGGGTCAGGTACTCGTAGAAGATCGAGTTCAGGTTGCTATCATCACACCCTGTAAGCAGACGATGAAGAGGTGGGAAGACAGGTCAAAGATGGTGTCAAGAGTTGCAACATGCATCCTTCTCTTCATTTATTCTTAACTATAAGAGCCATGCAGTGACTGCATCCTTTCTTTGTGCTTCTTTGAAACAACAAAAGTTCGAAAGTGTCTCTTAATAGATGAAAGGGCTTACCTGTCTCTTTATCAACCTGCGACACCAGTCTGCTGTTAGAGTTGTCTATACGATTTGTGCTGCAGACAACCAGAGATAAAAAACACCATGTTAAAGATGCAGTATGCAATTTTTGCCACTAAAGTCTGGAAATCAAACTAATAACAAAAGATGAGGTCTGGGTGTTTTGTCAATAAGTACAGGGTCACAGGAGTTGTTTTTTTATTGTTTGGCAACAGCTGATCGTTAATATTTCAAGACTTTTCTGTGGTTTCAGTCATCATCTACATAAAACTTGTTGTTGTCATGCTGTCTTGATGTTAATGATGTCAATCTGCTCAGCTACAGCCTATAACTCCTAGACTCAACTCCTGCAGCGGTGCCGCCAGAAGAGATTTTTAATGTTTCAGTTCCAAAACAAACCCAAGCATCTAAATATAACCACAAGCTGCTTTATGTCACATCAGTGAAGTTTGCACAACAAAGCTGCAGCTATTTTGGAGAGCTTTCAGCGGTGCTGAAGTACAGTCTCCTACATCAATAAATAAGAGGGAACAGAGGGGTGACGTTGTGTAAGAGCGAAAAACAGGAGGAGGAGGGTATCTGTATACAAGTCAGCTTCACTCACTTTGAAAGGTCGGACTATGAATTTTATAAATAGAGAAAAAAGATCGAGCTGCTGTTGTTACTGTTTAAACAAAATAAATGTAAAAGAAATCCATGTCTAGATTCCTTTTTAACCCACCGACGTTGTCTTTGTAAATCCTTCAGAGCCTTTAGCATCCTTAAAAACATGACACATTTTATAGACCTTGTTTTTATAAAATACTTTGATTATTCCTAAAGGAGCAGTACTGCAATTTTGAATATACTTAACAGACATGTTTCAGTAGTGGATTTTTTTAGACCAATTTTGTCTTTGTAAATTTCATGGCAGTCTTATTGTGTATGTACAATTGACTCAAAGAACAATAAGTACAAAAGCAGCTTCAACTATGCAGGAAAAATATTTATAAAAATGAGAAAAAGTCATCCAGTCGAGCTGACTGATATTTGTCTGGACAATAATGGTGCTCTTTGGCTTTAAGGACAAAGATGCATCAGGCTGACTAACAGAACTTGCTGGAACAGGAAACTTGGTGCATTATTGTCCGGTAAAATCTTTCAAATGATCTGATGACAATACAACTTTTTTTTTTAATAACCAGCAGCTGTCTTTAGTCCATCCTAATCCTGGATTTAAATCTCTCCGCTGTTTGTGAATCTGTATCCAGACCCACTGACTCACTTCATAAGGATCTTACTTGTAGTTTCGCTCCCAAAACTTAATGGGTCGAGGATAGGAGGAAATGAAGATGGCGCTTCCCAGGAAAGGAGCCAACGGAGTGTAGAAGATGGTGGTGAGTAAAGTCTGAAGCAACAGCATTGCGGAGTCTGGTTACACACAGCAGTCAAGGAGAGGAAAGCTAGAACTGCTGTCTATAACACACACACACACAAACACAAATTCACACACACACACAAAGAAGTCTGAGAGGAAGGATACGGGGCACAGCAAACGGCTGAGCAAAGGCATGGAAAGCGCTGCCCCAGGCGATCTGCCAGGGAGCGATGTAAACCAGGATGAAATGGAGCTTCAGCAACAGCTCTCGCATCTGTACAGAAACACAAACAACACAGTCAGTCCTCTATGTGCAGACATCAACACAGCGGTCGATTCATCTCACATCAGAGTGTGTTATTTTTATGCATCAAACAAACTTTGTCTCCCTGCAGAATCAAGTGATATTTATGACATTTTCCACATCGGACCATATGTGGTCAACTGCGGCGTATGAATAAATGTGTGTAAACGCCACTTGAAAAAGAAACCCAGACACCATACTGTAGAGTTGTGTTAAAGATGTCATATTTTATAGTATCCTCTAAACACTGGGTTTGAGGAAAGAGAAAATAAGCACCATAAAAGAGACTGGGGGACCAAATCCAGTTGGGACTCAATCCTACAACCAGTGACTTCAGGACTGTTCCTGTTGTACATGGGATGCCTGCTCTAACAAGTGGACAAAACTTGCAAAATTTAGCAGGAAGTTCCCATTTCAGAGCCCCTTGGTTATTTGATATGTCACTTTTATAAAGTTTCAGTACTTCAGCAGATACAGAATTTATATTATCAGAGTTCTGAGGCTGCAGGGTTGTTAAGCTTTTGGTCATAGGTTGAATGTTATTGAATTATCTTTGTCTTCTTTATTTGCTTAAATATTCACTTCTAAACTATCTGAAAAAGACAAGCTGCCAACCAGAAACAAAATGAAAAAAAAGTTTGTTTTTATGTCCCAGACCTGTTATTTCACTGTAATCCACGATCCCAAAATGCAACTAAATTTAATATAAGTGTAATACTGAGTCGACTTCGTTATGTTTCACTGTAAAGATCTGTAAAGTGAAACTGGTCAAACCATTTAAAAGTAAGTCACGTAATACCTGTCTGTCAGTTTCTTAAGTTCTTGCAGGTGAGTGTTGCATCTGTGTTTTGCATTTTTTTCTCAGAGAATTTTGTGTGTCAATTTTTGTTTGTGCATCTCTGGATCTACAGTGCCCAGCAGAAGTCAGTACACCCCCAAATAAAAGTCATTTATAACTCAATATCTAGATGCACAAAAGCACTATTTCCTAAGTTTTGAAAAAACTGAGTTTATCAGAACATTTTAGTTACCATGAGATGAAAATAAGGGTGATATGGTAACTAAAATTTGTCTTTGCTCGCAGAACTTTGATTTGGGTGTACTCAGTTTTGCATCCTGATTTTACATTTAAAAAAATACTTTTTTGTATGCATCTTAAAAAATCTTGTTTTCAATAGATGGCCTACATTTGGGGAGTATTTTGTTTCTAAAGTCTGACATAGAAAATGTTGATTTTGAAAAGAAACAAAAGATTTTCTGACAACTCTGAAGGGGTGTACTCATTTATGCTGAGCACTGTATCTAGTATTACATTAGCCAACACTCACTCTGGATATCACCAGACTGAACTCTTACCTTGTGGAAAATAATAGACATAACGAAGAAATCCAGCAGGAAGCTCTCTGAGGCGTGCGGACAGTCAAAATGAAAAAAGATGAGCGTGAAGAGCAGAGTGAGGAACTGGAAGCTGGGGTCGCAGAAAGATGAACGCAGGAGTTTCATTCCAGCCACTGTGGTCAGGAGGACATCACAGCTGAAGGAAACACAAAGACAAGTTCAGACCAGCACTTCAGATTTCTTAAAGTTGTGTATATGTAACGGGCTGCCTCGTGTATGTTGCTGAATGTGTTTACTCACTGGATACCCAGCTTCTTGCGGTGACTGAGGGCGAAGCCATCATTGGTGAGCGCGCTGAGCACGATGGCGGGGTACACCACATACTTCTCAAAGCACAGGAGCCCCACGTACAGTCGCTCAAACCACATCAGCACAGCGTCCTCTGAAACACACAAGCAAGTGAAGAGGACTCATTCAAACAGATCCGAATAAAACAAATCTCCAGAACATAAAGACACTAAGTTAAAGGTTTCCAGAAACAAGAGCTTTTTCTTTTTGTTGTTTTGGGGTTACTCTGAGGGGAGTCTGTCAGGATCTTATTGAAAAAGCTGTTTTTAAATTGCAAGTCTCAAGGGTCCCTCTGCAAACATGCCCAAAATATCACTGCCACCTCTGTCAGTAAAACATAGTGTCAAACACAAGGAGTCTGAAAACACTTTATACATAGAAATCAATTAATCGGTTTTAATCGTGGACCTGGATGCAGGTTATTTAATTTTTTCACACATTTTCCCAAACAATCCATTTAGAGAACCCCTCGACCTTTTCCTGTTCAGAGATTAACATGAGCAATTTATTAAGCTTTCAGAAATGTTTGAGTCTGACCTCTGGGCTCAAACTGGTGGTACTCTTTGGTCTTGAGTACAGGATGGGAGATCCACAACCAAGGGTGATGTTTCCTCAACTGGGGGATCAGGTAGTGGGTGACAAACCCCACCGTAACGGCCAGAGCATACAATACGATGGTGACAAAAGGCTGGGAAAAAGTAGTCAGATATAAAATAATGAGAGAAATAAAATGAAAACAGGACAAGACGTACCAGGGGATATGAAAAAAGGAAGCCGTCTCACCTTGAGGGACAGAAACACAGTGCTCGCAGTGATGGCAAAGGTCAGGATGTAGGCGACAGAGCACACCACTACATCCGACAGCAGAATCTCCTTCTGAAGAGCGTGAGAGGGTGAGATGTGATCATTTATAATCCGCACTGAATGAAAACTCATCCGTCTGACTCATTTAGGTTTGATTACTTTTGTCTAATTGCCTCCGTTTTTGGAGATCAAAGAGCAGCAGCTTGCAAAGAGTTAAAAGCTTCATAATCCACCATTAAAAGTGTAAAAGGCAGCGAGAGGCTCATTTTCCTGAATGCAAAATTCCTCGTAATCCTACATGATGATTCATTATCTGTCTTGAGAAACCATGTTTTATAGTCTCACATACCTCCGGTGTGAAGTAATTATTTCCTGTTAAATATTAATCCAAGCTGCCACTCTAGGCAGATATAACATCTGTTTATTTAACACTTGAAAAGTGTGATCATGTTTTCATGAAGCTGAAATATCCGACAAGAACATTATCAACGAAGCAATCAGCTGAGATGAACATAATCCGTTTTATTCACCATGGAGTTCTGCAGTTTCTCAGGAAGTGGGTCTTTAATGTCTGTGTCTTCCTCCTCTTCTTCCTCACTCTCCACTAAGGCAGGCATAATCTTTGACTTGATCAGAGACCTGAAAATGTAAATGTCACAAATGTGGCACAAGATAATGTATCCTGTATGAAAAATACAGACATGGCATAAATATATATATATGCTAAAAACTCAGCAAATATTAAAATATTTCCTTATGTTAATAAGAAACAATGTCTTTTTTATGCCGCTATTACTCTGAATTGTTATTTTTGACACGTACTGAGAAGCTGCTGAGAAGTTGAAAATGTTTATAGGTTGGAACGCTATTGTGTTACTCTTGAGGGATAAAAAAATCTACAGAGGAATAAAATATTTCTTTGAAACTTAGTTTAGTAGAAATGGATTTGACAAGAGGAGACAAACAGAAGACAGAACTGGTATCCATTTAAGTGAGAGTGCACATAAACTTCACAACAAGTCAGCCAAAAAGTCTAGCTCCACCCCTGCATGCCCACACATGCACTGATACTCACAGCAGCACAGAGGGGTCACTGCTCTGTCGGCTGAGGTGGTAGGAGAAAACCACCAGAAGTCCACAGAAACCAGAGAACAAAGCCGGCGTGTGCTGCTCATCCCACGGCTCCTGTAACAACACACACACACAGACACACACACACAAACCTGAGTGAATAACACTATTATGTCTCCAACAGTTCAAAAGCTTCTTCTCCAGCTGAAACCTTTACGTCACTTTGAAAGATGACTGGCAACACTTTGTATTTTGCTGCAACTCTACTTGCATCAGTGAAACTGCCCGGCTGCACGCTATTTATAATTGAACTCCCCATCTTCTTCTATTTCTTTAACAAGGAGGATGACCGTAAACCCAGATTCACATCAAAACTCTGAAGATGCCAGAGGGAGAGGAGAGAAGGGAGCATTCTTTTTTTTGTTTTTGGTTCTTTTTTTACCTTGAGAGCGCCAAAGCAGAAACCATACAGCAGAGACAGAGCAATCAGACTGCGTAGGATGCTGTAGACGGCCGAGACGAGACTCGTAGCAGCTGAAACACAATAAAAGTAAGAATGAAAATACATGCCTCTAACTTGGAATTAATCAATAACTAATCTAGTTATTTTTAATTACTTTTCCTTGGTCATTTTTTTGTTAAATACATGAACACGTTTTCCTACACAAATTAGAATAATTATGGACATGTTACTTTTTCAGACGTAAGTATGTTTTCCCATCAAGGTTGAGCATGTTTTAACCTGCATCATCAGGTGGGTTAAAGTCTGATTAATCATCATCCACGGTTCTTGACAAAACAGGTTTGTATTTTTCAATTATTATTTTTGGTATTTAACTTTTGGTCACAAAATTTCAAAATGACTAAATCAATCACAGAGGCTCAAACCTGAAAATCTGAAATCCACACATGCATCCAGAAATCCCAGTATAAAGTAAAAGGTTAAAAAAATGACCAGAAAGAAACTCCATTTCTGTTTCGCTACACTAACCTGTTCCTCCAAAGAGGTGCATGTCAATCTGCTCCAGCAGGTAGATGGTGAAGGTGTTGATCTGGGGGAAAAGGCCCACCAGGAAAGTGAACGGGAAGCAGTAGGTAAAACCTGTCAATAGATCAAACACACAGAAGTCTTTTAGTATCTGTAATGAATAAACAATATAGTTTTGAGCCGGAGATAAATCTAGTATTTGACAACAACAAGTAATGTTGCATGATGGTCTGAAGAGATGCTCCCTCTAGAGGCTACATGTGTCGTCACATGATTCCCTACCCACGAGCATGTCCCGTAGGAAATGCAGCGCGTCATGGCAGACGATGGTGACTCCATACAGGGTGGAGACTGGCAGGTCTTTTATCCTCAGCAGCTGCTCCAGCAGCCAGATCAGAGTGCAGAAGATACAGAAGTAGGCCGCTCGACTGTAGGCCACCAGCTGGTTATGACCCTGGAGACACACAAATCGGGACACACAGCACAGGATTTTAAAGGAGCAGTAGTAGTACACTATGCTGTGTGTTATAATTCGAGGGTATGTAAATATAAACTGATTAATTACAGATAAAGATGCATCAATACCCAGTGAAATGTAATCACTTTGATTAATCGTGGTTATCATGACTCATTAGGCGTTCAATGTGCCCATGAAGGAGAAGTAAGTAAGTCAAACAAGAAGCTGTACGTGTCCATCTAGTCAGCATCATCAAGTCGTTTGTGAGGATGTTAACGATTATGTCATGCAGGGTCACATCAGTTTACAACTATCAGTTTATCTTTGTTCTTGTTTTTAACCAATATCTTCCCCATCTATGTGCATACATCTGTGTTCTCAGTCAACAACTAAAGAATGAATGGAAAAAGGAACTGATGATGTGATATACCAAAGACTGACATCATGCAGCGCTTAAAAAGGGAACAACGGTTACAAGTCAAGACCACACAACAGAGGCATCATAAATGTGTGTGTATGAGTTCCTTTGGAATACATTAAAATACAGCCAATATATATTTATTTATTTTCTTTTTACTTTTTAGTCAGAGTTTTTCCTTAAACAATGAACAGTATCCGAGACAAGATCAGTGGTGTAGAAAAAATAAAATAAAATAAAATAAAATAATAATATAAAATAAAATAATAATAATAATAATACCATAACCAGGTATTGCTGAATATGATGCAGATGTATATCAAATATCTATTACTTATTGTAGTAATAAGGAAAAACAAACAGGATAAACAAATAGACATACAAAGATAAATAAGAAAAAAAAAAGAAAGTGGTTAACTAAATAGTACAGAATGAATAAATGATATATCAGTAGAATATTTTTAAAGACTTTTTCGTTTTCAATTAAATATTTTTTAGATTTAGTGACTAAGTAAAGTTAAACTCACATGAGTAGGTGAAGCTGCATCAGGTTGAACACTCTGAAAAGACAAGCAAATACTAAATGAGCATTTATATACTGAGATGGAGGACAGCTAGAAACAATATGTAAGCTCAACAGAAACAGGTGGATCAGGGGTCATTTTTCTTTAAGCTCAAACATCGTTCACAGTGTCCTTTCCTTTTCTTAAAGTTTCGTCTAATTACTCCGAATTAGAAATTCAGGTAAACTGCTCAAAGCTATATTTAGAGGGCAAAGAAGTTTATGTATAATCTACCTTTCACAGAGGTTTTGTGTCTTTTTACCTTCAGTAAGGAATACTGGCAGCTGGCGATGACAAGGCAGAACTGGAAGACCCAGAAGTCTTTGAAGCAGCCGTGGTTAAGAAGCACAAAACCCAGGAAAGAAACTAGGAAGGCCATGAAGACTGCAACCAGATTCTCCAGAACATCCTGGTTTCTGTATGAAGCATTGCGCACAAAGGCGAAGACAGGTTATGGTGGATTAAAAGAGTCTGTATCAGTGCTTTTGTATATGTGAAGGTAAATCAGAAAAATAATGTAAACAATTAGAAACACAGCCATGATTGAAAAGAAAGTATCTACACACTATTGACAGAGTTATATTACATGTTAATGGCTTGATAGTGAAAAGCATCAAGCAGGTTTTTCGACAGTACGTTTTACCTGTCCAAAAGAGCGAGCAGGGTGAGTCTGTCGTACAAAATGTTGATCCACTTCCCAGGGAACAGTTTCAGTTTGTAATAAATCTTCCTGGTTGGTTTCTCCTGAGTGGAGGTCTCCGATGAATCATCCAAAGAGTCCTCTTCCTGACGGTCGCACACAAAAGCAAATCATTTATACTCACAAAAACTTCAGCAGCAATTATTCAGGAAACAACAAAAGTCTGAAGTTTTCTCCTGTGCTGAATATTCAACAGTCAGGATCATTATAAGAACACAGAACAGCCTTTTTACAGGCAAAAAGAGGTGCAGTAATGATTCAGCAGAGACGGAGCTGTTTCTGCCTCAGTGGGGACGAGTAGCTTAGAACGCTGCAACGCTCTGCACTGATTAGACTAAATCACTCATTTGCTGGCTGTTACAAAACAGCAGTAATGACTCATAGTTTACAGTTTGACAGAAAGTAAAAACTAATCTGATTAACCAATGTGTTGATTGTAGTTTTTGTCTCCTTCTGACAACTTTCTGTGGTAAAAAAACACCTAAAAACTCTGTGAGAATTAAAGATTAAGTGTGTTGGTGAGAATGGTGGTACATAATTCAATTAGGTCTCCTTCTTACGGACTTGTTTATATTTGTTTACATTCACATTTTATTGTCCTTGAGGCTGAAAAGACACAAAATAAAACTGTTCTGTCCTCCAAACCGAAGGCAAAAAGACACTGTCGTGAGAATTTGAAACCTACACTGTTTAAATCCACATCAGCTTTCTACATGTCTCCCTCTTCACACCCTTTGCTGGCACATTACTCTAACCAGCTACTTGATCAGCAAAACCACTGAGCTTGGTATCATTTCACTTCCTGGCATGCAAAAACAGGTGAGTCACTGAGCAAAACCCACTCCAAAAAAATCTTAGAATCACATGGGAAACCTGGTTGAAAAATAATGCGTTTTTTCTCTGCTTTCGGTCTTAAAGGATGACCTCTCGTTAACCGTAAAGGCGGTTAGATTGCAGAACAAGAGAGGAAATATAAAAACAGATCCACACCTGGAAGATCTCAGGGTGGGTCCTCCGTGGTCGCAGTCTGTGCGCGGGGATGATGCGTCGCTGGAAAGGGCAGTCGGAGTGACCACCCGCCAGGCCATCCTGACACTCTGAGTTTGAGGAAGTCGATAGCAGGTCACTGAATCAACACAAAACACAGTCAAGAGTCAGTTTGTTGATTAGATTAGATAGCACAGGCTGTGATGATCGTTCAAGAAAGGGGATGAAGTTAAGAAAATATCAGTAAAGCAGTAAAGTGCAGCATGAAGGTACACAAAGAAAACTTAAGCGGTTATGGAAAGATCTGTTGTATGTAGAGGTAGGGAGAAATTCAGATTCGACAGCACTACCACATGTTGCCGGTGATAAGCTCAGCTCCCAGTGGCAGGTTGAGAGCTCGTTCTGCGTACAGCTTTCGGGGCCTGTCTCCTGATGGAGGAAAAACACAGCAGCTGATGAGCGGATAAATGTATTATGTGTGATTTATTCTTTAATTTAGCATTGCAAACATGCATCCAAACGTTGGACTATAACGGAAGATCTGAACAGATGAACAGTTTGGAGTCACTCCAGAAGTTTTTCATTTGATCTACCATCTTGTTTAGCAGTTTGAGCTGCTGACAAAACCCTCCACACATTATTATCTGACTGTCACGGGATAAAAACCTGGCTCTATGTACAGGTACACAACCCTTTTGTTATCTATTACTGCATATACCAAGAAGAGTTTGTCTCAAGATTCTCAACTTTGCATTTTAGACAATAATTCTCATTTTTAGAGCAGCCGCTTACTGTGTACAGTATGGAAGGTGTAGGCCTCTTCTTTGTTGGTAGCCTCAGGTCTGCAGATCACCTGCAGCATGGAGCTCTCTGACTGAGAGGTTTGGGAAGGCAGAGAATCATAATCTGGATCCTTTTCTCTGTCCGTCTGTGGACTGCAAAGAGGAAAGGATAAAGTGGAAGCCCTGGATGCTGAGTGCTCATCTGTAGATGTGTGTTTGTTAGAGGGATTTCTGCTCAAGTGTACGAGTGAATAAGCATGTGTACCTGTCAGGGGAAACTATTGGGATTTGTGGGGGTGGTATGGCCTGGAGTGTGTCGGTGGGCAGACTGGTGGGAGGTTTTCGTCTCTCTGGTTTGCTGTCTGTGTTTGGCTCTGTTATCGTCTGGTCTGGTCTGGAAGTGGCACTCAGATTCTCTGCGAACAGATTGAGTGGGAAAGGTTTTCATTAACGTGGCAGAAATGTTGATTGTCATCCAAACTACTTCAACTTTTACTATGAAGTGGGCTGCGCTGAGTGGATTTTGGACTTTTTGAGCATTTTTTATTTTTTTAAGGCAAGCAGCTTTTGTTATTTCGGTTCGGTCTCATCAGCAGTCAGCTATGGAAGCTAGCTGTGCAGCACAAGTTCTTTTACAACTTTCTGGGTGCCATGGAGCAAAAGTTTTTTGTTATAGCTCACAAAACTGTGTCAACATTTGCACACATACATCGCACTCATATTCTAAAGAGAGTGAAACAAAAATACACCTCATACTCATGCTGGGATTTACCTTCCTCTGCAGTGCCTTCCTCCTCTTTGCAGTCTGTTCCCTCGTCTTCCTGCATGCTAGCTGTGCCTGCTCTGGCACTGAGAGACCCCAACAAAGACACAAACTCCAAGAAGTTGGATTCATTGGGTATCTGCCCCTCCTTTGCTTCCAGATCTGACTTGGAGCTGGTCATGGTGGTCTAGTAGAGAGACAAATGTTTGTATGTCAGACAGACAGACAGAGCAGTCTGGATAAACAGGATAAGAATGAGCTTAACTGCCAACATACTGTGTTTTGTGAGCGGTCCGATAGGAGAACAGCATCTTTCCCACTGTCCATGCTCAGCCCTCGGATATGAGTCCTTCCTCCAGGACCATATCGGCCCAGAGCTGGCGGAAGACGCAGGAAACCTTGTGAATCCACATTAGGGTCCAGAGGATCTGTGTCATCGGGGTGGGAGTGGACATCAATACCTGATGAGCTGTTGTCATTTGTGAGCTGTGGGCTTGGTGTGCTGTCGTTAGTCATCTGCAGACCAACATGTTCCTGGTCTGGATCTGGACCCTCCATTGTGGTGAAGTCAGAACTGGTAGCTTCTCTGCACAGGTGAAACTCTTCACTTTGGCTGGTGGTGTGTTGCTGTTTAAGGGTGGGGTCGTCCTCCGAGCCAGTGCCGTCTTCCTCTTCCCCCTCTGCCTCCAGCTTCTCCTCCTCAGGGGAGTCAAAGGTGATGACGGGGATCTTTATGTGACACTCTCCTGCATCTTTCTGAGCCTTGGAAGATACACACAGACATGTCACACACACACTGTATCCACTCTCATGTTGCAGCTGTATCATTTTACATTAGTGGTCATGAAGTTGATAAAATAAAAAAAACAGGAAAGATATGCTGATTTCACTTCTAAACTCCTGATGACACAATAAGTGTGACGTTTTAAAAAGCCTTAAATTTTGCACAATTGAACCTATTTCAAATTTTAAAATAAAAAATTAACCTAGAATGAAGTTGTATAACAGAATATATGACTCTTTTATCATATTTACAAGATATTAAATTCAGATAATGTCTTAATCATGAAAGAAATTGGTATAGTATTTTCAGTCCTGTGAGGTCTACAGTAAAACTCACGGATGTGTTTTTGTGAAAATTAAAGTCCAAATCTTGTTGCTGTGTATTGCTATCGTGCAGTCGTTACTAAAGTTGGTATAACTAGAGAAGCAAGCGGTCGGTCACATTCATCTCTCGACAGAGTGTCTAACTCGTGTTACGGTGTGTTTGACCCTAAATTGATTTTGCGCCGGAATACCCCTTCAAAACAAATTCCCATTTTGTTATCATGTAGTGCCAATAAAGACCTAGAGGGGAGACTGTTGGAAACTTTAAAGACAGACTTCTTAGAAAAAAAATTACTGACTGTTTTCCTGTTAGTGGTGAAACATGTGTTGTAAAGGGGTTCATCTTCTACCTTAATTTAATTGTTTTGTACCTGTGCATTTTCTAGAAGGCTCTGCTTGACGCTCTCCTCCAGCTGAGCAGCAGTCTGAGGGTCGCAGCTCATAGTGATGATGATCTTAACTGTGTCATTTTCATCCAGGTGAGCAGACACAGGCCGAGGGCCAGAGTTGTCCACGAGAACTACTTCAATCTCATCCGAACAGTACATCTCCTCCACTGGCTCAGCCTATGAGACAACATGAGACATGCCATGGTTACATTCTACTAAGGCAGAGAAAAATTCCGCTCTGTCTCTGGATCTGTGAGGCCTACCTGTGCAGGGAGATCAGGAATGTCAATGAAATCATCCTGGCACTCCCGGGGAGTCTCCAACGAGTTATTGTTGTCATCTGAAGGTTCCTTCTGCTCCTCACTCTCCTCCTCGCTCTCATCTCCACTTCCCTTGGAGGGGGGCAGACCTTCATCAGCCGTTTCCATTCCATCACCATCTTTATCCTCACATTCTTCCTCTTCTATTCTATCCTTCCCTGAGTCTTTCTCTGCTGATTTTTCCTGATCTGATCGCTCTCTGTCAGCCCCTGTCAGAGAGCTCTGAATGTCTTCTCCTTCTTTTACAGCTCCAGCTTCAATTATTTCTACATCCATTTTCCCTGATCCACAAGCAGATCCGGGCCGCGTCTCTTCTCTCTCAGCTCGGGAAGGAGGCCTCTGCTGGGCCTGCAGCAGGGGGGCAGCCTGGTCAGGATTGGGGCTGGAGAGGTCATCTGGAGAAGGCTCTGGGCTTGGTTGCAGGCTTCCCTCTATAGGTTTCTCCTCTGCAGCACCTTCACTCTGTCCTGGAAAGTAAAGACATGTAAATTATTGACCTGAAGTGAAATTTCAGCAAACTACTGTAATCCTAAAAATCTGTGTTGATGGTCAGCTTCAGTGGCCACTCACCAAATCTACACTTTTATCTGCAGAAGTCAGACAGATATAACTCCATTTCCACTGCAGTATCATCATTATCTGTTAGAAGTATGGTTCTTGCAGGATAACAATACTAACAGCTACCAACATTCTGTGTTATTATGTGATTCAATCATTCCAAGTGCAGATAGGCTGACTCTGATCTGACCAATCACGAGCGCATTAGATCATACATTTCCTGGAAGCAGTCAGCTGCTCTTGTTGGCTGACTGCTACATCAGATGCTGCTTGTCTGAGAAAATTTACAACAACGATGTGTTTGCAGAGAAAGGAAAAGGAAAAGCTGCTACGCTGTCCAAGAAGCTATCGAATGCATTAGGGGAAAAAAGGGACAAATGTAGCTTGTATCACAGAGTGATTCTGACAAGACACAATGCAGAACACTACAGAAATGAAAAAATGCAGATGGCCTGCAGCCCCCTCCTTTTTACATCCTGTCTTTGGACTATGAAAACATACTGATCACCTTCTTATATTGTTGAGGTAATTATTAGTATTAACTGATTTACAGGGAAGTGGTCCAACTGATTCACTCTGCTATATTCATCACTCAGTTACTAATATAAGCAGCAGCAGAATCATTTTACCTGTATGAAAAGCAAGATTCATGTAGCTTTACGTGTAAATACACAAATTTACCCAAGATACCATGCAGACAACCTTTTTTTCAATTGTGAGTTACAGAAGATGGCTAATAAAGTGTATTAAAAAGTAATAAAACAGTGCCTTTAGCAGATTTTTCCTGTGGTCAGACTGGCAAAATGACTTGCTTGCTGTTTACAAATTACTTTGTTAACTAAAATCACAAGACAGCTAATGCCAGGCAGTTGTAGTAAGGCATGGCTGAGGCTAGCTAGCTCGCCTTGGCTTGTTGATGCTCATGCTAATGCTAATGCTAGCATTATAGATGGCAAAAGTTTATTGACTGGCTTGGCAAATTACTTCACCAACTAAGATGTTTGCAATGTGTTGCCAACAGTTTTTTTCAACAAGCAAACAATTAATCAACTAATTACAATAGCTCTAAAAATACAAACAATATTCCTTCAGTTCTTGCGCTACAGCTACATTTACACATCCTCCTGGGGCCTAATACTATGCCTGTTATTGTGAAAAAGCAACAACAAATGGCTGTCAAAGTCTAGGTATATGACTCACAACATTTCCAATTTGACAATGACTGTTTATATGTTGCAATAAATTTTCCGTGCTTTGGTTTCATCTGTCCTTCCTTCATAGTAAAACTAAGAGATTAAATACTCTCACCTTCCACTGTCTTCACTGCCTCGTCTGACTTTGAGCAATCCTACAGGGAAGAGAAGCAGCAAGATGATTTAAATTAGGACATCATGTAGGTCAGCATACTGTTTTCTGTAGGGGTCCATCATTAAATATCACTTACCACACCTATCAACCCCGGGTCAGTTTCAGTCTGTTTCACGGTCACCTGTATTACAGGACTTGGACCCTTCCGAGCCAACATTGTCATCGCAACACTGTCAGGGACTGTACTGCTCTTCCTGTAGGACAAAAACAACAGAAAGAGGAGTAAAATCAAATAAATTAATGAATGATGGCAGAGAGATATGGAGTCCATGGAAGTCAGCACATCAATACATCACCTTCATTAGAGAATCACTCCAAGCCCTTGTGTTTTGACAGTGAAGTACACTGATTTATGACGTTGAGGAAGTGCTAAAAATACATGTCTGGGCTCTGTTTCCTCCTCCCACAAACACCTCATAATCTATTAAAAAAAACTCAAAAGAAAGCAGACAAATTTTCTGTCCTCCTTCCCTGTGTGGATGAACTGTGCCAGAGCTGAGTAGCCGACTCAAGATCTCTGACCTCCCCTCATTAGCTCAACCATTCATCAAAGCTGCACTGAGTCAAGACTTTGAAATGAAGAGGAAAGAGTCTGTATCCAACTCAAAAACACTTAATCCAGAAACCAATTTTAACTCAAAGGGGAGGGGTGTAAAATAGACATGTATATAGAAAGAGAGAAGAAAACTAGGAGATGGTGAAAAGGATGTCAGGGATGTTGAGACACATAAAGGCAGACATGTTCAAGTCTAAGTTGATGATTACGTTGTATATAAAGCCTTGATTTTCCTATGACTTACCTAACAGGGACCAGGTTGAAGCTTCAGTAACAAAAAACTAGTAGTTTGTTAAACATGTGTATATTAGCAATTTGACTGAACTGCCTTTATTTACTGAATCTACATTTTCCTCTGTGGTCATGCTCAAGATAAGAAACTCTGATGTTTAATTGCTGTTGTGATTGATTCAAGGTTTGCATCTTTCATGAGCAGGGGGAAATCTGACATGCTATATTTACATTTCACTGTGTATCAAATGATAAATTAACCAAAAGACAATGAAGATAAAGTGTAAAATAAGCCTCTATATAAAGTTAAACACCCTATTTAAAACTCAATAGCTACAGACAGCTAAGTTACTACAGCTTACACTATTTGACAAATTTATAGATGACAGTGGAGTTAGCCAACTAACATTAACACTGACAATTTAACATTTATGATGGGTAGCAATCTGCAGTTTTCTAATATAATATTTTCACCTTGAAATACGGTGTGTTTTACTCATTTTTACATTTGTGGCTGGATCTGAAAGCCTTAAAAATAAAGGTATTTCTTCAAATTCCTGTGCTATGTCATGCCAGAGGACATTTCAGATAAATCACACCAACTCTAACTTGAAGATTGTAAGTGTACCGGTGAGGGTCGTACCGTATACTGGCGGGCAGGCAGGGGTCTGAGGCATTGCTTTTCTTCTCTGGGGCCTTGCTGAGGTCTGAGAGGCTACTGCGGACCACCGCCTCGCCCTCATCAAACATCACATGGAGCCGATAGTTGGCCATCTTGATGAGGATGAAGAAAACCGTGATGGAGGTACAGTAGATGCTCAAAGCCATGGTGGTGGGGGGCAAAGCCTGTTGAGCAAATGACATGAGCTTTAGCACTTTTGAATCAGCAAAACTCTTAACTCCTACGATAATATCTGATATGATGTTTCAGCTGCTGGAAAGCACAAACTATCTTCTCTCATTTTGTTAAGTCCTACAGACTTAAAGTATACATGAGCTCACTGCTTCTGAATTTATTTCAAGCTCAGAGGACCACATGGCCTAATTTGATTAAATGGTAGATAACTGACGTGTATTGATCCCGGAGGAGGGACAGCCTATAGCGAAGAACGAGAATATTTAAGAGAAAACATCTGCATCATGCTGAGACATGAGTCATACAGGTCTGTAGAGAGTTCTTGTTGAGTTGAATGCTGTGAACAATAATTTATGTCAGCAGGTACAAATTTACGATCTAAAATCATGTTCCGGTGTCATTCCTGCTTCTAAAAGATTATTCCCTCAACTTTGAGCCTTTGTTTCTGTGTGTGTGACCTTCAGATAAAAATGCTAATAAACCTGAAATTTGAAACATTTTGTCTCTCAGGAAGCTTGTGTTGTTTTTGCAGGGGAAGCAGTGGGTGTTTCCAAACAGACATTTCTATAGAGCTCCGCTGGCAAACATCGGAGCTGTCACTGTCCAATCAGAGCTTTGTACTTTGCCTTAATAATCTCTGTCATGAATGTCTTTTCTGAGAGTAATTGAACACACAGTATACACACCATTAACCCAAGTGTAGAGGACAAGGATGTAAATAAATAGTGTTCACATGATGATAATCTGCAATTAACATGACAATTAACCCCTCTGCTTCAGATAGAAATATGTCATTGAGAATGTGAGACACGCTACATAAGTCATGCATTATCACAAATAATAGAAAAGCAGGTTGATAGTGGGCCATGCTGTTTGAGGTTCATCCACTAACATGGCAAAGGTCAAGGTGTGTGACCTATAACAGCAACTATTCCTCTTCCCTCTCACTATGTTTCCTGAATTATTTTCCCTCTACACATGCTGTAGCTCTACATATCAGTCATAAATGGACATTGAGCAGTCACTCCAGTATTACTTAGGGTAGTGCAGCCTTCGCTGACCCTTTTCTCAAGGCTCTCACATCAAACTAGTATCTAGTGTTCGTCAGTTTCACGCCTCCTGTCTCTCCCAATGCCACATCCAGGAGCAGCCATGCGTTCCCTCACCGCATGCGAGGAAAAAACACTGCGACAGTGCTGCCTGTTTTCTCCTCCAGCCGAGTATTCTCCTCAGCAGCAACCAGACAATGAAGGGCATTACATTCTTGCATTACCACAGCACATTTATCCAAGAGAGGATTCACGGGGCGCATGACAATAAAGCGTTACCTTTTGGCACCTCACAACCCCTTCGCGGCCTTGAACGTCATGTTCCCTACATAAAAAACTCACCAGATGGAGAGACAGAGGCAACATCAGGAGAAATATCCACAGATAGAGGTGGCAGGAGTTGTTGAATTTGTTCTGGTCCGGGTCGTGGTACCAGCCCCCGGTCAGAGACGCCCAGACTCCCTGGCGCAGGGTCTGCACAACCTGGGAGCCCATCTCTGCTCCTCTGTCCTCCTCCACCACCTCCACCTCCTCCTCTCCGCTCAGGTTGGACGGATGGATGATGCCGCTGCTGCTAGGCTACAATGAAATGATCTCCTCTAATGCATGCTACAGTCGTTACGCCTCCATGTTGGGGCGATACGGCACGTATCCTGAGCCTTCCCTTTCATGCCTCATCGGTCGTCCTCGATGTTTTCCCCTCGTCTGCCGTTTCCAAGCCCAGTGTTGTCAGCTCGTCCATCGCTGCTGCCGCGGTCCTCATCTCGTCCAGTACGTCTCTCTCCTTCTCCACCGCTCCTCTAGCTGCCTGTACAGATGCGCAGCTCTGACCGTCTCCCCTCCCCTTCACTCCCCCTCTCGCTCCCCCTCTCTGCTTCCCTCCCTCCCTCCTTCCCTCTCAGTCCTCTGCTGTTATAATTCCTACCTTCACTGTTTATGTACGGTGGTCGAGAACAGCCACTGCTGCAAATAAAAAAAAAAAATTAATGAAAAAAAAAAGAAGAAAAAAACAGAAAAAATGAAAGAAAAAAAAAGTCACAAGGGAAGTTACCAATGCAACAAAAAAGAAACCGAAGCCTGCCGCAAATAAAAAAAAGAAACATTGCAGATAAAAAACTGAAGTTAACAACGCAAAAAAGTGGCGATGCAAAAAAAAAAAAAAAAAAGTTACTGTGAAAATAAAAGAATGCCAAAGGGAAAAAGCCACAACGGAAGTGAGCTACCGGGGATCAATAATGATGATGCACAGTTATTTTACTATCTAGGCACAGAAGACAACTGTGAGAGGACGAGCAAAGAAGTAAGTGAAAAGGTTATTGTTTAATTTTGCTTTGTCTGCTTTTTATTGTGGTTAGGCCATGTAGCATCTGAGTCAACATAAAATTGAACTGGAGAGAATATTTTCAGTCTTACAGGCTCATAATTGATCGCTCAACCAGGTTTAATAGTCTTTTTTTAGTTAATGATATATTGTATAGACCAGTGGTTCTTAACTGGTCTCACTCTGGGACCCACATTTTCCCATGGTCCTTTAGTCGTGACCCACTTTTATAAAATTAAAACCAAGCAAATCTATTTTTTAGAAACAAAAAAAACTTTTAAGACTCAAATCTTTAACATAAATACCGGGTACTCGTGACTCATCTAGAACGCGGCCACGACACACTTTTGGGTCGGGACCCATTAGTTGAGAACCACTAATATAGGCTATATTATTTAAGCCTGTCATTTTAGTGATGGTGGTAATGGTATCTTAAGTATTTATTCTTATACAACCTACATTAAAAGTGAGATTGTAATGATGTGGTTTGTATCTTAATTGTCGATTATGATTTCTATTGTTGTACACAGCCATGTATAATGTTAAACATGAACATATTTGTAAAGTTATTCGTCCAATTAAAAAGAATTACTGGTGTTTCTTTTAGTCTGCAGTTTTTGTCCGTAAGAAAACATGTAGGGGAGAGTGGGGTAAGATGAGTCATTTTTATATTTCGGATCACTATATCAAGGCAATCATAGTTTTGTCCTTCACTAGTGTGTCTGCATATATTTCAAGATGTTGTTCATCCCTGCAAACCAACAGAATGAGTGTAAACATAACTGTCTTGATAATATAGCATGCCAAAATAAGTGGTCTCCTATGGTCAACTTACCCCGTGTATGGGGTAAGTCAAACATAGTAGTGGGGTAAGTTTAGCCGTATCCCTGCTACCCCCCAACTCTCCACCCCAGCCCTCCCTCACCTTCTCTCTCCTTAAATAACAGTCACTTCTTCACATTCGTGTATTTTTATCTTTTATACGCTATTCAACTGGTACAATAATTCTTTTTATTAATATTGCATATAACTGCTAAAAAGCTGTTTTGTAAAAAGCCATTTAACATGAGAATGTCTTTAAGTGATTCAGAACATTCACAGCTGTATTTTTGAAAAGATAAAGTAACACATTTCAACAATCTGAACTGAAACTCTGATCCTCTCATCAGACTCCTTTACTTTCTCATTAGAGCCACTGACTCAACTTACCCCAAAACTACTATTATGACTTTATTAGTCCTCTAAGCTAAAATGGTGAACTTTTAAGCTAGGTTTTTGACCTCATGTTGTAGCTCATAGATACCACAATTGATGTATAAACCAGATTTGAAATGATCTTTTTTAGTCTGAACACAATTCTAATAAAACTTGAATAAACCATGAATTGATGCCCATCTCCTAAATATTTGGTCACATGATCAATTTCTTTTATCATTTCCAAGCAACAGGGGGTGGCTCAACTTACCCTTTGGTTCAACTTACCCCACTCTCCCCTATCTGTGTATCTTGATCATTTTCCTGGTGTGACAAGAGCCACTGGATTTGGGGGTCCATCACAATTCCTTATGTGAAGTACTGGAGTAGTGGCGTTTAATGTACTTCACCCAGGAGAAGTAGCCTCATCTTTACAATATCGTGACCTCGTCATTGCTTCTGTAACAAGAATAAGAAAAGTTGTGTGAGTGTGTGTGATCCAGTATACTCCACTATTCCCATAAATTTCCTGAAGGCGCGCTCTCCTCACACATTCCTATGGTGGCTCCTCCTCCCTCCTCCTCCCCCCGCTTGCTGCTGTGATGGTCACATGACACAAACTCACCAATCAGAGGCCACCACAGCGAGCAGGCAGAGCTGCAGCAGCGTCCCACTGATCCTGAACACAGCCACCACTGCTGGCTCCGACTTCGTCAAGCGACAACCACAATGGGGGGGTTGTTTTGATTAAAGTTGACGGATTTTTCTTACTTTTTTGTATCTACACTGTTGCGTTGAAGTCGGGGATATATGTGGCGTCTACCATGCTCATTTATCGACTTCTTTTCACGTCCCCGGGAGACAACAAACTTGGGAATAGTCGATGTTTTAACTGAAAGGAGCAACTTCTCCAACTGCCTTACTAGTCAACTGGCTGACCTATGCTAAGCTAAGCCGCTAGCCAATGCTGTTGAAACTTGTGTTAAAAGTCCTCAAACGATAAAGTAGACTCATACGGTTTAGGCTTTTGTGACTAGATAAGAAACAGTGAGGACTTTCAGAGTGAAACCTGTCTCTGTGAAGCTTTTATTTATTTCATCCGTGTGTGTGAGACGGGGCAGGTGCACCTCTCTCTCGGCACCTGCGGTACTAACTCTGTAACTTAGCTCCGTTGGTGGAGGAGAGCTAACTTTCGCTAGTTCATGTTAGCATTACACAGAAGCTGATACAATGTTGTGGACGACTGTTTGTTTTCTAAGATTATAGAAGTTTTGAGAGTTTATTCGCGTTTAGATAACTTTTAAATTACTATTGAATCGTCGGTCCATACAGCAGTGACAGTGATAGAGTAAACCGAAGTAACTAACCTCGCTGGTTGGTAAGTGACCCTCACACCGGAGTGGCTACGTGGATTCAGGGCTGTAGGCACACACTGCCCCACAGGACTTTGGACACGGCTTGACCCTGACGTGGGTTACCCCCTCTGTTCTCACTAGCTTGTGTCGGAAACGTGGGACCATGAGAGCTTCAGAAAGTTACTTTTTACTGTTTTAAAGTTTTTTTGTGGTTTTGTTCTCCGAGCCCCGCACCCTATGGTGCCGCTACGGCCACCGAGAAATGGATGTCTCGCAGGCCGCTTTCCCAAACGGTGAAGGGCGGCCGGGCGGCGGTGGGACTCGGGAGCATGCTTGGACAGAGTCCCCCACAATCCGGGCGTGGGCTCACTCAGCCCCGCTGTGTCCCACTCGGTCCCTGTGGACGGCCGCGTATGACTACGAGGCGAGCGGCGAGGATGAGCTCAGTCTCAGGAGAGGAGACGTGGTGGAGGTCCTGTCCAAGGACGCAGCCATCTCCGGCGACGAGGGGTGGTGGACGGGCAAAATCAACCGGCGGGTCGGGATTTTCCCCTCCAACTATGTCACGTACCAACCCGCAATTTACCGCCTGCCCGCCACGGGTGGGACAGTAGGAGTGCCAGAGCGAGTCCCGGGCTCGCCCGTCCAGATCCCCTTTAGTGAACTGGTCTTGGAGGAGATCATAGGCGTGGGTGGATTTGGCAAAGTTTACCGGGGCACATGGAAAGACCAGGAGGTCGCCGTGAAGGCGGCCCGGCAAGACCCGGACGAGGACATTACAGCCACCGCCGGCAGTGTTAAACAAGAAGCGAAACTTTTCTCCATGCTGCAGCACCCGAACATTATCAAACTCGAGGGTGTGTGTTTGGACGAGCCCAACCTGTGTCTGGTCATGGAGTATGCCCGAGGAGGGACTCTGAACCGGGCGCTGACCGGAAGGCGCATCCCTCCACACATCCTAGTCAACTGGGCCGTGCAGATAGCACGCGGGATGCACTACCTACACGAGGAGGCCGTGGTACCCATAATTCATCGTGACCTGAAATCTAGCAACAGTAAGCAAAGATTGAGTGTGTGCGAATGTGTGTGTGTTTGTGTTCATGATAGAAAGTGTAAGATGAAACTGAATTTGGAGGATGGTCGTCTTAGGAACTTGTGCAACCACCTGTAGCACATGGACATCACTATTCCGTAACAGGTTTGTCATAGTGTTAAACAACTCTACATCTAAAACAGCTTTTGATTTAGATTTGCAAAATCTACACCTGCCACACATTAACTGTTAAATCCCACGTGACATGGGGCTTCATGTCATTTTGCATTTTATTTTCACCTCTAAATGTCCAAATTCCTTTTTTTTTTTTTTTTTTTTTTTTTTAGAAAGCACCTCCCTTCTTCTTCTTCATAAAAGTCTGTGGCTATATGAAGTGGTAAGGGGGGGATACTATCACGAGGATGTGAAATAAAGTCCAAGTTTGCTCAGCTGGGCCATCCCCCACCCTCCCCTGCATTCAACCCCCTCATCATCCTTTAAAACACACACCTTCCCAGCCCCCCTCTCCACGCCAAGCTGAAATGTTCAAACAAAGTCAGTGATTTACTAAACACATAGGCAGAAACACTCAGTGCACACAGTCAGGCCATGTGCTTGACCATACAGAGCTAATAACAGTATCACACAGAGATAGAACTGAGACTAAATATAAGCGTTTTCAAGTTTTGTTGACATTGATTTTCCAGCAAAGTATGTGTGCGTTACTTCACATTTTTTACTAGTTCATGTTTGCAAAAAAATTGATTCAGATTCTTGAGTGTAAGGAGGTAATACCTTTAAGGTTTTTGGTAACCTAACTGGGTCAACATGTGGTGAGAGGTTGGTTCAGAGCAGTACAAGGCCAACAACTGAACTTTATCCTCCATGGACTCTTCATTGAATGCAGGCCAGGCAAACTTTAGTTTCCCTGGACTGAATAATGAATGGACAGGAGGACTTCATGAGGGGAAAGAAAAAGAGTCTGAGTCAGATACCCACACTGACACAGGCTACCCACTTTAACTCAGGTGTGCTTATGTGTGTAATGTGACTCCAAACACTATCTCTCCCTTTGTGACCAGAGAGTCTTATCATCCTGGGGCCATGTGGGGAGCAGCTCTGGCATACTGATGTGATGTCTGTTTATCTCCAGCTGTGAGAGCCAATGTGTGAATGCTGCATGTGAAATGTGCGCAAACCGGGCCCTCCATGATTGCCAGATTGACAGAATGTTTGTGTTTACACATATGGAGGGGTTTTCTCTGTAATTTGATCACAACAAACTCTTATTTGTGCAAGTTAAACATCATCACAGTTAATTGCAATAAGAGGCAAACTTGTCTCTTATTCAGTACATGGATAACAAATAATATAGATGATTTAAGTAGTAGAGTATATGGAATCAAATGAAACTGTCCCCTGCCCTGCATGTAAATCACCACACAATTTCAACTTCTCATATGTGGAGATATTTATCAACAAAACTTTGAAACCCTTTGTTTTGTGTGTTCACGGGGTTTCCCCATGCCAAGTGATGGGCAGCCTAGCAGAGCCCATCCCTAAAATCAGCCTGATTTAAGTGCAGAGATTTGGGTTAATTATAGGGCAGATGGAGAGAAAGGATTTAACCATTGTTTAGACAGTTTGAGCTAATCGGATGTTTGGTGAACATACACTAACAATCCTCCTCCAAACGAGCTCAGTGCTGCAAACACAAGTCAGAGTGTTTGTCCTACCACTTCACTGTGACCCAGAGCAGAAGTTCTCCAAAGTTTTCAATAGTGTGTCCTTGTTCTATTTTTCAGCTAAGTAATCTCCAACTAGAGCTAAATGTTGTGGATTGAAAGAAAAGATAGTATTTAGTAAACAACAACTTTGTAACTGAAAACCAATTATTTATGTGCACTGGGCCCATGTTTAGTGCTTTGTTTTCACCTCTTATGAAGTTTCATAGTCACAGTTTTTATCAACGATTCAATATTCTATTCAATGTTACAGATTTAAAACTTGATTGCTAGTTATGATCACATTTAAAATATAAATAATATGCAAAGCATGAAAATGAGAGGGTTTGAAACTCTTTGTTATGCTAGAAATAATGCATGACTGAAATCTGAATTATGTAAATGCAAATGTTCTTTATTTATACAGACCTTTAGAACAACCTTTCTGTGAAACAAAGTGCTTTACCATACATAGTAAATCGAAATGAATAAATAAAAACAATAAAAAGCAATAAAAAAATCATACAAAAACTCAAGTATCCCCTGCAGCTCCTCAAAGTAGCCTTGAGTTTAGAGAGCTTTGGTCTTAAAGATTGCAGGTTAATGGAATAGATATTAGCTTTTTCTGAATTTACTTATAACTCCTATTACACTTTACTCAAACACTCAGCTATCACCACATAAAGAGACCTAAAATAGACATGAATTCTACTTTTAATGAAAGTAACCAGTTACAATTAGTCAGTTGTCCCAGGGTCAAGAGTAGAAGTCTGAACATCTGTAGTCAGTGTACAGTCCTATCTAAATGAGAGTGGGGGGAAAAAAAGCTTTATGTTTGTTTTCAACCAAGGCAGTGAGTTCACAAAGGACTCTCCCCCTACACAGAAAACACACAAACAGCACCCTGTGGTGTCTTGGGTTGTTTCCCAATTAAAAAAGAGAGGAAAAAACAGAATAATGCAGCTCTGAGAAGTTGTTGCATCTGCTAGTTTTGCTCTGTCGTCTGTTTGTTTGTCTTGGCTTTGGTGTGCATCAGTCAGCCTAAAAGGATAAAAGCAGTAAGAATTATCTACACAGGGGGTCGAATAAACTGGATACATGTGATGAGTGATTGTTAATCAGCAATCTGTCTCTTTTTTTAATTTCATGAGCAAAGTGTCTGTTTCTTTTGTTGTACCTCTTCTCTCTTTTTTTAAGCTGCTTCACTTCAGTATTTTTCCTCACTAGTGAAACCAGGTCATAGACAGGTACACACACATACATACATATATATATAGAACTGTGCTTCTCCCTCTTCTCCCAAATGCTCAGCCTGTAATTTATCAACTTGCAGTGTACACATGCTCCACACAGACAAACATACAGCTATTTGATCAATGATTAGCCTGTAAAGTAATATGTTGGAAGTCAGCAAGATTTGTCCAATCTCTTTTGTGTTTTTCAACCTAATCTGTAAAATCCCGGCCTGCAGGGAGGAATGTTGCTAATGAGGGATAAAAGCTTAACATACGTTTGCACAATGGACTGGTCAAGCAGCGGTTGCTAGGCTACTGTGGCCAGAAGAATGGCTAGGACTCGGAGGGTCTCAAAGCCCTCGTTTTGTTTTGTTCGGTTCATATTTAATCTCCCAGAGAGCAGCGGTACTCTTTTATTGCCACAAACTGAGGGGGTTTCCCCTTCTTACTTTGTTATTTTTCTCCTTACTTACCTTCCCTCCTTTTTTGTCCCTTCTGCTCCTTCTTGCTTCTTTTATTATTTTTCATGCACATTTCTTAGCCTGGGCAGTTTTCCAACATTGATAGTGATACAGAAGTCACTTATATTTTTTGAAATCTAAATCAGCAAAGTTCTTAAAGCCAAAATCAAAAAATTCTCCCAAAAAGCTGAGTAGTATGTGTGTGTACTGCATTCATAAAACTTCAGTTTACTTTTGTTGTTGTGTTGTTGTTGTTGTTCTGACATATATCTCGTTTAAAAAAGTATAGCAAACATTGTTTATTAAACTAACTGTTAGTGCTGCTGTTTCTGGAGAGTGACTCCATGTCATGAACAAGTCCCAGTGTGGGTTCAAAGTTATGTTGCCATGTTTGCTTTGCTTATTTGACAGACTGAGGAGAATTCAACACGGTCACTCAGTAGCTTTATTTGTGATGCTCAGAGTGGAAAGCTAAAATTCAGCTCTAATTGAGTGCTGCTGTTTTTAAATGGCCTGGAAGGGAAACTGACTCCAGGTAGCAAAGTCAGTGCAGGATGTTGTTGTAGCGTTAAGACTGTGTGGTTTATATTGTATTGAAGCCTTAAATTGTAATGACTCAGCTCCTATTAGTCAGCAAGTAGACCTAGTTAAAGTAGTGCAATTACTGTGTCGTTCTTGATAACAGCCGATGATTTCCCTGTGCTTTATTATCACGTCCCTCCATACTTTCATACAACTTTGATTTAAACAATCCCTCAAGCTGAGAGTGGTAACAGAGAGCAGCAGATAAGAGCAAGAAATCACACTGAAACCTGGCTGTCAGCCAGCACTCATCGCCGACTTTGACTTCAGAGTTTCACGTCTTGGTGCAGGCGATAGTATGCCAGGAATGCGTGCTTGAACGCCTCTGAAACTGATGGAGTTCCGTTTGGAGCGTGTGCAACAACATTCTCCCATCAGTCTTAAGCTATTGTTTCACTTCATCACACTGTCTCTGTCCTCCCCTCCCTCTCCTCCCGTGTCTCCCCCTCTCTCCACTCAACCCTCGACCTGCAGATCTGTGCACTCTTTGCGGGGGTCATGAGGCAATGCATATTTTGTCACGACAGAGACGTACACAGACGAGGGGAAGGAATAAGGCTGATGTGGTAAATTCTGGCTTGTGCACCTGTTGTTGTTGTTATATATCTAAATTATGCTGTGCCGTGTAAGTTTCAATGAAAAGAAATAATAGGTCTGTTCAGATGAATCTTACTCCTCCACACCAGTCGCTGTAATTGTTGCTTTTGTTTAAAACAGCAGTACTTTCATGGTTGATAGATGAAAATGCCCCACAAAGTAGTCGGGAATGCCAAGACTAAATTCTTCCAGTAAAGAGAAATGTTGCTACAGGAATTTAAAACAATCACTTGCTATACACCACTTAAAAAGCGTAGAGTTTTGATCCTGCTCTTGTTAGAAAAATGCTTTTTAAAGAAAGAAATAGAGAATTCAACAGTGGCACATTTTTCTGCTGTGATACCCATATTAGGACAGGCGCTGACAAGCAGTTGAAAACTAATTTGCATGTTCTGTTTCATTTTGACCATGACCCTGCTCCTGCTCCTGCTCCATTACATCTGAAAATAGCCAGCAGACCTTGTTATCTTATGTTTTGGGGTTTCCATGTGAACCCCCTTACCTCTGTGGGAATAACATTGTAAAAGACGACCTCTTATCCTCCTTTTTTCACAGGGTCATAATAACCAGCTCATAATGAGAAGGAGAGAAACATTTCCATCCTGTAATTTTTTCTGCTCTGCTACTGGAAAAAAAAAGTAGAATAAGAGGAAAAGTTACCAAAGCTTGACTAGGTGTTGCAGGGCAACTTTTCTCAGGCTCCCCACAATTACCCCTTTTGACACACAGACAGTTACTGCCTGTCTTTTCTCTGACAAGAGAATGGGCAGAGGGGAGAGAGGAGGAGTGGAGATGCTTTCACTGTGTTTTTTATGACCTCTCCCTGACTGCACCTATTGTTGCAAGGCAGGGTGAAAAGGAAAAGGGCCCACAGCTGAGAAGAGCTCCCTTCCAAATCAACCAATCCCCCCCATTGTAGCTTTCCAGCACATTAATCGATGTTGAAGCAGCAAAAGGTACTAGTTGAACACCTCTTAACATGTGTTATGGTTTAATTAGCCTAGTTATGGGTTAGCGCAGGCTTAAACTGACACAAACCAGAAGAGGAAGAAGAGAGACAAAGAGCAAGTGGCCCGGAGAGACGTGACCATGATAGATGGATTCAGCCAGCCATTAGCCCTGATCCTTTTCCCATCAGCCAGAATGCCTGGGGGCACTCTCATTTCAGCGGGGAGAGTCAGACCAGTCGGGGAATTTTAGCGGCCTTGTTTCTGCTTACTACAGGAAGCCCACTTGCGCTCATGCTTAGTCTGTTGGCACAGTTAAGAAAATACTGCCAAGTCAAGTTAGGAGGCGGCACTTACAACGACCGTACTGTATCGATGTGTAGTTATGCTTGGTGTAGATCAAACTAAGCATGTGGACTGCCTGATCAGCAGATTAGTTATTTATTTCTGATAGCGTTTTGAATGCTTGTGTCAAAGTGTTAGCATCATGAGGAGTATTGTTTAACTCTGCACTGCTACTACTGAGACTGAGAGACCAGGAATGTCAACAAATAAATCAGATAGATTATTTTTTCGTGATCAAAATAGTAGCTTTAATACCAAGTTGTACTAGACTGCCACCTGACACAAATCAGATCTTTGTCCTTACTATAGATCTCATATGACTGCTGCACAAAAAGGCACTTTTAGGGGTTGAAAAGAGCTAGTTTCAGGTTATCTATCATCAGGTGATTTAAAAAACATAGTGTGATGGGGCATAAAAAAAAATACGTAAACAGAAAAACTTACAAAGAAAGCCTCTTACAAAGGGAAAGTACAAAATATATTAGTTACACATAGCTTGATGGGTACTGCTGCTGCTTCACTGTAGCTTTTAAATTTTCTTCAAGGGTAATGTTGTACAGGTTTGGCAGCATGTTGAGTTGTAGGGTCCCGGACTTACAGTATTTTTAGTTTTTTGAAGGGAGAAAAAAAAATGGTCCCGTTTGCCTGAGAAGTGTATTTCTATTCTCTATACCTTGAGGGTTAGAAAGCAATGGGAAGAAGCGTGGGACCTGCTTTGAAGACAGCTGCTCTGCTTCTGATCTTCCCACTGTTGCACCATGAAAGATGGGTCTGCCTGAAGATCCACTGTTTGGAAAAAGGGAATTAAATGGGGGTTGGACTGAGGGTGGGGTCTGCCTTGGAGGCATGACCATCTCCAGTGTCGTTGCACTGTTGTCCTCTTTAAAACATTTGCTTTTCAAAGGAGTGAGACTCAATATATAGACTGAGAAAAAGCAGAAAACAACATGCTGGTGGGTTTTATGCCCTTTTTAGACACATGTTTAATGATTGCCGAAGGTAACAGTGATGAAAGTGAAATAGAGTTACTGTTACATTAGAAATTTTGATATTGTCAATCAGATGCATAAAAAAGTGCACTAATAGCAGCTATGCTTGATGTAAACTCGCTTACTGCAAAGAGTGCTGCATAAGTGAGTCAAGAGTAGCTTGATTTGAGGCTTTTTTTAATTACCCTTCCTAAGTATTTGGGGTTTGGGGAGTAGGTAGTAAAATAATAATGCAAGGTTGATTTTCCCCGAGCAGTGACCCTCATTGAAACATAAATTTAAGGATTTATCTATTTTTTTTTTTTGTAAATGCATTTGTTTTTAACCTTTGGCAGTTTCTACATTTTGCATTTTCTATCTTGCCTGTGATATTACGTTACGTTTTGGATTTGGATTTAGAAAGTCGTCATTATAAAGTGTGGTTAGCCACAGAGGAACACATACAATACACTGTATTAATAATGCAAAACAAAGGCTGGATGTATTTCTGTAGAGGATTAAGTAAAACTCACTGCCCCCAGCCTGGTTTCATTCAGTAGGTCAGCTGTTTCTGAGTTTCTGAGCAACACTAATCTGTTTTGGATGACCATTGCAGAAGTCAGAACTTTTTTTCTGCTTTTTTGATAAATTTTTATCTACAGTAACAGATATTTTACAAGACCAAGTCAGTTTATATGTTTCATTTTTTATAACACAGTGCATTTATATAACTAGAGTTGAATCCCGGCGTTGTTTTGGAGTTGACTCCTAATTGTGTGGTTGTGAGTTTCCTTCTTAAATGTTTTAAACCTTTGAGAGGAAAACAGTTTGATGAAACTACACATTCTTTTTACTGGCAGCTGTTTTCTTGAGGTCAAAAAATATGCTCTCGTATAAAACTAGCTTGGATAAACCTCTCTTGAGAACACCAGAACTTAGGAGAGGGTGAAGAGGTCATGGGAAGGGGACTTCAAAGAGAGGCTGGTGGTTGTTTGGGCTGAAGGTGAGTCATTAGACTCAAAGTGCAAAGAAGAGTCTTCATCGAGCTTCTACTTCAACACAGTCTTTGTGTTTCAGATTTTACTCTGCATTACCTACTGAAACTTGACCAATATAAATCATATTAATTCTGCTTTCTTAAGTAGATTTCAGCTGCACTGCTGCTTATCGAGCCCCCTTCTAGTCTTCCAGCACTCCAAATGCTCTATACTCAGTCTTATTTAACACATGACACTAGGCTGGACGAAAATGGGATCAAAATATAGAGCTTTATTAACAGATTGCTGAATCTGCTCAGCAACAGAAAACTAAAAGTTTGATTGTCAGAAGTTGTTTGTTTGATGGCTACATGATTATTTCAGTGTGTGATTACAGCTGAATTTAGTATACTACCAGTGGCGTTGTCAGGCTGGTAACGGGGCAGGTGCAAAAAGAAAAAAAAAAAGAAAGGGCACCAGCTGTATGCCTTGAGGGCAGTCATGATCAACAAGATCTGTTTCGAGCAGCATTTCAAGGACCAGTTTGTAAGCTCTTCATTTTTCTGTCCCCCTTCAGCTTTCTGTAATCATCAGGTAGTGACACAGGCAGAGAGTAGTCTGAAGGGTAGTGATTAGGGATAGTTTCTCAAACCACTGATACACACACATAGTGTAAGGTTCATTCAACTTATTTAGGCACAAGTACCAAAAGGGGGTCTGGAGGTCCTGCATTTAATACTTAATCCTGTCCGTTCTAGTAATTACTCATGCTAAAGTTAGTGAGGAGGGTTAAGTTGCATCAAAGGAAAACACTGAACTTTAAATCCATGTTTAACTAAGATAATTAATACTTTTATAATGAGGAAATGTTTAAATCTATTATTTGTCATGCAGTGTTTAAAACTGAATGTTGTAATGTAATATAAAATCATAAGATTCTATTGATGATTTAACACTTGGAAATATTTAAGACTTTTGTAGTGAATTAAACTTCAGTCACAAACCAAACAATAATAAATCAGGTCAACTGACAAAGTGACGCATTTTATTGTAATTTGTGCATTTTTTAAGTGTATTATTTATGTCAGTTTAGAAACGTGAGCATGGACCTGGATTGTAACTCACTTTAACATAATTCAATCTATATGTATAAGTAATAGTGTTTTTAGCTTGGCTGCTAGCAGACTCCAGCAGCCATATGAGCGAGCTTACCTGAGTGAAAGGTGTTTTCGTGGCATAACGTCAGCACGGAGTCATGTAGACGAGAGCTCAGCCTTTTATTCAGTATTTCTAGAGGGCTGACACTGAAGTCTCACGGAGCTACAAAGAAAGTATTTGGCATGATATTCTATAGGCCAATCAACGCAGACGGGTTTATCCCAAAACCACTGTTCTTCTGGGTTGTGTAACTAACCCATCATAAGTCATTATGAACCTACAGAGCCTGCTGGGAGGAATCTATGGAATCACTGAAAGAGGACTTGACAACAGGAAGTAGGAGTATATCATTGGTCTAGTGAAACCTGTTTGTAATGGAATTCCTTTTGTTGCTGTCTGGGTAGAGGATCCCCTCAATGCCCGGAGCTAGTAATGGCACCGATAGCCCAGTTATTATTGGAGACCTAGTGGTTTTTAAATGCGGTAAAGAAATATTTCAGACCCATTAAGAATACACGTGAATGCCTGGAAATGTCCAAACACCCCTTCTGTTGATGATACAGTACTTTCAGTTGGGATGGTGTATTGTGGGAAAGTCGAATTGTAAGTGTTCTGACATGTTGGAGGTAGAGACACCTATTTTCACTGTGTTTTTATTCCAGGGCTAATTCACACAGGCATATGGTATAGGGATACACTTTCAATGGTGCACTGTATTTTGAAGAGTTTTGGTAATAAGAGAAATATACATTGGATTTCAGATCAAGCTTACTTTTATATCAGTGGTTATTTATCCCCCCCAAAAAAGGATAGTGTAGTATACAAGCATACAGGCTGCTTGTTTCGTGGGCTCTTTGTGTCTTGTTCTATTATCAATTAATATCTTGCTGTCCTTGAAAGGTTTATTCAAGATGCCAAGATCGAGTGTTTTCCTTTAAAGCTGTCTTTATCTATCAGCCTCACCCTGAGCTGCACTTACCTGGGTCCTCAGCAGTAGCCGACACCTGTCAGGTTCAATCTAAGGATATGTGCAGTTGTGGAATCCTGATGTAACAGATTACAGGTTTCAGTATCATTTGATTCAAAGTCAAATTTCACCACAAGCTGGAAGTGTTGTCGCCCTCTTGTGCAACCTTTTGTTGAGAGATAGACGTCCTCTCCTCCTCTTATGGCTCAATGTTTTCTCAGCGAGGGTTAAAGACCTGTTTGTGTTTGCTGATTGGGTCTCAGAGGGTTATAAAAAGAAGAATGGCAAGTTTTAGCTTAGTGCTGTGGTGGAAGAGTTAAGTCCAAGGTCAGGGAGTGATACAACATTACACACACAAAGATCAGCAAGTTCATTCAAGTTATTCTTGCACACAGTTACTTAAAATTACCAACAAATAGCCTTTAAACAAAGTAGCCGCTAATTATCTCAAGTTCACACTTGTGATTCAGGAGATGAAGTGACTCAGAAATCCAAATATTCAGAAGAGACTTTTCCACTCCTGAGTGCCGGTTTGTCTGCTGAGGTTGATGTTATGTAAAATAAACACAGCCAGTAGTGCATGTTCAAATTGACCTGGAGTGGTAGCTCGGTGTGTAAATAATGAAATGCAGCCGTTTGTACTGTGAGATTTTGGCAGAGGCAAAAAGCACATGTTGAAAATGATACCAAGGGGATCAAAAGATCAAAGAGGCTGTTTTTGGCTGTTGATACCCAACTTTTTGCAAAGGCTTTTTTTTTGTCGTCAAAAGGAAACAGGGCAGTTGGTGTGTATAGAGAGTAGCTTTTCCTGTCACATTAGAAACTGGGGGAAACATGTAGCTACTCATACTACTGGACCTATGCAGCACACATTTAAGACCAAACCTCTCATGATACCACCCTTTTTTTAAGGCCTCATCAAACCCAGCTCCTGAGATTTTTAAGATGATAAACCCTTAAAGTCTCACTTCGATCAGTTTTTTACTACGTTAAGTGTTCTCGGTGGTCTTTAAATTGTGATAATGAGGTTTTTACCAAAAATCGCATTACCTGTGTCATTTTCAAGGGCCTTTCTTCTGCAGAGCTCCAGTAGATCATTAGTAATTCGTCTCTGAGTTGTGGGTGGAGACAGCGCTGCTCTGAACACTCGTCTTCATGTTAGCTTGCAGCCTAACATTGCCTGTGCAGCAGAAGTGGCAGGTAACATAGAAGATATTCAGCTTTGGACATGAATGTCTTTAGGGACATGATAAAAGCTAATCTCACAATTAGCTTTCTTACGAGTATTGCAGTCCACTAACGCACACGCTTGTCTCGGGATCACCCTCTGTATTTCTCTTCTATATGCAGAGTGTGGCCTGCATAGTGGGGCTCTGGGGGAGGAGCTTGGATTGGTTACATATAAAATCTCACTGTTTCTGAACCTGTCAGAGATTCACAGTGACTTGAATAAAAAATGCTCAGAAAAGCAGTTTCGAATTTAGTTTTCTCATGATATGTCCTGTGGCATCAGAAAAATGTTATATGAACATATAAAAAACAAGAAAAACGTGATTTTCTTCGGAGTGGGTCTTTAAGTGCACGTTTATTTGAGATCAGAGTCACATTTTAAGTTCTTTAATTTTCTGGCACATGGTCGATATAAAGGGTCAGGGGTTCGTGGTGTGACTGTGGCAGGTGTTGTGTTTCAGGCGGGTTCGAAGGGTTCTCATTGTCTTTGATGTGTTAAACAGTTTTAGGACCTGAGGACAGGTGCTTTGTGTCAATGTCAACCTTCTGTTTCTACAGTAATAAATGACCTGCATACCACTGTTGGCCCTGCTGAATATCATTATCATCCCTTCTCCTACACATCCCCTAAAAATGAATCCCTTGTCATCCCAATCCAGTCTTTTCACTCTTTCTTTTCTCTCAATCACTCATCGCTGCTCTCATCCGTTTCCCCAACCCCTCATGTTTCCGTATTTACTTCTCACTCTTCTCCAAGGCTCTGCTCTGATGTATCCATTCCCTCTGCTCCCTCTCTCTTTTCAGTTTTGTTACTTGAAAAGATTGAGAATGACGACATTGGGAGGAAGACCTTGAAGATCACAGATTTCGGCTTGGCCAGGGAGTGGCACAAAACCACAAAGATGTCAGCTGCAGGCACGTACTCCTGGATGGCACCTGAGGTCATCAAGTCATCTCTCTTCTCCAAAGGCAGTGACGTCTGGGGGTAAGACGAATAATACACAGACCTGGGGATCAAATATCTACCACGACTCCTGAATTTGAAGCTATAACTCATTCCTTTGTTAAATATCCCTCACTTTATTTCTTCCACCAGTTATGGAGTCTTGCTGTGGGAACTCTTAACCGGAGAGGTGCCATACCGTGGGATAGATGGCCTGGCTGTTGCCTACGGTGTGGCTGTCAATAAGTTAACTCTACCGATCCCCTCCACTTGTCCTGAACCTTTTGCCAAGCTCATGGAAGGTAAACAAGGCAGAAATTAGACAGAAATTCTGAGTGAATCTCCGCAAGTTGATTTAAATTAATTGTTAAAACCTAGACAAAAAAATCTATTAAAAAACAACTTATTAATTGTTTTTGTTAAAACAAAGGTAACAGATTTATTTGTTAAGTCTGCAGGTTAACATATCCAGTACTTTATCTGTGTAGTAGCACTGTGACTATGTACATGCACCAGTCATGCAGGGTATTTGAAGCGGAACATAAACCTCGTGGCTACACCTGCAGCGCATGAAGTCAGCAGAAGTTGATTTATAGCGCTTTGTAAGTCACAAGCAGTACAAGACAGAGTGTTTTCTACGAAGAAGCCACTTTCACTGAGCCAACCCAGGCACACAGGTTCAACTTTCATTTGAAGACGTTTGGAAAAGCTAGATCACATGTTAATATTAGACTGCATCACACAAAACAAACATGCCAGTATCAGAATTAATCCACTTTTTGAATGAGGACTACCTCAGGGACAAACTCTTCCACTTTAAACAGCATTTAACAATTTACATGATAACAATGTCTGCCAAAACATTAACAGAAGATACTACTTTTGATTTAAAATTCAGATCAGACGTTTTTATACCTAACATTTACACTTGATTTATTTGACCTTTATTTAATTAAGAAAGGAGTATAAGTATAACAAAAGGTAAAAAGACAGTAAAGCTGAAATAAGAGAGGTAAAAGAGATAAAAGATAAAAAGAATGTCAGCAGCACAAAGTTTCAACAACAAAACAATAACACTGATACAGGAGAACCAAAATAAAAGCCACAATCAACTTCAACTGAAGCAAATACTTACAGAAAGCCAGGCATCCAGACAGGGTTGAAATACATTCAAGCTAACTAAGTTATGCAGTTTATACCATGTGGCTACAACCAGCCTGCTGGGTACCACAGATGGTCAAAATCTGGCACATTTACATGCCCATGCTCATCACTATGAATTGGGCCCTGTTTAAAATAAATGAAATGAGTAAATCAATGAAGTATAGAGGCAGTATGTTGTATTTAATATACAGTAGTGTTTCACCTGACACATTAACAAACATTATGTGTTTGTTTGTGTGTGTGTGTGTGTGTGTGTGTGTGTGTGTGTGTGTGTGTGTGTGTGTGTGTGTGTGTGTGTGTGTGTGTGTGTGTGTGTGTGTGTGTGTGTGTGTGTGTGTGTGTGTGTGCAGAGTGTTGGGACCAGGATCCCCACGTGCGTCCCTCCTTCTCCTGCATCCTGGAGCAGCTGTCGGCCATTGAGGAGGCAGTGATGGCCACAATGCCTCAGGACTCGTTCCACAGCATGCAGGACGACTGGCGAGTGGAGATCCAGGAGATGTTCGATGAGCTCAGGACCAAAGAGAAGGCAGGTTACAAACACATACACGGAAACACAAACATCTGTACACGTGATAGGAAGAGCTGCAGTTGACTCACTGTACTATTGTATGTTTTACTTCCTCTCATCTGTCTCACATTAGGAAGTTGGAGACCCAAGTACAGTATATGTAACAGGCCCTTGTACTTCTCTGCTTCTTTTGTCAGTGATCCATTTTGAGTAATCCATTATCAAGATTTAGTCCAGCCAAACTGCCTCACCGGGGGCAGCTTTTATGGACTAAAAAGTGTAATTGGTTACTTTCAACAGATGAGCTAATCACGCGTTTAACAAAACAAGTCATTAATGCCGCGGCGCTTAAGCGTACTTCCCCTTGTTAAGACCTTAATCTGCTTCCTGTAGAAGTCTCCCATCACTGGCTTAAACAGGGAGGTTAATTAGTGTTTGGAGAAACAGCAGGATCAGCTCACAGAGCAGAGTCTGCTAATAATGAACTGGATACTAACTCCTCGTTCCTTTTCACACTTAAGTTTTTTGTTTTAAGATTTAAAAAATAGATTGATATGAATTTGTGTGTTGTGTATATTAGCTCCCCAGTACTCGTTATTAGTAACGTGACGAAAATCTTTAGTTTCATTTATGCAAGTATGTTACATAACTTCCAATAATCCAATTTAAACAGTAAGTTCTCTATATGATCTGCACAGGCTTGCTGTAATAAAACACAGTTAAGCTCTTTGAGATCGTAAATGTAAAAAAAAGGAAAAAAAAATACAGGTTTTCAACACAAGCTTAAATTTTTCCCATAGTAGATTACGAACAGAATTAGCTGCTACATCGGCAGGTTTCCTGTAAACATCTCTCAGTAAGCTGTTTCTAGGTGGGTGGCTGAAAGGGCTTGACTGTAAAGCGGCTACGTGGAAACCATCCAGTAAAGATTATTATTACTCAGCTGAGAGCAATTAAACAGAAAATCGAGGGAGTAAAGAGAGCTAAACACACTTGTCTGCTCCCATGGCTGACTCGGTTTAACACAGGCTGGAACAGCAGGCAGTAATCTCCTGAATCACCAGGTTGTTATCTAATAAAAGGCACACTTGAACATGTCTGATTCTGTGGATTTCTGTTTTATTAAAGGGTGAGTTAGTCCTCGATCTCCAGAGCTTTGTCTTATAGCTGGACAGTTACCAAAAATAAATAATGCCACAGCACCAGACATTGAAAATATCTGTCCTTTACAAAACATGATGTCACTTACAGGACTTAGAAATAAAGACAAAGTACTGATGATCTTTTAAAAGGGGTAAAAACCCACTCCAGTACACCTTCATCCTTGTTCTGATGCTCTTCATTTAAGTTTACATGACTGATCATTTAGAGGAAAAGGAGATGGATGGTTTCTCCCATCTCACTTAAAAAGCAACCTTACAGTTTGGATTAAACAGGTGGTTGTGTTATGCATGTTCCTGCTTACATGGCCTTAAGCTACTAGCTTCAAATATGCAAAATAGGCTTCAGATCTGTTGGACCTTCACTTGTTTATCACTTCAAAGCTTAAATTTCTGTGGTCAGGATCTCCCAGGTTCATTTCTTACACTGTCTGCAAGTTCAAGCACACATTTGACTTCATTTCTGCTTCTTTCAGGAGCTTCGTTCCAGAGAAGAGGAGCTAACGCGGGCAGCCCTCCAGCAGAAGTCTCAGGAGGAGCTGCTGAAGCGTCGAGAGCAGCAGCTCGCGGAGCGGGAGATCAACGTGCTGGAGAGGGAGCTTAATATCCTCATTTTCCAGCTCAACAAAGACAAGCCCAACGTGAAGAAGAGGAAAGGCAAATTCAAACGCTCTCGGCTCAAACTGAAGGATGGAAACCGCATCAGCCTGCCCTCAGGTGAGCATCTGCAAGTCTGAGCTGAGAAATGGAGAGTCGAGTTAGGAGGATAGAAATCAAGAGTGGTTGTTGTAAGATTTTCTCTGACAAAGCAATCACTAGTGAGTCTCTGCATTAGTAAGTATCACTGTCATGCTGCTCTGGTCCGCGAGTAGTGTAGTTTGCTGAGTCCCTTGGGGTTTAATACTTTAACAATGTACTTAAGTAATATTTTAGAGTCATTTTTAATGATTGTGTTCTTAAAACTGTTATGGAGCGTTTGAACATTAGTACTTCTCAACCTTTACTTGTGTCACATCTCTGGCAAAATGAAAATTTAGCCATAAACTTTAAAAACCCTGTTTTCCAAAATTTTAGGTGATAAAATTTTATTGTCAAGTATGCTAACTCACCAAATAGGGCTGGGCAATGAACCGAAAATTTACTGATTCAGAAATTTACGACAATAACCATCGTCATTTTGCCCATATCGGTATATTTCAGTGTCTAAAAAATAAATAAATAGAAGTTGGTTTTGGATGTGTGTAGGTAGGCTATGGTCTCATGTCCCTTTAAGACGCTGTCCTACGTCTGAGACGTGACTCCACTGCATCCAGTCCGTAACAAAGAGTGAAAGACGGGTGAGGAGATGGAGGACGGTTCAAAAGTTGTAGCGGCGGCGAGTGGGCGAGCAGCTAGTGGAGTAGTTATCATCCATTTATTGTTATCGATGTGAACTGCTCAGTACATTGTAATATTGATTTGAGGCCACATTGCCCAGCCCTGTCACCAAATGATAGACAGAATACACAGTGAGTAAGAAAACCACCTGGGATTATTTCCACAATCAGATAACATGTGATGTGTGAACAAAGAGGCAGATCAGATTTACACTAAAGAACCACAACAACCACATGTTTGATGTCCTTCACAGTTGTGATCATAATGCCAAAGATAAATGTGGTTGTGTAATTTCCCTGACTTTAACTGGGATTATATCAATCACATGTCTCCTGTCCATATTTTCATGTTCTAAATTTCAGATTTCCAGCATAAGATCACAGTGCAGGCATCACCATCCATGGACAAGAGAAGGAGCCTTCACAGCACCAGCTCCTCTCCCCCCAGCAGTCCCACACTCATCCCAAGACTAAGAGCCATCCAGCGTAAGTCCAGCCCTCTTATATATCCAAGTTTCCTCCTGAGTGAGTCCTATGATCTTCACTTTAAGTGTAAGTCGTATCAGGTGTAGGTAGTCCTCGGCATTGACAGAAACATTTCGAAAGAAAACCGAAGAGTGAGTCCATCGCCTCATCTCACAGAGTTTTTGGTGGGAACATGAGGAGAGTGTTTTTCACAATGACCAAAGCTGTGTGAACAAAAAGCTCCAGAGCCAGAAGCAGTCAGCCAGTTGTTTGAACAGTTTGATAATGTTGTTAGTCATGCACCGACGCCCCTGCAATAACTGGAACAAATTCCTCCTGAGCATTTATGTAAGATCTGGATATTCAGGCAGAGGGTGCACACTGTCGGTCATTTGTCACAATTAGCCCTGAAAATGGATACGGACCAAAAATCGACAAAACAGACAGAGAAAAACTCTCAGGGGCCTTTAAATCTGAGCGGTTAGTACAAAAACGGTTTACAAAATAGGCAGAAGTTATACGAAGCTCTGTTTGGTTCAATTGACTCGGCTATGAAAAGATAATTTATGTCTCTTTTTCAAAATCGTGTAACATAAATCACATACATAAAACATGTACACACAAATACATTGAATTATAGGTAACACATTTGACGCCTATCTGTATAACGCACTATAGATATATTTATAATGCGTTATAATCACGTTATAGCACTGTATAACTATAGTTATAAACACTCATAAATGACCATAATGGTTTAAAGGAATGATCACAACACATTATAAAGCATTTTATCATGACTTACAAGGTCAGGTATTATAATGTGTTATAACTGTTAACAACAGTTGCATTGCATTATCTACGTGGGCATTGTCAGTGAGTTATTAACAGTTAAAACACATTATAATACCTGACCTTGTAGGTCATGATAAAATGCTTTTATAATGTGTTGATTATTTCTATAAAGCATTATGATCATTTATGACTGTAGTAATACAGTGTTATGAAGTGATTTATAATGCCTGACAGAGAGAGGCATCAAATAAAGTGTTACTGAATTGTAAACAGAGTGTTGAGTGTAAAATAGTACCTTTGATTTAAAGCAAACAGTACAAGTGTGTCATACTGCTCATGTTAGTTAAGGGGTAACATGTATGTTTCCTTCTTCAGTGACGTCTCATATGCAGAGGGACATTTTGCATGTTTACCAACAGGATGTTGATCTCACCAGCGAGCTCACAGGCTACTGTGGGTTCAGAAGGACAGGCAAGCTATCAGCTAATCACATGCAGCTGAAAAACAAAGAAAAAATCACACGCAGGGCTTTCTGCGTGTGATTTTTGGCTCATTTTGACAGTTAAAGGGTTTGATGTCTAACAGCTGCCCATCAGCAGGGTTTGTTTGTTTTGATGGCCAGGGTCTCATGGTGTGTTTGATCACAGAAACACTTGGGTTTTTTGCTGTTTAAAATGGTTAATGGATAAAGTAACAACGATGACACCTCATGCCACAGACTTGGGCCAGTCTACAGGTTGTTATATATTGGATAATCGTCATTATTCAATCATCCTGGTAGTGCTCTTGTGTTGCACATTTTTACAGTTGTATTCATTTTGGCCTGAGTCTGTCGCTCAAATGTCTTTAATGGGTCCTGCCTTCTCTCACAACTTCGTAACAACTTCACAGTGACTAACAAGAACCTTTATGAAGCTTTTATGAATAAGTTCTGGGTTTTCATTTCTGCAATTCTTCTTTTGGTTTTTGATTTGCAGAAATTGGTGTTTCCAGTTCACCAAGTTTGAAAATTCCTAGATCACTCATATCTGACTAAAAACTACTACTTTAAAAATCCCTCCATTGTAAAGAGATTTTCAGCTTTGGGGAAATAGAATATCCACCAATCATGTGATATTTTTCAAAGAAAGTGGAAATTTAAATAACCTGCAATCTTTCAAGAAAGATGTCTTCTGGGATTTTACAATGGCTCAGTGTCTTTCTTAACCTTAATCAAAACCAGTTTGCTGCAGTTGTTTTTACTCCATCATAACACGTCTGGTCACTGTGCCATCAGTTACCCAGGATGAGAGCAACCGTACATGGGGCCGCAGCACCCTCTTCAGGCCAGAAGAGTTCGATGACGTGAAAAAGGGAATCAAGAAGAAAGGTCGAACCTGGGGCCCCAGCTCAGTCCAGAGCAAAGAAAGACCTGCTGCTGCTGAGAGGTAGAGTGAATGCACACAGTAATAAACACAGAGGACACTCATTATTTAACATTATGATATATGAACTACATTACAGCTAAGGTTGTGTGAACAGATTGTGTTAAAAATACAAACAGTTGTACAGCATTTACTATTTCTGCATGTTGTGCTAGTGTATGAATGCAGCCAACTTTTATGATGACAAAAAAAGGGGATAAAAGTTAAAATTGAACTGCATGTCTGTGGTTTCAGGGTACGTCCTCTGTCTGACGGCAGTAATCCCTGGTCCACCAGCCTGGTCAAGTCCCAGAAGTCGGTCCCCCTCGCTGCACTGTTTGCTGAACAAGGTGAGCAAGAAATTGTAACGTCAGTGTTGTCACAATGTGAGCGTTTACAACATAGTTGTAACATACTCTGCATTTCTGCACTGTGAATTAAATGAATCAACATATTTTGTTTGTTTAATTAAAGTGACTATTACAGGGGTCATTTTCTGCTCTGGTTCTAATCCCATCCAGATAGACTAAGAACTGGTCTAAGGGGGTTTTCACAGCTGGATCATTTGGAGACACTCAGTGTGTTTACAGGCACAGCTTAATCAAACTAAGCTCATTCTTTTTCGCCAAATCAGACTTCTCTCCTTGTCCGTGTATACATGCAGCTGAGAAAATCAAATTATTGACATGAACGTGTCCTCCATCCCCAAACTAGGGGGTGATATGGGTCTTTTTAGCGGTACTATTTCCGGTTGACCCCATACAGCTGTCAACAACAACAGCAGGTCCATGCCAGACGTCAGAAGTGACTACAACTGCTGCTGGGCATTTTCAAGCCACTTCTACTCTTCGTGCCACTTCTCCTGGTGTTTTTGTGCCAGGGTTACGGGGGCATGGCACAAGCGCACATGCATTGTTTAATTATTCTCCGACTATGCTGGTTACATGGTAGAGGAAATCGAATTCCAATCCCATTATCTGGGTGTCTTTTTTAGAGTTCTCAGACTCTGATTATAGTCGGACTAAGGTGTTTACATGCACTTCAGTTGTCGGGTCTTAACCAAAGTAAGGCAATAATTTGGTTTTCTTGAGTGTCATGTAAACGTACTGATTGTTCCTAAAGGGTTGGCATTGCCTCCCTTTGGGTCAGATCATTATTTTACAAGAATGAAGCAATCACAGTCTAGTGTTAAACAAAGTAAGTTTGTAAAGATCATCAGGAAGAGGTGGTCCTTTTTCTCACTGAACCCTGGAGGGCTTTGCTTACACAGAGAAGTGACCCAACAACCAAAACAAACAGCTGGTTGATTCATCATATTAGTGGTAGACCAGTTATACTAGATACAGTTTGCGTAAGACGAGCTTTTATTGCAGCAGGAACACAAAACTAACCAGGGATTGAGTGCAACAACCTAAATGTGAATTCACACCTCAGTTTTATCAAAAGCAGGAAGTGTGTTGTTATCTGCACACGTCTAATGTCCCACTCGTGTGTTTTCAGCAGGTAAAGATGAATCCTTCTCCCCAGAATGTCCAGACAGCAGCTCCAAGCCAAAGCAGCTCAAGTTCCCCAACCAGGTGTACATCGATCTACCTCTGTGGAGGGACGAGCAGCAGCCTCAGAGCCCCGCTGGGCTGGGAGATGCAGGGATGGGGGGTCAGAGCGGCTCACCAGACACGCCAGACGACCCCTACACCACTACATCCACCTCGTCCACCTCCACCACCCCACAGCTCACCCCTACCAACAGCCTGAAGCGAACATCTGCCCGCCGCAAGACTGACTCTGTGCTGTACAGCTGCGGCTCGCTTCTGGCTTCAGTTGTGCTCGGCTACGACATACGGGAAGCTCTAAAGAACTGTGGCGAGGACTGCGAGCCTCAGCGCGAGGAGAAAGAGAAGAAGAAAAAGGAGGGGTTGTTTCAGCGCGCGACCCGCTTCCGCCGCAGCACCTCGCCACCGAGCGGTCGCCCCCGCAAAGACGAGGCATTATCAAACCACACCGCCACCCCACCTGTTAATCTCATCTCCATGTCGGCCATCGTGGAATGCAACTCCACCAAGTGTCTCTTACAGTCCGAGGCAGAGGTGTCGGAGTCAAACCCTGGTAGGGTCGAACATGCGGCTGTCAATCATCACACAGAGCCAGCCAGACCGAGCCCAGTTACACCCACAGAGGGCCAGAACAACAAGACCGCAGTAAACACACAGACACCCGGACAAACCCAAAGTAAGCCGCCAGAGCAGAGCAACCACAACACAGGGACACGTCTGCGCAGAAAGAAGTACACCACCAACCACACCTGTGAGTAAGACAAACCCCGAGTTGAGGGGAGTAACCGTGTGTGTAAGTGCTTCGAAAACATTCATGCACTAAATCTGAGTTTCCGTGTCGATTTCCAGCAAACGGCCCTCCCACTCTGCCTCCCCCAGCCACACAGAAGAAGCAGGAGAAGGAGAGGGATGGGGCGTCAGAGAAGCCTTCAGGCGGAGAGGCCTTGTCCAGACCCCGACCCGTGTCTTTCCGGGCCAAACCCCACGCCTGGGCCCTGCTGCGAGGACGCAACAAGAGCTACTCACTGGGCCACTACTCCGGGGAGAAGGCGGCACAAAACCTGAGCATGGTGCTGTCCTCTGAGGTAGGAGTGGGCTGCTCCCTGCTGGACATGGACACCGAGGGCCAGAAACGAGACTGCACCGTGCCGCTGTGCCGCATTCAGAGCTCCCCAGCACGGCCCTCTGTCTTCGAGCTGGAGAAGGAGTTCCTCTCCTAGGAGCCCGGAAAGTGACCTGCTTCAGTCACATCTCTTCCCAGTGTCCTAGACCATACAGACATACAGACATGTAGTTTTTTTGGCCTAAAACTCCTGGAGGGTTTAGAACCAGGCTGCCTTTTTTCATAGAACCCAGCTTGTTCTTAGTTCTAGGATTTGGTGTTGTCAGTGTTCTAGAGTTAAAATGAGTGAGACACCCGGAGAACGCCCGTCACGGTGAGGGGATCTAGAATGCGCACCTTGCTCTCAGTGCCAGAATGTGTGAGGCCTTATGCTGCGGTGGGAGTTACCTCAGAAGTCAGAAGTCAGAGCTGAGAATGACGTCAAATCCGAGTTACAAGTGTTTCAGTTAGCAAGTCGGAAAAAAGCGAAATGGGAGGTGGAAACAAGATGGCTACATCTACGAAAGTTATTTTAGCGCTTGCTTTATGTTCAGAAAGGCAAGCGCTAAAATAACTTTCGTAGATGTAGCCATCTCGTCATTTTCAGCTCGGACTTCTGACTTCCGATATAACTCGAACGCAGCATTACACCCTGCCTTTTTCTGTTCTAGAACAAACACCCACACCACTGTGTCGTTCTGAAATCTGAGCGGAACATTCCAGACGTGGATCAGCGGCACCTGTCCTGATCCCGCGGTACTCGACTGCCATTCTTCGTCTGCTCATCTCTCCCTCCCTCTTCCTCTCTCTCTACTGTCAGTGCAGCTAAACGTTGACCGCTGCTGCAGCTTTTTCGCAACACAAAACCCTCACCTTTTTATTTATATATATATTTTTATAGGTAATTTAATATGAAGAGACTTGATCTTTCCTTAGCAACCAGCAGGACATTACATTCCATGTCGGTTTTAAAGTTGTGCGATCACGCTTTTAGATGTTTTGACTTGAGAATCATGCATGCATGTACCCTTAAAATGTTGAACAAAAAAAATCATAATGCCTTGTTTGTAAATATTTCTTATTACCCAGTCCCAGCCTGATGCTGGAAGTTGTTTTGTATTGCCTATATATGCTGTTTTATGACTGTTTTAAAAGCCAGCAATGCTGCAGTACAGATTGTGTTAAAGGTACCGGTTACATTACATATTGCAGGAATTCAAGTTTCCTAACAGAGAACCCTGATGATGGTTCAAATTCAGGAGGACAAACACCAAAAGTCTTCAGAAAACGTGGAAATCTGTCTCTTTTAAAGTCAGATGAAATTTGAAATGACTTTTGAGATCTTGTGTTGCTCATCAAGATTTTTCCAAGAGTATTTATTGAAAAAAAAAATCTTTTTTTTCTGGTTTACTCAGTGAACTGCAGCAGAGCGGGGGAACACTTCAGCTACAAATGATTTTGTCAGGATACCTGCCTCACTGTCATGAATTTGTGACGAGTCCCCTCTTTTGATTTAGATAATTGGCTGCAACTGTGATGGCAGAGCATGATATCATTTTCAAACTGCACCGCCTGGGAGTGACCAAAACACTTGTTCGAAATACTGATTTGACAAAACAGAACTAGCTGTGCTGTAAAGTGGCTGGACCTGAACTGTCACAAGTGCTGAAGTTAGCCATGATGTCTGCTTTCTTCCCTCATTTTATTTAAGTCTGTAAACAGTTTAGTCTTTTCATCTTGAAATCTCGACCTAATTACCCCAGTACTACACTGACACTGCAAGAAAGAATACACCAACACTAATATGCTGATGTGTTGAATTTGAGAATTCTGGTTGTTATCTCAGATTCTCATGTGATCAAGCTCAGGAAAGCCTGCTGTAAACATTTGAGGACACAGTTTTCGCCGTTTTTGGACTATGAGTGCACAATTATCCCGACGTCAGACAGCTAGATGAAGAGCTTTGCAGGATTAATTATGATTTCTGCAGAATATATTCTGTATCTTGTCCCCTGGTCACTCCCAGGCCTCTCTTAACACTAAACAGATCATCGCAACATCTCTTCTTCGTTACTTGTTAATCATTTTGTCCCTCAAACTCTTTGTTGCTGACTTACTCCATTTTTTAACAAGTTCATCTGAAAATGTGACCACTTTTTAAAAAGACAAAACGAAAACAAGGGCTCATTTATGACCTCCCAAATGGTGTATATATGATTGTGTTTGCAGATGTGTGTATCACTGTGACATCTTTATGATTTAGCATTTGAAGTAAGTATCCCATGTTTTGTATTTTATGACCACTGACTATCAAACCAATACTGTTAAGGCCGAACTTATTGTGGAGTTGTGAAAGGAGCAGCTAACAAGCCAAGATATAACTGGATTTCCCTTTTATTTTGAAGAAATAAGGGGTTTTGTGTAAATACCACGATGCACTGGTGCTGTTCATTCCCCTCTCAATGCTGTATGTTACTTTGAGATTGAAGTCCTCTGTTGGTTGTCCACAGTCACATCTTTTTAAACCTTATAATGTGTCAACAAACCTAAAAACATTCCACTACATACAGCAGAGTGCAGATGACATATTTGTGAAACCAGTCGACAACATGGTGCATTGATTCTTCTGGCTATGGGACCAAATTGAACTCTACCAGCACTAAGGCCTCTCTGTCTTCAGGACCAAAACCACTAAATGAACTAGCTGCTAGTGAGACATTCTTACAAAGAAAACTTTTCCATACATTAAAAAGAAAAAAAAAAACTTCACAAACAACCTCAGAGTTTCAGCACAGTCATGTAACTGAATGACCCATCACCCTCTTATCAAATAACAATTCAAGACGTTCTTCGATCACTGAACATCTCTGCCACGCTGAATATGTCTCATTCAGCTTTGAGGTCGGTTGTTTCAGTGAACAGTTCTTATCATTACAGTATTGATTATTTCATGCCTGATTGATCAAGACTATCAAGTTTATCAATATTTTAAATAAAGTCAAAATGAGACTAAGCGCTGTCCTTTGTTTTTCCTTGGAGACCGAGTGATCATTGATGTTATTTTTCAAAGAATACATATCTGCATAAAATACCGGTCAGTCAGTTATTGATTATCCTGCATTGTCTAACACTGGTTAGTGTGGGTTATTTTTTTTAATTTTTTTTCTGAGTAGAGCAATTTTAAAGAACTTTTTGGCCCAATCTGCAATAAATACACATGATACATACAATAAATATATACGTATAGACAAACAAATAGATAGATATAGTTGTATTTGATTTTATAAGTATAAATAGACAAATTTGCCTTTTGAAAAGATTCACTATCTGGTGATGTTACAATATGAGCATTAATCACATTAATCTCGCTGAATTCTTGTGTGACTTTTTGAACAAGTTATTTAGAGCACCCTGTAGTCCCACCGGGCGATTACTTCCAGAGCCGGCCCCAAGCCTCAATGGGCCCCTAAGCAAAATTTGATTTTGGGCCCTCTATTTTTGGCAATAATATTGATTGTTGATCATTCACACACCTTCACAAATCTCTTTAACATTTCATGACATGCAACATACCTTTTTTCTCTTCTTCTCTTTTCTTTTCTCTGCTCCTGAAGGATATGTCCTTTTTTTGCGACATTTTTTTGCCTCACATCTACCTGCGTTTTGGATGCTCAGCGCACATTGCACAGCAGAAGGCACATAATGGTAGTGGAGCTTTAAAGTATCGGCAGTAAGAATCATAGGCCTACATCAGCAGAAGCACTAAAATGTTTTTACTTTATTTTATCTTTACAATAATATTTAATCATATAGAAAGCATCACTCATACATGCAAAAAATAAAACATATTTAACTTTTTTTTTTTTATTGCTCTTGGGGGCCCCCTTATGGCCTCAGGGCCCTCAGTTCACTTATGCCTTGGGCCGGCTCTGATTACTTCAACACACGTAAACCCTGTAATCTGAAACTTTGCTCATGTATAGTACTGACGTTCAACAACGTTTCAACTTGCCCAGCTATCTAAGTAGGTTCCTGAAACTTTTCTAAAACTAAAAGATTTTAAAGTCGGTTTTATCTTCTTCTAGTATCGGAGGAGTCAGGTGGAGTCAAGTTTCTGTTCCCTCAAAATATTTAACCAAAACAATGAAACAGAATCAACTTGTGAATCTTTATTTGTAATGCAACACTTATCAAATACATTTGGCACGGTACATTCTCAGAGCTGTTTGAACAGTTTCAGATTCACACTAAAGTTCTTCGCTGAATGTCAATATGAAACTTGTCGTTTGTTATAGTTTGATATGGACCAGTCTGAGTCTCCACCACACTGGACAACAGAAAAATGTTAGTGTTTCAGTTTACACAGGTCTGTGGTGATAATTCCAGTTTGTGTGTCGTCACAGTTTGAAGAGTAGTGAGAAATGAAACTCAAATATTTAAGAGAAAGAGAAAGTATGTGCTTTAAATGCTCTTTTAGGTTCTTGTTAAAGTGCCTCACTTTTTTTTTATTTATCCGTTTATTTATTTATTTAATTTTATGGGTGTAGCCGTCGAGGTAGCAGTGGAAATTCATGCCAAACTGATGGAAGTCCAATCCTACAATGCATCAGGTCTGAAGTTGATCTGCAACAAAGACAATAAAGACCAGAAAGAAGAGGAGAAAAAACATTAATAAACTGAACAAAGGAACAAATGTCCAGAGATACATTATCACCAGTCTACTCTCTGTGGCACTTCTAAAAATAGTGAGGAGGGTGGGGTGAGCAGAGGTAATTATCGTCATTGTGGGGAAAATCTCTCTCCTAAGATTCCTCCTCCAGGAGTTTCATTTTCCCTCCCTTTTTCTGTCTTACTGCCCGGGGAGACTGCTCTGTGACGGCCGAAATGTGACTCCTCATTGGGTAATCTTTTGTTACAGCAGAGAGGTTAGCTTTCACTCGCCCATGATCATGTCCACCTGGTCTGTGAGAAGCACTGACACAGACACACAAAGCAGAAACTTGTAACACTCTCCCGGGTAAATTAGCGCTTTTTGGTACTATGGAGATGTCATTTGGATTCCCATACAAAATGTATGAAATGCTGTCCTATACTTGTTCAACAGTGCCATATAATGAAGTTCACCTAAGCCAGTCACTTGCAATTGCAGCAGCAGACATTGCTCTTGTTTAGTGTCTGTAACTTCAATATCTAATCCTTACAGATTTATTTAACACGCAGAAATTGAGGTATGACGAATGATGATCGTAACCTTTTAATGCCTGACACCACAAATTATGGCCAGAAAATTAAAAATTTTTTGGAGCTGAAATGTTTTTTTTTCACTTACTGCTAAAAACCAAAAACGTCAAAATGTCCTTAAAATTTAACAAAAATATTTTTTTATCTCGTTTGATATATTTGATGTTTTTTGGAAAACTGATAAACTACAAGAGGACATTTTTATCATTTATCGGACTGTATTCAGGTGTTTTTTTTAGTAATTTGTTGATCATACTGATTTGTTAGAAGTATATAAAAGTATGTATCAAATATGATTGCAAAAGGCATTGAAGGGTTAAGACCCATAGTCTGAGCCTGCATTTGGTCTTACCACCTAAACACACGTGAGAATAACCTGTTGAATATGAAATCAGTGCAGCAAGCGTTGTCTTCTTGAACTAGTTTGCATGTGTTGTTCTAATAAATACAATGGTTGGAGAAAACCCGTAAACTACAACAAATTGTCTTCTGATACTTGAGGCACAATTTTAAATAATTCAGTGCATGTAGACCAAACAGTGTCTTCAGTGGTTCAATTTAAGGTAAGCACATATATTCACAGCAAAAAAAATGCAACTTTTGCATCAAAACTATACAAAATAACAGTGGACCAACTTCTTCTCATGCTAATCTAAGTCCATTCTGCGGACAGTACTACTACTCTACATCAGATAAGTCTGTCAGTGTCCATACCTGAGTGATCAGGGCACAGTGACACACTTCATGGTGCCTCGAGTGCTGCTCTTGGCTTGGCGGGGGATGGTGGTCTGGGCTTGGAGGCAGTATTTCCCTTTGTGTTTGAGCTCGCTCAGGGTCAGTTTGTTCGAGCAACACTCCATCTCAAACACTTCCTGAACAGCAGGAAACAGAACAAGAGATGAACGGGGGTGAGGTTTAAACTGGACTATTGTGCACTGTTGTACATAAAAATATATCAAGCAGTTCTGAAGGAAAATTAGCCGGAAAGGAGAATGAAAAGACTCGAACAAAAAGGGGCTCACTTTTGTTCATTTGGCTCTTTTCACAAGTGCTCAAATAGACACAAAGCCTTAAATATTGAAGAATAAAAAGTCTGCGTAAGTGTATTAACATGTAAATACAATAAAAATCTAAATCAAAGCCAAAGTTTGAATTTGCTCTTTCCTGAAAAAAAAAAATAAAGCCAGAACAAAACAGACATGGAGACATTTCAGCCTGTTTAAGTCACATGATGTGTGTGTGTGTGTGTGTGTGTGTGTGTGTGTGTGTGTGTGTGTGTGTGTGTGTGTGTGTGTGTGTGTGTGTGTGTGTGTGTGTGTGTGTGTGTGTCTGCATGTTTACCTCCTCTCCACTGTTGTGTGTGAGGTAAATCTTGTAGTGAAGGTTGCTTTGCATCTTTCGAACCAGAACTTTGGGAGGCCTCACACGCACCATGATCCCTTGCTCTGTGACGTTCAGCTTCAGAAGAGGAGGGCTGATTTTGGCTGCAGAAGTGAGGTTTACATTAGATGTGTGGCAGGATATATCTTCAGCTTTTTTTTAGCTTAGGCAACTTCATAACCTGTATTGGCTGTATTTACATACTTTTACAAACTAGTGTATTCAAGGATAAATTTTGTTTGACTTTGAACGTAGAATTTTTGTGTTTTATCTGTACAGTTTTTTTTGCTTCGCTTACTGTCTCTGAACAAAAAAAAAAAAAACATTATGTGATATTGCATCAGGTCAGGAAGGAGACCAGACAAAAGAGAAAGGATTCTGACAAGGAGGAGGAGGAGGAGAAGGAGGAGGCGTTTCCACTTACTGTCCCAGCGTGGGCTGAATCTCGGGGAGAGAGCCCAGGCTGATTTGCTGGAGGGCAGGGAGGAAGCATGAACTCGGGCGTAGTACCACTCATTAAGGTCAGAGGTTATGCTGCTGAGGTCACAGTGTTGCTTCTGGATCCCCTGACAGCTTTCCACGTCCAACCATTCAGGCTCACCGTAACTACATGGAAAAGAGACAGACAGATAACAACACAAATAGAAAGAAAGTTAAATTAAGAGATCAGCAAATAGAGTAGCTTGAATTATCTACATAAGACGTTATTCTGCAGTTACAATCCCTGATGGCGCACAAAACAACCAAATAGTTTATTGAAAGCAGCAATGAAGCTTATAAATAAATAGAAATCACCCTCAAGGAATCAGTCCTTGAGGGACACCTTGGGTGAGATTTGGCACTGAAGATAGTCGACAAAATTGATCATACTCCATCCTAACCTTTGCCTTATCTTAATTTATCTTAAATATTCAATTCTGATTGTTCTTGTGTGTGTAATGTGTAATGTCTCACATCTTCCACTGGATGTAGTACTGCAGTGGGGTGCTGGTATTGGGTGAAGTCCAGCGCAGGATGTTTTTATAGTCCACCGAATCAAACCTCACCTGAGTGGGCGGAGCGAGCTGGATCACTGGAGCTGAGGAAGTTATTGGTTATACAAGAGGAAAGAGAGTCAATTCAAGTCGTAAAAGGATATATATATATATATACTGTTTATCTTGTTAAGTGTACAAGGAAGCATTTTCGTAGACACAAATCATGATAAAAAAAAAACACACCGATCACAAATTGATGTAACAGCTGACAAGAAAGAGGTAAAGTGTTATGAAAATAAAGACAAATAATTCTACTTTTGCCATAAATACAAACAGTAAATACTAAAGAGCAATATAGCAATCAGTAAAACTAAAAAACAGTTTGTTTAATTTTTTAAAAATCTATATTTATCTTCATTGTTTGGTCAGAATAAAGAGATAACCCAAATTTTTGTTCATACATTAAAAAAGCAGAAATTATAGAACAGATATACATTGTTGTAATGTGACTTTATATGTAAACATCTTCATTTTATCTTTATTTAACTCTGTGACAGCACAAACTATAGGACACATTTTTTAGTAGGATAATGTTCAGCTTAGTCTTGTATTGTTTCTATGAGGCTGTCGTGCTGCAATTTATGAAATTTTGTCTCAAAATACAGCATAACACAATAAAACATAGTGTTTTAAATCCTATTAAATCACACAAAAAGTTCAGATGGTAACAGTTAAATTTTTCCCGAGTCTGTTTTTAAACAAACAAAAAAGTTTTATAAAACAAAAAGCAAAAAATATAAGAAAAAAAATGCACAGAAAGTTGATCTGAGATAGAAATTGAGTTTTAAGTCAGATAAATCAGTTCAGTTCATTTCAGACGGACTATAACAACAGTAATTTACCTTGCTGTGTGACACAGATGCCCAGACTCTTCAGTAGCACGGCTCCGAGCAGCAGGTAGTTCATGGTGTCGAAGCTGCTGGTAGATGACGGACAGGGTGGACATGCAACCAGCTCCACTGATGCCTCTGGCAACATGAAGCTAACCTTTAACATGCAGCAACTTCCCCCTTCCCCAACTTCCATGATGCAAAACCCTTTTATGGTATAGGCAAGGACAATGCAACAAAGTGAACGCAAGACAGAAGTACAATTTCGAGCAAATTGCTTCTGACGACAGAGCGACGTATCACCTTGAAAATGTTCCAGAGTATTGAGTGTTTTACCTCAGGCCTCACACGTACGAAGTCCTCACTTCTTTTCGAGGTGCTGAGTGAGTCAGCAGATCAAATGGTACTAAAACAGGCAGGCTCTTTGGAAAAACAAAAGCACAGGCAGATCAACCCAATGGGTCAATCATTAATTTTAATTTGATAGCACCAAAGAATCACAAACTTTATCGTAACTAAAGGAGCAGGACTGGATCATACTGTTTTCAGAATACCTAGAATGAATCCACAATAACCAAGGATTTGGCCACAGTGGCAGTAACAAACTATTTTTAATAACAGGTAGAAACCTCGAGGAGGACCAGACTCATGGATAGCCATCTGCTGTAACTGGATGTTACAGGAAAGAGAAATACAGGGTATTGTGTTGTGTTGTGTTGTAAAGCTTTGGCTTTGATTGTAGAGAATATTTTGTTATCATGCAACAAGATGCTTTAAAAACTACGTCAAATTCAAAGAATTCAGCTACTGAAAGTGTGGAAAATTGTCTTGCGTTTTCAGAGAAGCGGTTGTGGAAAATTTGTAACTCAAGATGTTTCTTGTCTTGTGAAACTTACAGCTTATGATGTCTTCATTTTGCTGCTTTACCCCTCGTCTAAAACTACATCTCCTTGAAAGTGTGGTCTCTGTTGTGCATTACTGTACATACTACCAACAATTTGTGATGAAAATCAAATTCAAATTTAACTTTATTTTTATGGCAGAATTTAAGATATATTGTCAAAGAGACTTGGCCTGACACTGAGACATTACGTGAGGAAAGAGCTACCTTTGGGAAACACTGGAGATAGAAGAGATAGAAGATTGAAGATAAAAATGGTAAAAAGAAAGAGTAAAACCTGAAGGACTAAAACAAGAAAATAATATTCGATGAACAGACAAGAGCTTTTTTCCATGTAAAAGGCATAAAAGGAGTAAAAACCTCTAAGACGGGAATTAAGAAAAAGACTAAGAACAGAGATAATTAATAAAATGACATAAAATAAACATTAAGAACTTTGATTAAAATGAACATTTGCAATAAGAAAAATACAAAAAGGCGATTAGTGAAAAGCCTGGTTAAAAAGGTGAGTCTTGAGCCTCTTCTTAGAAACAAATGTCCCATTATGTCTCTTAATGGTGGCACCAAACTAGTGACATGAGCCAACATGTGCATGTATGCATTTATCACTTTTAAAAGAAGAAAATGAAAAACACCAGTTTTATACACCACTTTTTCAGATTTGAGACAGTCGGCCCCATTATGTCAGTTCTTGGTACCGGATGCAGAAGCAGGTATATTGTAGTCAGTCAGTGACTCATCATTCACAGACAGTCTTTGACGAGCTGAAGCTTTAAGTTCTGTGCGGATGTATTTCATTTAACTGCCTTTTGTTCTCTGAAGGTCAGAATAATTATCACACTTCACTTGTTACCAGAAATAAGTGATAACAATCTGCTTGAAATGATTACGAAACATTAGCTGCTTACTGGAAACAGCTCGCCTAATAATCCTCAATGACTGTGCGAAAAACAGCCGTTCAGGCTTGTGTGAGAGGAGACGAGTAACATTTATTTCTTTGCTCTGTTGATCAGTTATAATGTTAAAAACTTTTTAATCCGTATGAAAGCTAAGCTGTTTTATTACTTTAGAAAAGTACTCCTGATCATGCAAACTTCATATTTCACATCATCATTAGCCATAATAATCACACTCTGCATTTTTATAAGGTTAATTTTTCTCACATTTTGTTACAGAAGTAATGGGTACACTATATGTAAATATACTTTTAAAACAATACTTAACTTTAATAGTGAATTAATGTACGTTATTTATTCATGTTTCCAAAGTAGTTGTTTTTAAATCTTACTTGTTTCCAAAACATTCTTTGTGTTTTCAAATTACATTGATTTTCAAAAAGTCTTTTATCATTTTTTTGTGTTTTCTAAAATAGATTTTGCGCACATGCAAAATATTTTCATGTTTTTGAAAATGCTCCCAGGTTGTATGAATTTTTCATTTATTGCCATTGACCTTCTGAGCCACCGTACTCAACACGTGGGTCTACTGCAGCTTTGGTCAAACAGGTTTGTGGTGTCAATATTTCTGTTCATTGTTCTCTGTTGGAGCCCAATAAGACATCAAAGCCAGATTAGGAAAGGTCCAAGCTGCCTTTTCCAAACTCCATCTCATCTTGATTTTTAGCGTTATATTTGTAAAACAAAGATGTTCGTGTTTGACAGCAACATCAAGTTTGCTCTGCTGTATGATGCAGAGATTTGGCAAGAGGTCAACAGGCACAGATTGGCGTCATTTCATTAGAGATGACTCACATGAATCTGACTGATATGTCTGTTTTTCCCTCAAACTTTAACTATACAAGTAAACAGACATCCACAAAGATCTAAAATCTTAATTCTGTTTAACAGAAGCACAGGAGATTGTAAAAAATGAACCTGCCATGAGGAGAAGCACGACATGCTGCCGATGATGGAATCAGTGTGAGACGCTTATTGAAGGATGTATGAAAAGCAAGAAATAAAAAACAGGCAAGATCTGTAATGATCTGTAATCTGCAAACTACCTGTGCAGGTAATTTGTAGTGGGTGAAAGAAAAGATGCAGATTGTCTGCAATGATGAAATAAATCAAGAATGGCATGAAGACAAATGATTCATGAATATTTACAAACGTTTAAAGCAAACCAAAGATGACCAGTGTGATCAAAATAGAGGATGTAATTTAAAAACAGAAACCGCAGATATTTGAATGGCCACTTGAGGCCGGGTTCAGAGGTGACTGAAGTTACCCTAAAAGTCGGGTCAGCAACCCAGATACTAGGATTCATCTCAGGTCATCTCAGCCCTTAGCATACCAGATAGGAAGTGAAACTAAAGTTAGTTACTGACTCTTACTGGAAACAAAATAATTTGCTTTGTACTCCCACACACACACAGCAAAGAGGAAGGAAACCTAACAGACATCTGTGCACACATAGACGCACACAGCGGGTTTCCCTGTCGCTCTGATGGCTGGTTTCAGAGGAAGGAACATGGATTGCACAAATAAGACAAAGAAACCTGTTCTTCTTCCTTCACCAAGTAACTGTATGAAGCTAAATCTGAAGCAGTTGTATGTAAAGTGAGCCACAGCAAAACCTCAGCTGTGATTTAGCTACTGAACAACATCTAAATACCAAGTTCCCTTCTTTTAAGAGGTTATATTTCACATATAGCAATGTTTTTAAACATGAGAACTAGGTCACAGATCTGGGTCATAAGGCAATGAATAAATCAGAGTATCCACCTTTGATTTAAACCACATATTTAATCAGGACAAAATACAATAAAAAAAGCAGATTCACACATCTTTGTGTGAGAGGGGTTGAAAAACAAAGACATGACATGAGGGCATAAGAAAATGTACATAATGTGAACGATCAAATGTAAATCTAGTGCTGACAAATTATTATACAAGGGATTTAAACCTATTAGTGCAAAAAGCCAAATTCAAATATTTACAAATACCCAAGATCAATACGCTCAAAGATGGCACAGTTGACAGATCAACAGCGAAATGCAGTTTGTGTCCAGAATAATTAATTACCAATTCCATCTAAATAGACTGATGTCAGCTGCCAACAGCATCGCAAGAGCCGGCAGAGCAATGTTTTTGTATCCCCACAGATCCGCAGAGGAAACTACACCAAAGTTCACAACAGCTCTTGTGAAATGGACAACAGCTGACTGTGGGTCAGTGAACTTTGTGGAGGGCTCCGGTTTTCTGTCACAGGGAACAATCATTTTAAACATACAGGACCTGCATGCAACCAAACTTAGCCAAGGATCACCCAGTGTCAGTGAGTCATCGATGACTGCCCTCCATATGAACACAATTCGACATTTAGTACAGGCACTTCGTCATGCTATTTAAAGTAACAGTGTTTTTCTTTAAGAATAATAAACAAATTAAACCTGTATTTGGCAGAAAAAGAACTCTATTGCCCTCTAAGGCATGGTTTCAGGTCACTCTGGTGTGGCGATGTCACACTTTTTTAATGAAACATCCTTAAATCCAGATTGTTATGTACATTCATTGGAATTTATTGGACTCCTGAATTAACACATAGGGAAGCATTGATTCATACAATACATGAAATGATATATTGTAAGGTGCTACTGAAATTTAACATTAAAAAAATAAGAGTTTAAAGAGCCCTGATACAAAATACTTTTGAAGTATCACTAAGAATTGTTTTGGATTTTTTTTAGCTACACTACAGGAACAACAACTAAGTGCATGTATCATAAGTTTTTAACAATTAAAAAAGTCTAAAATCAAAAAACAGTCTTTTCTTTCTCTAATCAAAACTGACTTTAAAGTGCAGAAACAACTTGACACACCATCAGTCAACCTCATAATGCTTTCCATAAAAAAAACAAAGTTAAACACATTTGACACTTTCCAGTTGGTATTCCTTTTAACTACACAGTTATTTTTCCTAGGTCAAGTTAATATCAATAATAATTTTTGGTTATAATGTTTTCCATTTTTTCCCCCGTTCTTCTCCTCCTTATGTAGCAGCGCTTCAGTGTTCATGCTAACAATGCTTTACAGTCAAGTCCTGCTTTCCCTCACTTTATCAGCAATACAATCACATCTGAAGGACCAGAGCAGACCTGTCTTGTAACTCTCTCCCTCTCCTTTCATACAGAAAATTGGCACATCCCAGAAATAACAAATGCTCAAACTTCTGACCAACTTATATATTTATGTGCAAATAAGGAAGAAGGCGTTCATTATTTTTAAGACATATCTATCTAAATAGAGAGCACACTATTTTTGTCAGGCAGGTGATTAACCAGTATGTTAATATTGTAAGTAATACTCGAGGAACCGTATATGCATTACAGGAAATCAACCACAGTAAAGTTGAAGTGATAGAGTAGGAGTCAATGCAGTAAAGTCTGTATATGATGAAGCTAAAGGACAATTAGCAGGGTTTGATCTAAACATACCGGCAACTATTTAACAGTCTGAGAAATGTCATTTAAACCGAGGTAAAGAAAACAGGTGAAGTGATTTCACCGGTATCTTCTTTTTGGATTTGCTGCAGAAGAACAATACTAATAATACAGTGATAACTCTTTTATTGCCCAATGGATCATGAACTGGTTCCTTATGTACTCATGCTGAAAAAAAAAACAAGAGCTCCCTTTAAGTATTTTGTTTGTAACCGCAACAAAATCAAAGTCACGAGCAGAGATGTGCTAGTTTATATTTATTCTGATTTTTCTGTTTCATGCTGAAAGTGTAAGTATGCTGCACTGATGTTACTCTTGTTCAACACTTTGTTTGTTATGCTGCTTGGATATTATTGTAACTATGATGAAAACTGTAACTGATGCCAGGAGCTCCAGAAAAAGAGGAAGGTGTCTAACGTTTGACACCAGCAAACGCCCAATTTGACCTTACGAATGCAGGACTGCTTGAGGGAGACCAGTTTCATTTTCCACGCCACGGTAACCCTGCATTATTTCACCTGAACCCATTTCAACAAAAACTGGTCTTCTCTCATAAGCGGAGGGGAAAGTGTCTGGCGTCTCGCTCTCGTCAAGGTTTCTACCTTGCACGTACTCAACATTGTCAACATTCGGAGCCTCCTCATCTTCATCCTCAGCTGACACACCAATCCGCATGCGACAGTCTTGTTCGGAGTCCAAAGCAGGCGTGATTTCCGTCACGTCTGTGATTACGTCTGTGGTTGGCAGCAATAGATCGGGGGATTGGGGCTCCATTACAGGCACCAAGACCTGCTCCTGGTCAACCCCCAAGGTCCACTGCTTGCGTGTACCAGGGATGTTCTTTAAAAACAAAATGACAAACAATGAGGGAAGGAAATCTCAACAATAGGGATGGACTCTTTCAGCAGGTTTGAATTTCCTATGTGCACAAGCACAGTGAGGAACTTCTGGATGAGCCAAGGGTCTGCAATCTGGTTTCTGGTTTACATGCCACTTAAAACAAACTCAAAGAATAAGCACTGTCTGTGAAAGAAAGAACTATAAAGTCTCAGAAACGTGGAAATTCCTGAGAGCAGAGGATGGCTCTAATAATTGAATTGAACAGTGAATTGAATATTTCCATTTCAGTAAGGCTCATTAAATAAAAGCGGAGACTGCTGAAGGGAACTCACCATAGTTTGTGGAAAAGAAGATGAGGCTGCAGTCTTCTTTTTGTAAACCATGAAGCCGATAAAAATCAGTGCTGCCACGAGCAACAAGCTGGCCACAATGATGTAGATGTAATCTAGATGGAGCAGATGTAAAAAACTAAATCAGCAATAAAGTCTTAACAAATACACAAAAAGTGATTTTGACAGGAGCCACCTGAAACTCAGGAACGTTTTTCTTCTTAATTTTCATCAGTCTAAACACAAAATTGGCATTTACATATATAACTTTAAAATAAGCCAACACCTGATACACTATATATTACATTTTTTAAGCCCTAATACCTCTTGGTTTGATTTTGGTACCCGCGTATATTCAGCTGAAACCTGATCATAGTGGTACTCATGTATGAGCTGGAATGCTACTCAAGATTCAGAGGTGTGTAGACAAAAGGGAAAGATCCAACCCAGTGTTCATTTAGACATCTATTTCACTCTTAGTCTTTAGATGAAAATGCACATTAGTTTATGTTGCATTTGAGTCTCCAGTTCTACAATAGCTTTAGTCGGTAAAAAGTTATAGCTTTTATTTCATGTGTTTCCTCTCTTTAGACTAATTCAATCAGCTGATTTAAAAACTAATGTCAAGGTTTAAATTATGTAAAGCAACATTTTACTTGCACTGATCTTGATCTGTTTTGTTTGTTTTCCAAGAGTGTAAAACATTAAGATTTGGTTTCAAACCCTGAGTTTCAGAGTAACACCTGTCTTCTAAACGTATTTTTCATCCACACAATTTTTCAAAGTGCAATAATTGCCATGTATCCATTAGTAAAAACAAGGGAGTAATGAAAATGCTCTACTCAACAGTCTGTCTGCGTCTTTTCCAACGGGGAGGCACAGTAGTCTTGCGTGGCTTCAACAGACATTTTCTCCATCTCTCCTGTGATCTTCAGACAGTGTTTCTCCTGGGCAGCGTCCACATAAAGCTCCTCCTCACACACACTCTCCACACAGCTGAAACTGTGGGGCTGCTCTTTCTGCACACAAAACACATAATAAGTAGAACAAACAAGTTAAGCGCACTACTTACAGAGAATAGTACTTCAGAAAATAATCATAGAAACTGTGTCCTGTCGACTGTTTCTGTGTGGACTGAAATCACTGCTATTAACACAACAAACACACAGTGTGCAGACTGACCTGGTTTAAGATCACAACTTCGTATTTGAATTCGGGAAGATCTTTAGTGACCTGTGGGTCATGGCTTCTTCTTTTCCTGGACTCCGACTTCAAGTGGTTTGCCTGGTTTGTTTTATGAAACAGCCAGGGGTGCTCAAAGCTGAGCCGGATGGTGTCATCCTTTTGGGCAATGACATCCACTGATGGAAGATCCACAACACCTGGACACCAACATGAACATGGTTTAGGAATACACTGAATCCAGATTTCTTGCAGGCGACTGAGGCATCCAGAAATATAAGCAAAGTTTTGTCATGTTCTTATTTAAACAACATTACTGTTTGTGTCCCTGAGACTTGGATGCACATACCACTCATTTATCCTTTCCAACATTTCTGCAAACTGTGATTTTAAATATTTTGGAGCCAGCTGTATTCACACTTTTTTAACGAAACAACTGAGAGATTTGGGACTCAGAGGTCGACATGTTTGAAGCATATTTTAAGAGCTCTCCAACAAATGCTTACCTTTTTTCATTATTATTTTTCCTCTCATTTGCCATGTTGTGGCTGCTAACTTTGGATCCTGCATTTAAACTCATAAATGAACATGTAAGATAAACAAAGACAGATTAAAAAGCTTCAGAGCTTTGTAGTTTACATTTGTTGTGTGCAAGTTAAAAATTATTTATCTTTTGGTTTTCACTTCTCTTATTTCTTGATATCCATGTAGTTAAAATGAATGACCACGCCAACTGACCAGAAAGCCAAGATGCAGTTTCTATATTACAGGTAATATTGGGGCTCTTTATCTGGCAGGAGGAAAATTCAAGTCGACAAAAAGGTTTTGAATTTGCATGTTCAATATGGACGGCACTTTTCTTACATTTCTGGCCAATTAAAGCGTCCTGGAAATAGCTGAACTCAATTCCTTTAGACGGAGCGGACTGATTCCCTCCAAGCACAGCAGTAACAGTGACATAGTATTCCAGGTCTGTTTCAGAGAGGAATGACAAGTCAGCCTGGAGAGCTGGTGGATCCACCCAGCGGGTATGTGGATCCCTGTGAAAAAGAATAAGAAAAGAGAAACTCAGCAGACAGTACAGTGCATACAGTAGTTTGTGAACAATAAGATGTTTGTAGTCAATGATAAATGTACGTTTTAAATTTTGCTTTAACAAAGCTTCGAACTTCAATTTCAAATTTACAACCAAAGAAGTAAAAGTACTTCGTCAATATCCTAAACAGGGCCTGTAAAACGGCGCTGAGCTTTCCCGATGTCCGTGCTGTAAACACAGTCAAATCATTTGATGTGTATGAACACAATGAAGACTCATGTCTTACCCTGAATTACAGCGGATGACGACTTTGTATTTCAGTCCTGGCGGGGGATTGTCATAGGCCCATTTCAGAATATTTTGCAGATTTCGGCAGTGGAGGGTCAAGTTTGTTGGTGGCTCCACTGTGAAAACAGACACACAGAAAAGAATCAGTATTTCCAACTCACAAATTGGACACTAAGAGCTAAGACAAAACCACAAAGTTAATATTATATCACAGATTAGCTCCTCACTATTTACAGGGCTGTTCTGTTAGAATAGCACCAGGTGGCTAAAAACTGGTAAAACAATGTTTGTAATGCTCATCACTGTTAAATAAAGAAAAACTGTAGAAGGATAAAAGTCAAAATGCTGAGGAAAAACCTTTATTTGACCAGAGGGTCCCACTGAGATTAAAGAGAGACCTGACTGTATCACAAACATACAAACTAATGACACAAGCATAGTTACCCGATCTAAAACAGAGATTCAAAGACACATCCAGCTTTCAAGGAAAACAACCACATGCCTCTGTCCCCATATTCTTTACTATTCTCTCAAGTTTGTTAAGATATAGATGTATTAAACTGTTTCTTTTTGTTGACAAGTTTGAGCTTATAAAAGGATGGGTTTGCAGTATTTAAAATGAACCAAAAGAGGGCACTGTATGACAACCTGTGTACAACAATGTACTTCTGCTGAACCCGAGAGTCCACACAGACATAAAGGGCTGTACTTCTCAAAAACACTCAATGGGACACGAGGCTTAAATTCAGGAAGTATGTTTGTCTTTGTTTAACACTTTATTATTTAGGGTTAAAGATGAAGCTGCACACACACCTGTCTGTGAAATAAAGCTCAAACTCTGTGTCACCAGAGTCACCGCTGGTATCAGCAACACTGATCAGCACTGCCTCCACTCAGTACGTGTTTACACAAATGTAGCACTTTGTCTGTTACAGGAAGGACTTGCTTCATAGCTCCGCAGAGAACCCGTGTCCACACACTACAATGACACAACCAGTGGTTCTTCTGCTTGCTTGTGTTCTTAGAAGACTGCCTCAGATAAAACCCTCAAAAAGGATTCCTCTGATTTCATTATTCTTGTTGCTGATGAAATAAAAGCAAAGAGAAGATGACAGATGGGCACAAAAATGAAGACAAAATGGTATCTGTCATGTGTTGGGATTCATTTTGGTCTTGTGTTGCAGCCAAACAGTAAAAAAGCAAAATTCAGTGAAAAGAAAGCAACTGAACACACCCTCCCAAGACATTTGTGAGTCACTTCTGTTATCAGAAAGCTTGCGAGAAAGATTTTCATTTCAGTTTCAGTTCAACTAAAACTTTACATCTACAGTACAAGCATGAACGTGACGAGACACACCTACTGACAACAAAAAAACGAGCCGTGGGAAGAGTGAAATCACAGATAGAACCACGTGAAAAGGTGATAACCACAAAAGTAGCGTTTGGTTACCAAAGGCTGTCACCACACTGCAGTTTGAGGCACACAGTTACGCAGACACACACGCACACTCTCAGGGACTTGGTTTAGTGTATTTCCCGTGGTGAACTTCTGTTATGCCTTCAAGCTGGTTAAAAGCAGAACCCATATACTGATGCCTACATTATCACTTTCAACTCTGTAATGACAAGTATGCAAATGTTTCCTACCCATTTGGCCTCATCTTTGACAGAATTTAAAAATGCTTTACATCAAGGACATAAACTTAACAGTAAAACAATATTTAAAAAGACATTTCTAAACCACCTATGAGGTTTAAACTTCAGGTCACACATAGAACCCTATTTCAATCCACCAGTAACACTGCGGTCAAACCGTCATCTGCAGGAGTGGAGTCAAACCCATCAGAGAAAAAAATGAAATAACACAAAACACTTTCACACAAGTCTTGGTTTGTGTGAGCTGAGCAGTTTGCTGCGGGTTGTGTTGACATCTGAAGACAGAAAACAGAAGCAGACAAAGTTGACTGATTTCTGCAGACAAAGCAAAGACCTTTTTGCAGAAGCAGGAAGAGAAAACCGATGCTCTTTTTTTTTTCTTCCCAAAGCTGGTGAGTTGCAGAAAACCTGTCATATGATGACTAAAAAAACCTGCCAGAGCATCTTTACAGATGGACAAAGCTGCACAAATACGTCCGTTTAGTCATTTGTATGTTGCTGAAGATTGGGTTGCATACACATCAGCGTGCAAATACAATCAGTTAACATGTTCCTATACTTCTACTATTGTTTACATAGCAGTATATCTAGTAGGGGTGGGAGAAAAAATCAATACAGAATAGTTTTGTGATATTTGTCTGGTGATATATTGCATCATCTCAGGTCTACGGAAATTGAAAAATAATTCTGTTTCTTTGTCCAGTGAGGTCAGCAGAGATGAGATCATAGAGCAGGAGAGAAGGAGAAACATGGCAGCGCCTGGGGAAGGACATTAGGAATGCAAGCGGGATGCAAATGAGATGGACCTGACACACGAGGTTTGCGAGAAGTGCAACATGAAAATAAAATACTGAGCAAAAAAGACAAACATAACAGAAAGACAAATGCTAAATCAGTTAAGCAGTTGAAAACATTGTTTAAACTGCCATATATGGTGTTGCAATATTTACTGTATTGCAAAATGTTTAAAATCGCAATAATATCTAATCATGGCTCAAGTATCGTGATAATATCGTATTGTGGGGCCTCTACTTTTTCCCATCCCAAATATCTAGTATGCATGTTTCCAGCTATATCTGGATGTTGACACCTAACAGGTTGTTTTTAACTACTGTCTCTTTATTGTTGGAAATTCTATCTTTATTCCCTATTGTTTGATTTTGGCTGATCTCACCCATACACAAACCAAGCCTATTGTTCCAGTTAGTCATGGCTGTGAGCCAACTTGAACAATACCAACAACCAGGCTGTAAGCTATTTATTAAGTGCCCTGTCGTCATGACTGAATGGAGCTCTGTATGTACTGTGACAGATGTGCCAGTGAACTCAAACTTAACACCCCAAGGCACCACTAATAAAAACCTGGGAAAACTACAGGGGGGTGATACAATATACCATTATGTGTCGTTAATAAAAAAATATGTATAATGATAATGCTTTTCACTGTTAAAAAGCACTACAACAGCAAATGCATATGCTTGAATTCTGATGCACCTCTTTTCACCATCGCTGATCAATTTTCAGTATATAGAATATAGAGTAAAAACACACTTTCAAACACCTCGTACAACTTGAAGCCAAAGTCTTCCATTTAAATTCTTTGCTTTCTTTGACTCACGTTTCAAAAACTGAAAGAAATTATTCAAAACAGAAAGAAAAATGAGGAACCAAATCCCCACAAGACAATGTGACTCGAAACAAGTTTGTCATTTCATCAAAATGACACATAACCTCCTGTAAACCATCCAAAAAAATCCACTCATCCTTGCAGCTTTACGTCACTGTTTTAGTTACAACTCAGCTCTACAGATTAACAGAGATATAGAGATTTAATATTTGACCGTTTTTCTAGTCTGCGTTCACGTAGGAGGTTCACATGTTGAAATTGTTCTGCAGATATCCCTCCTATCACATTAAGGGTCTTCACAACACACCCTTTGATTTATTATTAGATGACATTTGACACTTGCACTGAGATCTACTCAGATGCATTTGAGAAGTTACCACTGCCAGATTATCTTTCTAATGAAAGCCTGGGCACAGCTCTATAAACAGTGTTATTGTTTACAGTTATTGATCATCATGTACAAAGCACTAGGCCAACGTCTGCTGTCAAATTCTCCAAATAAGAACAAAACCTGGTCCCAGACCTGTATGTGTACCAGCACATCAAAGGCAGACTGCTTGACATTTACACCTGCAGTTGTACCCACAGGGCTCCAATCAGACCGTAGTATCTGCATGAGTGTACACACAAACAAAACAGTCTACACACACCTTACTACAACACTCAACATCATATCTGTGACAGTTGACTGAATAACAGATGAACATAGTCGACATGACTTGACCTGCTGATGCCCGAGGCCACGTTTTCAACAGTATATACAGCGGTTGCTTTTTTGGAAATGCCAACAAGAGGCAGAGACACTTGAAGCGTGACTTTAGCCTCCTCAATTACAGGTACAATGTACCCGCCTACCAGCTGTATCAGCAGAACCGTTAATGATGCCAAACTCTTAACCTTGGTATCTTCAAAACTGATCATACATCAAACATTTAACCCCTGTGCAGTGTGTGCCGATAGAGAAATGAGCCATTCAGACCAAAATCAGTTTCTGGACCATGTTTGTTTGTTTGTGCTGCAAAGTCATGCCTTTTTGAATGGGTGTGTATGTGGTTTCTGGTGCTGTTGCAGTCACTCTCAAGCCAACCCTCAAGGAACTGCAATTTTTTAGCACTTCTGCAATGGCTTCATTTCTCAAGGCCAGAGATTACTGCTTGGCGTGACCAAATGCTGACTTGCTCTCAGTCTTGCAGATCATATGTGGCCTCACTTCCCAATTTAAGGAGCAACTTCACTCATATATGCAGAAGTATCAACCCTTAAAAAAAAAAACACAGATTGCATCTTAAGATCTAAGGGATTTTCTAGATAAGGAAATGAAGAAACTCTGTCACTCTGCAGTTCATGGCTTGTTGGGAGTGTTGTCACTTAGTGAGATGCTTGATGAATATGGACCAGGTTATACTAAGACACAGTGAACAATGGACACAAATTCAAAGCAGTCAAGTCAAGTTAGATAACTCTGATTGGCTGCTTCTGAGATTGTCTCAATTCCTCCTTCAGATTTCACTTCCAATCCTGGCAATGTTAAACAAAAACCACACTGGGTATAGAGAAAAAAAAAATCTTGTTATGACCGAAACCATACAGGATCCGTGTTCAGCGTGTTTCGTATTTGCTCCATAGAGCATCATCGCTAATTTGGAAATAATTCAGTGACCGTTGAGCCTCTACTATATGTGAAAAAGCAACCTGATTATACAGTTTTGGTTTTTGCAGGTTTACATGTGTTTAATAAAGTAAGCTACGCTCCTTTATACTGTGCTGCTACCTTCAGACAGAATAAGCAGCTCAAAGTTCTGTTGGGGTCCACATGGATCAGGGATTGACCATTGGATTGTTCTGTGTTACTGATAAATCCATAATCAGGAAGTATTTCTCATCTACACAAACTGATACACAGTCGGGGTTCGCATATAGTGTTTTATTTTAAATAGTTTTTGTGCGTTTTCATGCTTGACTTCCTGTCTAGGACGATCTTCTCTGTGTGGATTGATGTACATTGGAAGCGTAGAGCAGAGAAAAAAGACTCGCCGCGATACGACGCTGCGACGGAGCTGATATGCGTCCTGTATGCTTTGCTGCATTGATTAGAATGGCAACCTATTTGCTGCGTGATACACGACGCTGCTGCTACGCTCCATCCTGTAAGTTTTAGCCTTGACATATTACCATTTAAATCTTTGCCTGACATGTTTTATGTCAAAGTGCTCATACTTTCACTGTTCCAAAGTGATGAATATCTTGGTCACTTAAAAGGAAACTTGTTTAAAAGGTGTGAAAATAACCACAAACAATAAAAACTGGGCGCAGCTCCAGACAGGATCTCAGACTCTGTGGCTAAACTGTCAGATTTGTTGACTGGGTTTGGCCGATGCTAGGTGAGCAGTCACTGCCAGTTTAATATAGATTAACATTACAGGTCAAAGTCCATATAAAGGCTGGCCTACGCTGGTTATACAATGTTTTAGTCAAGTTCAACAAACACTGGCTACATACACCTAATCTCTATTTTCTACATCAAATAAATGCCAAACCACCACAGCAAGCTGCAAGATTTCATCATCCATCTGTGCTTGTTTGCATCAAGCACAGTTGAAGATTACAACATGACGTCAGTTACTTGATGCAGATACATCTCACAGAGCGCTGCTGGAATTTGAAGATTTCTGTCAAACTGTGTTGCCACACTTGGAGGTGTTATGAATAATACAGACAAAAGCAACAATCATAGTTTTAGTCTATTAATGAGGCAACATGAAGCAAAAAAAAATCAACTATGGGGACATTTTGTGGTTGAAAATATACATTACATGAGGCATTACTCGCCTAGCGCTCTATGCAGAGGGTTTGTCTTGAGTGGGCGTTGTGGGTTTCCTTTCAACCTGACACCTTTTTTTGTGTCACTCCTTACTTGTTTCCCACTGTCCTCTCCTAATAAAGGCAAAAAGCCCCGAAAATAAATCTGAAAACATACTTAAAATGATAAATCAGCATGAACAGAACTTGAGTAGTTTCATATCAGTATATTTATCAAAAAAAAGTTTCCTGTCAGACACTACAAAAGGGAAACTAAATGTTCTCAGAGCTGGTCAGGGATCGAATGAGTTAGAGTAGTATACACATTAGTGCTGGACGATAATTCGATAACAATATATATCGATCGATAGACGTGTGATGCGATAGAAAAAAAACGGGTCGATAAAAAGTTCGATAGAAAAACACAGTTTCCCTTTCTTTTTCATCATAGCCTATCATGTAGCTTTTACTACAGTCATTACTTCCTCCCAACCAATCACAAACGCAGACCCAGGTACGCTACGGCACCAAGCCCAGCCCCTCTCAAACCACAACAGACAGCACGTGTATTAGAAATAATGTTACAGCAAGGAGAAGCGGAGGACATTGTCCCGAAAAAAGGTTTCAGTAGTTCACCAGCATGGCAATGTTTTGGTTTTTAGAAGTCTGACAAAAAGCGACCAGCGGTCGTTTGCAAAATTTGCAGAGAATTAGTAAAAACCAAGTCTGGTAACACAACCAGCTTGTTTTACCATCTGAACCGGTAGCACCGGCAGGAGTACGAGCTGTGTCGGCCGCGCCGCGGCTCCACGTCGTCGTCGTCGTCGGAGGAGGAATCCTCTGGAACCGCTGCCAGCACCAGCACAAAGCATGTAAAGCAGACCAAACTGGACTTCGTTTGTTGCCAAAATACGACAAAGCGTCCAAGCGGCATAAGGACTTCACCCATGCAGCAACATGCTCCATAGCGAGGGACACACTGCCAATAACTACCGTTGAAAAGCCTGGCTTCAAACAGCTTCTAGCCACTCTTGACCCGCGATATGAAGTCGGCCGCAAGTATTTCTCAAACACAGCGCTTCAGGCATGAAAATGGGTCAGGGGTTGAGAAGGTGAGAAGGGTGCGGAGGAAATACGTTCCGGTGTTGTACCGTAGAATGCACCCCTGCATCCCGTCCACTCATTAGCTTCTTAAAGTGGAAGAAAATGAGCTCATATTTTACAAAGACGCGAGTATGTGGATCATGGCTACTAGCAGGGGGTGCATTCTACGACACAACACCGGCGTGGATAAGTCCTGCTTCTCGTGCTCAGTTTGCGTATTAAGTCAGTCACATGATAATTAAAAAATAAAGAAATCTCCCGACCCCGGGAGAAATATTTCAGTGTTCAGACACCAGGTTGTGGGCAGTTTCCCACACAGTTAAAACTGGTAGTATGCTATTCCCACCTAAAGCTATTCTGTTTATTTATATATTTGTTTGTTTTGTTTATTTTCATCAAAAGACTTTTAAAATATTTATTTATCAGATTTTCTGGTCACTTTAGTCTTTATGTTTGTCAGTTTTTACTGACGTCACTCAGGCCACTTAAGTTGATTTCTTTTTTTTTTTAAGTTCTTTTTTAAAAAAACTTTCAGTTGTGGAAAAAAAAAAGGTGGTTGAATAAAGGTTTGAATTTGAATTCAGTGCTTGTGTGTTCTTTATTAAAAGTAGGTCATTAAGCAATAGCATAAAACATCCAGGGCTGCAATTAAAATATATGTTAAATAATTATAATAATTATATCGATAATTATCGATATCGATCAATATGATTTATTTTTTATCGATATGCTTTTTTTCTATATCGTCCAGGCCTAATACACATGCTTATCATTGCAAAGGCTTGGGCACACATCTGGGAGAATACAGCTTCTTGTAAAGTGAGAAGGTACTTTTGTCAGAATATCAGCATGTCTATGACCAAAATTATAATACAATATCTACAACATCTCTTAGAATCTCCATGTTTTCTTACTGTTAAACATTAATTTAAACCACACAAGGTCCCAATTCAGTTTCATATCCAAGGTGAAAACACTGATGAGTTAGAGTAGTATACACATGCTTATCATTGCAAAGGCTTGGGCACACATCTGGGAGAATACAGCTTCTTGTAAAGTGAGAAGGTACTTTTGTCAGAATATCAGCATGTCTATGACCAAAATTATAATACAATATCTACAACATCTCTTAGAATCTCCATGTTTTCTTACTGTTAAACATTAATTTAAACCACACAAGGTCCCAATTCAGTTTCATATCCAAGGTGAAAACACTGATAACACAATGATTTGCAACTCTCTGGACATTAAGCAGAGGAATTTTTCTCGACTTAAACTTTTCCTCTAATTCCTCTATGTTTGACTCCTACCTCTCAACTCAATACAGTCTTTGGTTTTATTCAAAAAGTTTGCAACAACACAACACAAACAAGGTGTGTTGAGCAACACTGAAATCTACAAAGAGGAAATAAAGAAACCCCTCCCAAAACAGAAAACATATTTACTTCAATGGGATTTGATCAATTTATCAGCTTTATATTAAATTTACATAACATAACATCTACAGTCTTATAATTTTACATAAATGTATTCAGTTTATAGCTGTAATGTCATACTGTTGAAAGTTGTCAAACGTGTACACAACTAGCTGAGGCTTTTCATACTAACAAGCTATGTAACTCATAATCCTGCAAAGATATTTAATCTGTAATGATTCTGTGAGATCAGCCCGTTTGTTTACCACTCAGGATATAATCTCATACTCCTCCTGAGAGACTCACCGTGTGGCCCAGCCTAACCCATTCTAACCTGTTTACGGGAACCACCAGCCTGACACGCCGCAGACATACAACACGCACACTGTTGAATAATAAGAGCTGTTTTCTATCACCTCTGTGGCTCAGAGGAGTATTAAACAGACTGATATCACGACTTCAACTCATACGAGAGTTAGCTTGCTCAAGTTAACAACAATGTTAGCTTCTTACCATGGCTCTTCGCAGCCCGTGAGTGGAGAAGCAGGAGGAAAACTGGAAACAACAGCGTAACAACCCTCTCCATATTCGGCTGACACAACCGAGACACTCTTTGCCTCCTAATTATCAACTTTACATGAAAGCCGGGCTCCTATTTGTTCGTTTAATGCTTCATAGTGTCGCTACTGCAGCAGCGCCACCACCAACTCCCCCTTCCCGAAAATCGACGACGTCTCACGAGCGGATCGAGTGGACGAAAAAATACAGAGGATGGGAACGTCCCCCATGACGCGTTCATAAACCTCGTAATTATGCACTTCCGACGGTTGCACGTTCAAACATGAAGTCATTTGCATTCGCTTACTACTTCAACGGCAGCATGAATCAAATTAAAAAGTCAAGTTAGACAACGGATTGTTTTTTAAAATAATGATGTTCCTAATTTGAAACAACAACATCTTCTTAAAAAACACTTCACCGTTTAAGTTTGCTAGTCATTTCAGCTCTACCGGTGCGTCGAGTCGCATTTTCTGCACCAGTAAGTAAACAAAAATGTCCGAGTGTACTTGAATGTGAGATTTAAACGTGTTTGTCATCGTAACTGGAAACCACCAGTGCTTCCAAGGGTTTTTCCTCGAAAAAGGCCGGTTTTTGTCTTGTAAGGAAATATATTTATTATTAATTCATCCATGTATCCATCCACATATGCAGTTGTTACTAAAAATATGACTTACTGACAGGAGAGAATACATTTTGAGCACACTTCACAGAAGCTGTAGGCCTCCTGAACATGGGGTTGGCCTTGTCAACAAGATACATAAGTGGGATAAACTGTGGGATAACACTCTTTTCTGACTGTGCAGTCTACTGTGCAACACGTAGTTTATTGGTGAAGAAAAGTCTGTTACCTTTTTTGTCTATTCAAGTTGTGAAAAATTACATCTCCTTAAAAACTTGAGGCTGAAATCTGCTCCTAATTTGAGTCACAGCTTTCTCTGTGGGAAAACACTCTTGTCTGACTTTGCAGTCTACTGTGCAACACGTAGTTTATTGGTGAAGAAATACTGTTACCTTCTTTTGTCTATTCAGGTTGTGAAAAATTATGTCTCTTTAAAAACTTGAGGCTGAAATCTGCTCCTAATTTGAGTCACAGCTTTCTCTGTGGGATACTTCCCCTAGCCTGACGTCAGCTGGATGTGTGATTTTTCCTCCCCATCCCAGCCCCAAGCTGACGCATTCGTATACCAGCTCTTCAGCAGTAACTTGGGGTGAGTAACATATAAAAAAAGCTAGAAAACTTTTACAGCTTTGATGAACTTTTTGTCAACTTGACCAGTATTGTAGAATTGTTCAGTTCAGTTCACTGTTGTCAGAGGAGTAGAAAGCTAAGCCTGCTCTATATTCTCATATTACAGTACATAGCTTGTGCATTCCTGTGTCTGTTATGTAATAGAAACAGTCTCGCAAATGTGTTCTGATGGGCAGAAACAAAACACTTCAACTACACATGATGCTGGATGAAAAACAAGCGGATGAGATGTACCGGTTACACCCCAGCTTCATTTGTAGGGTTTTAAAAGCACAAACTTTAGGTCCGAAGGTGAAATGTTTGAGGTTTGAGTCACTAAAAGTCTAGGTCCAGGCAGACTTTGTGGTCAGAACCTCATTTATTTTTATCTTAGTGCATGGAAACCCTTACAGCCTGAACACAGAGAGAAATCTATCTTCCTTAGGTCTACACTTATGTGTAACTTTCACCTTACAGACTAACATATTTTAAGCAAATCGAGGCACTCTGAATCCTTGAATGACCTTTTCTGTCAGCAGCCTACATTTTCACCTTTTTTGATTACTGTGGTTGTTACTGCAAGATCCGTATCGATAAAATTCCCCTGTATTTCACTATCTTTGTTTCAATGTTGACACTGCTGCTGGTGCTGAAATCAAATTTCTTTTTAAGAGAAAAAAGGAGAAGTCAAGTCAGAACCCTCGCATCAACTTGTGTTATATTATTTCTAAATTTTCTGGTCTTTTTAATCTACTTGCTGCACTGCTTTCCTCTCGCAGCTACTACAGCCATTTCCTCTGAAAACCACACTGTTTGTGCGTCAATGAACTGCATAATTTTAGAGAGCTGGACCAGCAGGTTTCCTCTTCTTTGCACATACATACCAGCTGAAGCGGACGACCTAAGTAGTTTCATTATTATCACTTGTCATACATGGTGGTTATTTTTCGCTCTGATTTGGTCTCCAAGTTAGTATTCATGGCAGCTTGTTGACGTGTGAAGCAAAGTAATCTGGGATGCCTTTTATTTTGGCTCATTCATGTGAGCGTTATCGTTCTGGCACAGCAATTAAAGGTGTAGTGTGTAGTGTTATTAAACACCATTGGAAAACACATTTTCAAGGTATGTGTAAATACAATAATCTGAAAAAAAAATTTTGATTTTGTTCACTTTATAGGAATGAGTCCTCTCAGTTTCAGCAGATAAAAGCCTGGAAGTTGATTATTGAACAATTATCAGTCTGAAAGGTGATGCAATAATTAGATATCATCACATTTTCTATGGCAGCACATTGGCTGAATGGAAGTGGTTTAAAAAGTTGTATACAGACAGCGGACACATTACTGAATGTCTATGTTGGAAAAAAAAAAAGACAGTGATAATTTATGGTAAAATCAAATATCTTGTTTTATATCTAGTTTTAAAATAGATGGACAATAACAAGTGAATTGTTTTACAGGAGAAACTTTGCCACCTTTCGTGGATATTTTGGTTGTAAAAACTTGCCTAATGGAGGATCATGCATTTCGTGTAACACACGTGCTTTCAGTCCTTGAAGGCCTCTGTTACTCTACTGGAGCGTTTCGGTCTACAATCTGACAGCTAGATGTCGCTAAATACACACATTTCTACACGCTGTACTTTTAAGCCCTGCTGCATGGATGATTTAAGCTCACGCAGGCTTGTTTTCTAAAGTGTACTTTTTCTTTAGGGATCACACAGACACAGTTTGAAACACACATAGAGAAACCCCAGCAGCAGGTCAACAAGTATTAACATTTGCAGGGCAGCCTCAATTCAAACTCACAAACTGATGGAGATCCCAGAATTTCCATCAGTTCAGTGACAATCATGTAAACTTGCACATTTAACTCAACTGAAACATTATAGATGTCCAAAGTGACACACACTGGTGCAGAAAAACTGGAATCAGATGGTGTTTTTCAGCTTTCAGGCAGAATAAGAAGGAAGGAACTAAATCTATTTCAAATGATAGCTCTCTTTGTTTAGTGCCGTAGAGGGCCAGAGGAGGAATGTGGTCAGCTCTGTCCTGACTGCAGAGAGAGTTTCCAAACCAGAACTTCAACCCTAACCTTTCATGGAGCCAGGATTTCAAAACAATGTTTTCCCTGGAATCTCACAGTGAACTCCAAGGTTATAATTTTCTTAAACTGTGAGTGTGTGTGTGTGTGAGAGAGAGAGAGTCAGAGAGAGAGAGATGATGCTTGTGAAGTTCAGTGTGGGATCCCAGTGCCAAACATTGTATCCATTACTGTAGTGCAGGAAGAACACATCCATTACGGATGGTGTGTGCTGTATGTGAGTGTGTGTATGAGAGTGAACAAATACTGATCCGGACCAGTTGTCATTGTGTCCACATCCTCTCATAAGAAAAGACTTTCATTAACAAGAACTGTCTGTATGAAGTGTTTTGGGTGGATTCATATGGCCGGTGTGTTGTGGTGTCATAGAAACACTCATGGACAAACTGTTCAGATGATTTAGTTTTGTAGAAGAAGCAGTGCCATAAAGATCTAAATGTCTGCAACCAGAGCCTGGCAAGTAAATCATGTGTCATCTGCAAAAAGATAAGGTTCTCGTTATAAAGTAAAATGACCCTTGAGGGTTTCTCACTCAAAGTATTTTGGATAAATATCATTAGTGCAACAAGTTGTTCCATTTTTTGGGAGTTTCATCGATGGCAAGCATCACATTTTCCATGTTTTTATAATAATTGCAGCATTACAGTCTTGTTGGATCTATTCAAAGTAAGAACTTTTTGTGAAGTCTGTGAAACAACCCAGTTTTCAAGGTTCATTCTCATCCAACACATGTACAGGGAGTGGGTTTAGATGTTTACATAGCCTAAGAGGTCAGAGTTTCTCAACCCATTAAGGGTTGAGGGTAATCACTCATTTTATCAAAAACAAATCTAAATCATTTGAAAGTATTTACTTCTTCTTATGCCAGGGGATAAGAAAAATTAATCTCAAAAGTAAACAAAGCTGTCAGTCACATAAAAAGCACACTTTAAGATATGCTGGGGTGCAGGAAGAGTAATGAATGCATAAACCCTTATCCACATAACTGGCTCAAAAATGATCAAAAAAGAAAACTAATCTTTTCTAGAAATATCTTTGCAACAAGAGATGCTAACATTTCATACTCCAACAATTCCTAAAATTACTACTAACATTTTAAACTTTTAAATGTTTTTGTATTCCTTCTCCACACATCAATTACTGTGTCAAAAATGAACCATATTCATTTCTAATCGGATTTAATGGAAAACTCTGGCACCTATCAGCTGTGGATGTCAGGAATATATTTACTCTTCACTACACTGCTTTGATTAATAGTGTTCTCTCGAATTAAGAAAGAACATTAAAACAGTAAGATATATGTGTATTACCTAGAATTTTAAATAGTAAATTAGTACATTCATTTGTATGTGTGCAAGTTGTTCTTGACCATTGTGTTATCATTCATAACCTGCTTTCTGAGTTTTCACCTGGCTGTGTTAAAAAGCACTGTCAGAATTTCCTTGGGTATGAAAGTAAAAGTGTTGTTATCAGTGTTGTTATTTAAAAGTGCACTGTGTGGTCTTATTGTGACGCATTAAGCAGAACAGACTTTAGGGTAGATGAAATAAAGTAAACCTTAGTGAGCTTGCGTTCATAAATAATCAAGTGAATCATCAATATATATAGCTTTGGTTGACTTAGAATGAGCACTGGTCTTCACAGAGGCCGCTATCTTACTCCGACATGTTTTTACTTTAGCACAGCACCAACAAACTAGCAGCATATACAGTATGTGTTGTTCTTATTTAGTGGGTGAATGAGCTCATTGCACCAGCTGAATAATGAAGAAGAAGGCAGTTGTCGTTATGTGCAAAAGTATTTGTACTGATTGTTTCTACAGTTGCACAGAATGGACAAGAAGGAAAGAGTAATGGTTGCTGTGCGTAAAAGAAGTCATATTGGTGGACATTTTTGTAGTGGTCACAGTTTTTGTTTATCACAGGAGCTTCTTTTCCTCCACATCAACAGGAGAAGCGATAGAGTCTACAATCTTATTGCTAGTTATTTCCCATATCACATATATTTATATCCCTATTACTACACACTGTACCTTTAAAGTACTGCATTTTCACAAGAGCGTTATTTAGATGTAGCAGACTGAAGTAATTAACTGTATGTTAATTAACTTTATGTCTACACATAGTGAGCCTGATGAACAAGATAATATCCAGTCAGGCATAAGAGAGATTCAAATTACAATGGGAAGCCTGTGCAAATGATGGCAAAAATGTGCGCACGTCTTACCTGTGTTCAGCTTTGTTGCCTTTATAAACTCACAGCTGTCACACTAGAAAAATCAATGCAACTCTTTATACAAATACAGCTCTTTATTTATTTATTTGACTTTCTTAATGTTGTGTTTAACAGGTTTTGTTTTGAGTAATCACTTGTGTTTTTTCTACAGGCTCAGCTAACACACCTGAGCACCTGTCTATGCCCGTCCTCACATGAACCCCCACACTATGCTGCCTGAGCCCCTCCTCCAGCAGTGATGCCAGCCTTCAGCCCTCCTGCTCCTCTGCTCTGTGTGCTGCTGTGTCTGTCTGTGGCCCTGCAGCGCTCTGACCTGCGCCTGGCTTACGTGACCCACAACAGCTTCTCCTACTATTCTTGCAATCAAGATCCCCAACCGTGCAGCATCTCTTCACTCACAGACTGCAGATGCAAAGACATCCAGCTCTCTACGCTGCACCGCCCACAGTCGCACTCGTCTCCTGTTTTCAGGATGAGACGTTTGACTGTTTGGATCACGTCTCCTTTAAACACGGCACGTCTGCTCAACAACTCAGAAGTGAGGCACCTCACGCTGGTCAACTGTGGACCCAGAGGGACTCCTTCGTCTTCCCTGGATGGGCATTTTGCAGTGCAGCATCTGGAGAGGCTGACAATAGTGAACATTTTAAGACCAGATCACAACTTTCCAGATGAGAACAAAGCAAAAGACTCAGACTTAGACAATGATCCTAGTACAGACAACGGTGCGCACCTGGACAGTAATAGATACAACCGGGACGCAGACACAAACCGGGATCTGATTGTTGATAAGAGGAGAGATTACCTTGCATCGTCCTCACCCCAGATTCAGGATCTCTTCCTGGGCAGGGAGCTGGGAGCGGCGTATCATGAGCAGGCCAGACTGGGAGTCATCCACAGCTCTGTGTTGGAGTGGGGAGCTGCAGTCAAAGCCTACACGGTCCAGACTCACATCAACAGTGAAGGCGTACTGCCTTTCCCAGATCTCCACCTACCAAAACTACCAGAGACATCTGTCATATATGTCAGCTTTGTGTACTGAAAACACTTTCTTCAGGAGAGCGGGAGGAAGACTCTGCTGTGTTCACGACCTACAAACACCACTTTTCTGCTCCTGTTTGTTGAAGGTCTACAAATGTTTAGTTTTAGTTTAAAAAGACAGTGAAACAAGAAATGGTGGATCATTTCTTTACTGAATTAGTCGTATTTAAAGTAAGCATCAAGAAAACTCCTGAAAGATGTTAGACACCAGTGACTAAAGCTAAATGAATGGCTGTGTTGACAATACTCTTTTAAACCCTAATTTACTCGAGATCATGAGTTAAATATTTTTCAATCAAACAACAAAAGAAAGCAAAACTTAAAGCGTATTTCTCTGAATCCACCGAGCGATATGTGTTGGAGTAAAAAAAAAAGAGTGAGCGCAAAACATCTAGGCACATGAAAGCAGTCTGAAAACTATTAGCAAGAACATCTGAACTTTTTCTCAGCTTAAAGAACAGAGAAGGCAAATTACTCTGCTTTGGAAAATTTCCAGTTGCTTTTACTTTTGATAACTTCAGAGCAAAAGCACATTTGCATACACACAAGAACAGCAGCAAAGAACTAAATCCGATTCTCTCGTCCAAGAGCTTTAATCATTTTATTCCCGAGTGGCCTGAAACTTTGCACAGCTGTGTATCAGCATGTTAGAACAAAATATGCCGACTAATGAGAGGCCTTTTGAGGGAACCAGAAGGGCCTGCCAACCCCTTCCAGCTCAAGTGTCCTTTGTGTCCAAATGTTGTTTATCCTAAATTGATGGTGTTGGCCTCTTTAAACTGTAATGAAAATGGTGGAGGGTTTCATCACATTTTACCCTCAAGCAAAGAAAAGAAAAAAATAACAGTCCACCAGAAAGTTCATCCAAAATACTCTCATCATGTTGCAGAATTAACACCAAAAGTCAGTGTGGTGACTGACCGTTCGCTATCCTAAGCAACTGTTTTCAGCTTTTTATGACGGCACACTTTTCATACCTGATAAGAGAGGATCAAGAATCTTTCAGAGGGACTTACTTCAAGAATTTGATCTTCAGCTTGGTTTAGTTTCAGACATGGAGATAAAATAAGTGAATTTGATCTAGACATTGAAAATTTAGGTCAGTTTCGTTTCTGATATCTTTAGATTGAGGTTAATGAGGTCTCAGATTTCTTTCTTGGCCAGGAAACATGAAGCTTGTTTTCACTTTTTTTATTTACAGCAGCATGAACTTCTTTACTCTCTACTTTGGAAACCTACAGCTGACTCGGACCTTTGACCTCTGCACTAAAGCAAGCAGAACTTCCTCCTCTGGCATTTATGAACGATCGATGGCGTCCATAATATGAAGAGCACGGTTATTTCCAGAGTGCAACCACAAGATGGCAGCAGATATGTTTCAGAGAATGAAGGACGACCTGAGCTGACTGAAGACATGAGGGGTAAAAGGTTTTATTTCTTCTCTAAGGACTATCTAAGAAGAAATAAAACCTGTAAATAAAGATGTCATGATGCATCTCAGCACTTTAATGACTTGTGAGAAATGTTTTGGGGATAAAGGTACATTATTGAGTGTTAATAAAGAATAAAACTGAAAGACTATGCATGTATTTTTTATAAAGGTTAAATGAACAATGTCATCTCTTGTACTTGTTGGGAGGGAAAAAACAAAATTGATGATAAACTTACAACCATTGGATTGTGAACTGAAGATGAGGATTTTTTTTAATGTTTCTGTATTTCATTTGTTAAAATCAAATCACAAGGAAGTGTGTGACACACGAAATCTGAATGAAAAATGTCCTCCTAAAAAGGCTAAGCCCCCAGCCAACTTTTTAAAAACATGATGAAATCTGTCTAGTTTATAACAACAGGGATTCAAACTTTTTATATTATCCAGATATTAATTAACTTGCAATAACCACTGGTTTGATGCGGTTGTATAGGTAGATGATTGAGTGAGGAACAACAAGAAGCATGTGGGGCTAAAGCAATCTAAGGCTAACAGTTAACACGAGTGGTGAACATGGGTAGATGCTAGCAAGCTTAAACAGTGCAGCGCTATTTTTACTATAAATAATGTCAAAATAGGACCTCATCACCCCTACATTTACCGCTACCACCATACAGGTGATTTATCCTGAAAGCTCTCACAGGTCTGTAGACCTCAAGTATTTTTGAGGTGATGTAAAGTCTGTTAAAGGGGCGGATATTGCAATTTTAAATAAATACGGTAACAATATCTGTTAATTTAATTTGTCTTACTTCACTGGCCTCTCTTACCTGGTTTAAAACTCACATCGCCTCAGTTTTTTTTTTTAAGTTAGTGTTCATTCCCTCAAAGATCTTGCAGGCACAGATACATGTGCTGGTTTCCTGTGTGTCGCTGAGTGTGTGCTGACACCTGCTGCTTATTTGCATGATCACAGTGCTGCAGCCCATCTTGTTTTGCATTGTGTAAATACCAACTGATGTCGCCTGTTGATCCCACACCTGAGAGGTCAGCAGTTGCACCCGCACACATTGGGGGCAATTACTGGAAAAATCCCTGCTGCTGCTGCTGCTGAGGCAGACAGTCAGGCTGCTCTCAATATGGAAATGAGGCCTAGAAGGTTGGTGTGGACCATGTCCTCCACTTGGCATAATCTAAAGACAGACAACCCCCAGTAAAAACAAATCAATTACATGTGCAGTCTGCTACTCATGATGTATAGACCCCTCTGAATGCACACTGTAAATATTTATGTCAGTCTAAAAAGGTGGACAGGCTGAGACTAAAGGGGATTGATTTTGGGTGAGCTCTCCCTCCTCTGCACCCCTCCAACAGAGTCTTTAACCACGCTGCCGCCGTCTCCTCTCCGGCAGTTTAGCAGTAAAACATTTTTATAATCAGACGTTATTGTTCGCAGCCTCCTTGTGGGAGATGCGCCCATGTTCATTTTTTAAAAGGGCAAATCAGCCATAATTCAGTTTATAAACTGCAGCGCGCAAGGGAGAAATGCTTGGATGAATATTCATTAGAGTCCGCCTGAACTGCCACGCTCAGTGATTCATTGGGCATATGTAAATATCACTCACTTTAATTGCCCCTAAACTGACTCAACATAATGTTGTCATTAGCAAATTATTACTTATTTGTGATACTAATGGTACGGTATGGTGCACAGTGCTAGAGCCGCACATATATGATTGCAATTACGGCTCTTTTTATTCACTGGATGACTGAGTAATCTGATGGATCTGGTGTGTGTGTGTGTGTGTGTGTGTGTGTGTGTGTGTGTGTGTGTGTGTGTGTGTGTGTGTGTGTGTGTGTGTGTGTGTGTGTAAGGTGGGGGCTAAGGTGCCAACAATTAATTTCTCTGACACAGATTTAAGTCAATTCAGCCATTCGACACAAGCATATGCAATAACTGAAATCACGACATTTTGAAAGAAGACCTGATTTATTTTTGATGTAGTTTAACAATCTGGAATAAACAAGATTATTTTTCTTCGGTCAGATTCTTGAGGCCTAAGTTAAGTGTCATCAGAATCAGTAATATCTTACTATCTGATTGAATTCAATTATTTACGAAGTAGAAAGAGAAGTCAAAAAGTTTTATTTTCCAGCAAAAAGGACATCAATCTAAAGATTTAAAAGTACAGTTCCTCTAAATCTAACTTTAGTCTGCACTCAAAAAACCTTTTTGAATCAAATTATTTTAAAAGAGAAAAAAAATCACATTTTCATCACACAAGAAGGTTATACAGTCATCTGCGGGGTGAAACTAATTTTTGACACTAGATGCCGCAATTAAGTGCAGTTAAAAAACACAGAAATTCAGGATTAATTTCATTCAAAGTCTGTGCTCTGTTTTGATTTTTCTGTGTGAATTTGAAGGGGCTAAATATTTTATTTTAGCCCCCCACCAAAAAAAAATTACCTTAGCAAAGTTGCAAAAAAAGGGGCTATACTAAACTCTGTAGTTTGTCAAGGGGACCTTTTTTTATCTTGTTTTGGAGAAAAACCGTCAGAGATTAATTGCACTTTCCACATTAAAACATTTTCTTAATTAAAACAAAGAAAGTTTCGACTCTGAAAAACAAAGATCAATATTAGATTTTCCTTAGATTATCCTTAAATCCACTACGATTCATTCTCAAAGCTTGAGGCTGTTTAAATGTGACTATTGTGTGTTGTTAAAAGATCCCTTCATGCCTGTCACAGTGAGCAAAACACAACACAGTTTGGGTTTGTTTTATGGAGGCAGCAGCAGTTTGAAACAACCACCATGACAAAACAGGCCCACAAAACAGAGGGAGAGAGACCGAAGGACAGGCAGAGACGAATAATGATACGTGTGTGCAAGTGTGCATTTGTGTGTGTGTGTGTGTGTGTGTATGTGAGTGTGTGAGTGCGCAGCAGTTTGTATGCATCTGTGAGAGAGAGTGAGGGAGCTAATAAAGTAATGTGATGGATGATCTCCTTTCTCCCAGAGGGACCAGCACCATGTAAATTGGCCCACACAATGCATTATGGATAAGGCAGTTGAGATTATAGCTTGTTAATGTGTCCCTCCCTCGTCCCCTCCCTCTCCATCTCTCTATCTCTCTTTCTCTCTCTCTCTCCCTCTGCTTCGTCTCAGGCACTGACATGGTCACCTCATTGTCGGGGTGCGTGAGTCTTTTAGTTGCAGATGGAGAGGGAAGGAGCTGTACTGCAGCGATCTGCCAGACTTAGTGGAGCAAGTTTGTGTATATGTGTGTGTCTGTGTGTACTTGTCAGAGAGTGTGTAGGATTGTGTGTTATAAATCTAAGGTAAATGGCAATGTGGGGGCTTTGGTTTTTCTGTGCAGTCAAGGGACAGGTCCCTGTAATTTCAACTGCATGAGACAAAGGTCCTTTTAGTGACAAAAAACAAGTACTGTGTGTGTGTGTGTGTGTGTGTGTGTGTGTGTGTGTGTGTGTGTGTGTGTGTGTGTGTGTGTGTGTGTGTGTGTGTGTGTGTGTGCGTGTGTGTGTTTTGCATGGCCAAAATAGTGACTTTGTGGGGACCATAGTTTGATTGCACAGTCATTGGGGCCGGTCCCCATGTGGTAAATGCAAAATTTTGAAGGACAAAAAACAAAAACAAAACACATGTCTCTATGTATGTGTGTGTGTGTGTGTGTGTGTGTGTAACACTGTGCCAGCCGCCAGGCAGCCAACAGAGACAGTCCATCGTCAGGGGCCAGGGCTGTGGACATATGTCTCCTCCCTCCCTCCCTCATCCACCCCTCCTCTACACGCCCCCCCTTAGCCGTCCTAAGAGGGTGCCAACCCCCTGCAACCTCCCTCCTTCCCCTCTTTAACTCCCCCATCCTCCCACAATCTCTACCCCCCTCCAGCCCTCCCACCACCTTACAGGCCTGTCCAGGGACCCGTCAGGCCATCTGTTGAAGCAGGACCAGAGGAGCTGGTCTACAGGAAGTGCTACTGCAGCATGGCTATGTGGCTGGTCTGTCTGTCACTAACTAGAGGTGGGATGTGCATGTGTGTCTGTGTCTGTGTGTGTCTGTGTGTGTGTGTTTGTCAGGGCATCTTAAAGCAGATTTTCTCAAGCATAACTGTCCAACAAAAACAAGCTGTTGTGATTCTTTATTTAAACTTTTATCATCATGGTTTGGCCATAAGGAAACATAACCATTAAAAAAGAAGCCTAAATAAGTCATTAATGAGGAGAGTATGTTATCTCTCATAAGCATTCAACACCACCCTTTACTCAGTCGACTGACTGAGTATGAAGAATTAAATATCTCTTATTGAGGCAAAGGCTGCAGAAGCACAACATTAGGAAAGCATAAGAGAAGCATTGATGCCAACTTGCACTGCCTCCTGGGATTAATCTTCTACTTAAAATTTCAAATATATGAGAATAATCACCAAAATCACCATGTCCCGTGCAAGTGAATCAATAATTTCATAGCAGATAAATATTTTTTTAAAGTACTGTTTGTGGTGTAACAAGGGCATAAAAAGTCACACAAAACTTTTAATTAAAGATCATGAGCAAAAGAGAAGTCAGCAAGACATCAAAACATAACATCCTGTCACTATATTTATTTATATATATATATATATTATATTTTTTTAATTGAAAATGAAATAATAATGATGATGATGATAATGATAGTCTTTTAATAATAATCATTTAAAATAAAACAACAGTAATGCAATGTATCTTTATCCTTGTTTGAAATGATTATGATGAAGATGACGGTGATGGTAGTAGTAGTGGTGGTGATTATAATGATGTTTTTTTTAAATAACTTTATAAGAAAAACTTCTTTGGCACAAGGTTCTGTTTTATTAATTGGTTTTAATTTTACCCAATTAAAAAAAAAGAATATATTAATATATATATTTGGACTTTTATCTGTTCATACCAAAAAAATGATGTTTGAGTACTGGATTTGCATTTTACAATTAAAAATAAACAAAATAAGAGGCCACACAAAGTGCTTTAAGTATAAAGTGTCATGTGAACTGTCAGACAGTTAAACATGAAAAAATCTATTTCCATTTTCTCTACACAATTGAATTGTATGAATTACAAACAAGTCTCTGGTTTATTAATGCATTGCAGTCTTCATGATCACTTTCATGATTGTGAGAGGAGTCAGAACAGAGATTTAGATACAATATGATTTATGAATAAACATTTATCATTGCCATGATTTTTAGATCTAAGCCAGTTGCCAAGGTTTTGTCTGAGGATGTTGAAATAAAAAAAAACGATTAACAGGCTAAGTTATATGTAAAATCACATTCTTGTTGTCTCATGATAATCAGATAGTTTATTTAGTTAGAATGACAAACATGGAGTCTTGACATTGATTCCTGACATCATTTCTGGATTTTAAGAGTGATCTCAGAGAATCCAAACCTCAGCACAGACCCCCCTTATTTTGATGTATAGTAAAAGTTGCCTTTTGGGGGCCCTTTTATGCCCTTATAGGCAGAGAATAGGACAGATGACTGAGCAGAAAGCTGGGAAAGAGAGTGAAGCGTGACATACGGTAAAGGGGCTCCAAGCTGAAGTCAAACGTTTGGCTGCATGATAGCAGACTCAAGCTTCTGTACATGGGCTCTGTGTCTTAAACACTTGGCCAAACTGGCACCCTTTAAGCTTTGCTCTTCGTGGACCAAAAACTCAGAGACAAAAATCCAGTAAACATTCAGAAAATAAGTGGTGACCTTTTGTTCAGCAGCAAATCCTCAAA